CTGGGCGGTGCAGGCGAGGGCGGCAGCGGGCTGGGTGCCGGCGAGGGCGGTGCCGGGCTGGGCGGTGCAGGCGAGGGCGGCAGCGGGCTGGGTGCCGGCGAGGGCGGTGCCGGGCTGGGCGGTGCAGGCGAGGGCGGCAGCGGGCTGGGTGCCGGCGAGGGCGGTGCCGGGCTGGGCGGTGCCGGCGAGGGCGGCAGCGGGCTGGGTGCCGGCGAGGGCGGTGCCGGGCTGGGCGGTGCAGGCGAGGGCGGCAGCGGGCTGGGTGCCGGCGACGGCGGTGCCGGGCTGGGCGGTGCAGGCGAGGGCGGCAGCGGGCTGGGTGCCGGCGAGGGCGGTGCCGGGCTGGGCGGTGCAGGCGAGGGCGGCAGCGGGCTGGGTGCCGGCGAGGGCGGTGCCGGGCTGGGCGGTGCCGGCGAGGGCGGCAGCGGGCTGGGTGCCGGCGAGGGCGGTGCCGGGCTGGGCGGTGCCGGCGAGGGCGGCAGCGGGCTGGGTGCCGGCGAGAGCGGTGCCGGGCTGGGCGGTGCAGGCGAGGGCGGCAGCGGGCTGGGTGCCGGCGACGGCGGTGCCGGGCTGGGCGGTGCAGGCGAGGGCGGAAGCGGGCTGGGTGCCGGCGAGGGCGGTGCCGGGCTGGGCGGTGCAGGCGAGGGCGGCAGCGGGCTGGGTGCCGGCGAGGGCGGTGCCGGGCTGGGCGGTGCCGGCGAGGGCGGCAGCGGGCTGGGTGCCGGCGAGGGCGGTGCCGGGCTGGGCGGTGCAGGCGAGGGCGGCAGCGGGCTGGGTGCCGGCGAGGGCGGTGCCGGGCTGGGCGGTGCAGGCGAGGGCGGCAGCGGGCTGGGTGCCGGCGAGGGCGGTGCCGGGCTGGGCGGTGCAGGCGAGGGCGGCAGCGGGCTGGGTGCCGGCGAGGGCGGTGCCGGGCTGGGCGGTGCAGGCGAGGGCGGCAGCGGGCTGGGTGCCGGCGAGGGCGGTGCCGGGCTGGGCGGTGCAGGCGAGGGCGGGAGCGGGCTGGGTGCCGGCGAGGGCGGTGCCGGGCTGGGCGGTGCAGGCGAGGGCGGCAGCGGGCTGGGTGCCGGCGAGGGCGGTGCCGGGCTGGGCGGTGCAGGCGAGGGCGGCAGCGGGCTGGGTGCCGGCGAGGGCGGTGCCGGGCTGGGCGGTGCAGGCGAGGGCGGCAGCGGGCTGGGTGCCGGCGAGGGCGGTGCCGGGCTGGGCGGTGCCGGCGAGGGCGGCAGCGGGCTGGGTGCCGGCGAGGGCGGTGCCGGGCTGGGCGGTGCCGGCGAGGGCGGCAGCGGGCTGGGTGCCGGCGAGGGCGGTGCCGGGCTGGGCGGTGCAGGCGAGGGCGGCAGCGGGCTGGGTGCCGGCGAGGGCGGTGCCGGGCTGGGCGGTGCAGGCGAGGGCGGCAGCGGGCTGGGTGCCGGCGAGGGCGGTGCCGGGCTGGGCGGTGCAGGCGAGGGCGGCAGCGGGCTGGGTGCCGGCGAGGGCGGTGCCGGGCTGGGCGGTGCAGGCGAGGGCGGCAGCGGGCTGGGTGCCGGCGAGGGCGGTGCCGGGCTGGGCGGTGCAGGCGAGGGCGGCAGCGGGCTGGGTGCCGGCGAGGGCGGTGCCGGGCTGGGCGGTGCAGGCGAGGGCGGCAGCGGGCTGGGTGCCGGCGAGGGCGGTGCCGGGCTGGGCGGTGCAGGCGAGGGCGGCAGCGGGCTGGGTGCCGGCGAGGGCGGTGCCGGGCTGGGCGGTGCAGGCGAGGGCGGCACCGGGCTGGGTGCCGGCGAGGGCGGTGCCGGGCTGGGCGGTGCAGGCGAGGGCGGAAGCGGGCTGGGTGCCGGCGAGGGCGGTGCCGGGCTGGGCGGTGCAGGCGAGGGCGGCAGCGGGCTGGGTGCCGGCGAGGGCGGTGCCGGGCTGGGCGGTGCCGGCGAGGGCGGCAGCGGGCTGGGTGCCGGCGAGGGCGGTGCCGGGCTGGGCGGTGCAGGCGAGGGCGGCAGCGGGCTGGGTGCCGGCGAGGGCGGTGCCGGGCTGGGCGGTGCAGGCGAGGGCGGCAGCGGGCTGGGTGCCGGCGAGGGCGGTGCCGGGCTGGGCGGTGCAGGCGAGGGCGGCAGCGGGCTGGGTGCCGGCGAGGGCGGTGCCGGGCTGGGCGGTGCAGGCGAGGGCGGCAGCGGGCTGGGTGCCGGCGAGGGCGGTGCCGGGCTGGGCGGTGCAGGCGAGGGCGGGCAGCGGGCTGGGTGCCGGCGAGGGCGGTGCCGGGCTGGGCGGTGCAGGCGAGGGCGGCAGCGGGCTGGGTGCCGGCGAGGGCGGTGCCGGGCTGGGCGGTGCAGGCGAGGGCGGCAGCGGGCTGGGTGCCGGCGAGGGCGGTGCCGGGCTGGGCGGTGCAGGCGAGGGCGGCAGCGGGCTGGGTGCCGGCGAGGGCGGTGCCGGGCTGGGCGGTGCCGGCGAGGGCGGCAGCGGGCTGGGTGCCGGCGAGGGCGGTGCCGGGCTGGGCGGTGCCGGCGAGGGCGGCAGCGGGCTGGGTGCCGGCGAGGGCGGTGCCGGGCTGGGCGGTGCCGGCGAGGGCGGCAGCGGGCTGGGTGCCGGCGAGGGCGGTGCCGGGCTGGGCGGTGCAGGCGAGGGCGGCAGCGGGCTGGGTGCCGGCGAGGGCGGTGCCGGGCTGGGCGGTGCAGGCGAGGGCGGCAGCGGGCTGGGTGCCGGCGAGGGCGGTGCCGGGCTGGGCGGTGCAGGCGAGGGCGGCAGCGGGCTGGGTGCCGGCGAGGGCGGTGCCGGGCTGGGCGGTGCAGGCGAGGGCGGCAGCGGGCTGGGTGCCGGCGAGGGCGGTGCCGGGCTGGGCGGTGCAGGCGAGGGCGGCAGCGGGCTGGGTGCCGGCGAGGGCGGTGCCGGGCTGGGCGGTGCAGGCGAGGGCGGCAGCGGGCTGGGTGCCGGCGAGGGCGGTGCCGGGCTGGGCGGTGCAGGCGAGGGCGGCACCGGGCTGGGTGCCGGCGAGGGCGGTGCCGGGCTGGGCGGTGCAGGCGAGGGCGGGAGCGGGCTGGGTGCCGGCGAGGGCGGTGCCGGGCTGGGCGGTGCAGGCGAGGGCGGCAGCGGGCTGGGTGCCGGCGAGGGCGGTGCCGGGCTGGGCGGTGCAGGCGAGGGCGGCAGCGGGCTGGGTGCCGGCGAGGGCGGTGCCGGGCTGGGCGGTGCCGGCGAGGGCGGCAGCGGGCTGGGTGCCGGCGAGGGCGGTGCCGGGCTGGGCGGTGCCGGCGAGGGCGGCAGCGGGCTGGGTGCCGGCGAGGGCGGTGCCGGGCTGGGCGGTGCAGGCGAGGGCGGCAGCGGGCTGGGTGCCGGCGAGGGCGGTGCCGGGCTGGGCGGTGCAGGCGAGGGCGGCAGCGGGCTGGGTGCCGGCGAGGGCGGTGCCGGGCTGGGCGGTGCAGGCGAGGGCGGCAGCGGGCTGGGTGCCGGCGAGGGCGGTGCCGGGCTGGGCGGTGCAGGCGAGGGCGGCAGCGGGCTGGGTGCCGGCGAGGGCGGTGCCGGGCTGGGCGGTGCAGGCGAGGGCGGCAGCGGGCTGGGTGCCGGCGAGGGCGGTGCCGGGCTGGGCGGTGCAGGCGAGGGCGGCAGCGGGCTGGGTGCCGGCGAGGGCGGTGCCGGGCTGGGCGGTGCAGGCGAGGGCGGCAGCGGGCTGGGTGCCGGCGAGGGCGGTGCCGGGCTGGGCGGTGCAGGCGAGGGCGGCACCGGGCTGGGTGCCGGCGAGGGCGGTGCCGGGCTGGGCGGTGCAGGCGAGGGCGGGAGCGGGCTGGGTGCCGGCGAGGGCGGTGCCGGGCTGGGCGGTGCAGGCGAGGGCGGCAGCGGGCTGGGTGCCGGCGAGGGCGGTGCCGGGCTGGGCGGTGCAAGCGAGGGCGGCAGCGGGCTGGGTGCCGGCGAGGGCGGTGCCGGGCTGGGCGGTGCAGGCGAAGGCGGCAGCGGGCTGGGTGCCGGCGAGGGCGGTGCCGGGCTGGGCGGTGCAGGCGAGGGCGGCAGCGGGCTGGGTGCCGGCGAGGGCGGCGCCGGGCTGGGCGGTGCAGGCGAGGGCGGCAGCGGGCTGGGTGCCGGCGAGGGCGGTGCCGGGCTGGGCGGTGCAGGCGAGGGCGGCAGCGGGCTGGGTGCCGGCGAGGGCGGTGCCGGGCTGGGCGGTGCCGGCGAGGGCGGCAGCGGGCTGGGTGCCGGCGAGGGCGGTGCCGGGCTGGGCGGTGCAGGCGAGGGCGGCAGCGGGCTGGGTGCCGGCGACGGCGGTGCCGGGCTGGGCGGTGCAGGCGAGGGCGGCAGCGGGCTGGGTGCCGGCGAGGGCGGTGCCGGGCTGGGCGGTGCAGGCGAGGGCGGTGCCGGGCTGGGCGGTGCAGGCGAGGGCGGCAGCGGGCTGGGTGCCGGCGAGGGCGGTGCCGGGCTGGGCGGTGCAGGCGAGGGCGGCAGCGGGCTGGGTGCCGGCGAGGGCGGTGCCGGGCTGGGCGGTGCCGGCGAGGGCGGCAGCGGGCTGGTTGCCGGCGAGGGCGGTGCCGGGCTGGGCGGTGCCGGCGAGGGCGGCAGCGGGCTGGGTGCCGGCGAGGGCGGTGCCGGGCTGGGCGGTGCAGGCGAGGGCGGCAGCGGGCTGGGTGCCGGCGACGGCGGTGCCGGGCTGGGCGGTGCAGGCGAGGGCGGCAGCGGGCTGGGTGCCGGCGAGGGCGGTGCCGGGCTGGGCGGTGCAGGCGAGGGCGGCAGCGGGCTGGGTGCCGGCGAGGGCGGTGCCGGGCTGGGCGGTGCAGGCGAGGGCGGCAGCGGGCTGGGTGCCGGCGAGGGCGGTGCCGGGCTGGGCGGTGCAGGCGAGGGCGGGAGCGGGCTGGGTGCCGGCGAGGGCGGTGCCGGGCTGGGCGGTGCAGGCGAGGGTGGCAGCGGGCTGGGTGCCGGCGAGGGCGGTGCCGGGCTGGGCGGTGCAGGCGAGGGCGGCAGCGGGCTGGGTGCCGGCGAGGGCGGTGCCGGGCTGGGCGGTGCAGGCGAGGGCGGCAGCGGGCTGGGTGCCGGCGAGGGCGGTGCCGGGCTGGGCGGTGCCGGCGAGGGCGGCAGCGGGCTGGGTGCCGGCGAGGGCGGTGCCGAGCTGGGCGGTGCAGGCGAGGGCGGCAGCGGGCTGGGTGCCGGCGAGGGCGGTGCCGGGCTGGGCGGTGCAGGCGAGGGCGGAAGCGGGCTGGGTGCCGGCGAGGGCGGTGCCGGGCTGGGCGGTGCAGGCGAGGGCGGCAGCGGGCTGGGTGCCGGCGAGGGCGGTGCCGGGCTGGGCGGTGCAGGCGAGGGCGGCAGCGGGCTGGGTGCCGGCGAGGGCGGTGCCGGGCTGGGCGGTGCAGGCGAGGGCGGCAGCGGGCTGGGTGCCGGCGAGGGCGGTGCCGGGCTGGGCGGTGCAGGCGAGGGCGGAAGCGGGCTGGGTGCCGGCGAGGGCGGTGCCGGGCTGGGCGGTGCAGGCGAGGGCGGCAGCGGGCTGGGTGCCGGCGAGGGCGGTGCCGGGCTGGGCGGTGCAGGCGAAGGCGGCAGCGGGCTGGGTGCCGGCGAGGGCGGTGCCGGGCTGGGCGGTGCAGGCGACGGCGGCACCGGGCTGGGTGCAGGCGAGGGCGGTGCCGGGCTGGGCGGTGCAGGCGAGGGCGGCAGCGGGCTGGGTGCCGGCGAGGGCGGTGCCGGGCTGGGCGGTGCAGGCGAGGGCGGCAGCGGGCTGGGTGCCGGCGAGGGCGGTGCCGGGCTGGGTGGCGCAGGCGAGGGCGGGAGCGGGCTGGTTTGCGGCAGAGCGGTAGGCGGTGGCAACGGCTTTGGTGGTCGTGGTGAGGGGGGTAACGGCTTCGGAGGTCGTGGGGATGGTGGTCGTTGGCTTGGTGGCCGTGGAGATGGGGGCAACGGAGCCTCTGGGGGCGGACTTGGAGCGCATTGGAACGCAGCCGTTCCGGGGCGTGGAACCTCAAAAGACCAGAGGCAATTGTTCGCTTGGTCCCCATTGCCACAGCCAGCAAGGGTGCCGTTCACCATGCGTGGGTCTTGGCAAGTTGCTGTGATGCCTCGCAAAGTGACCGAGAGTGGCGATGAAACTGCAGGAGGCAGGGTTGTAAGTTGCTCAACAGGTGTGTAAGGAGGGTGCTACAATGCTTATACGTTGGCTGACATTGTGTTAGAAACAGTGCAAGGCTTGCAAGGCTCTATTCAGTCAGCTTGGTCAGCATCTTACCATCCCGACATGAACCGCTGCCATCCTTGACAGTGAAACGGACAGTCTCCGTGCTGAAGTTCGTGCTGTTCCACCGAGCCCACTGACAGTATCGGTCTGCAAAAATGGTTGCGTAAGGGCAAACACACGTGTTGTCGTTAGGGTTGACATGGCTATCTTCAGTAAATAAGCGCATGACCTTTATGAACTTACTTGGCAAACCTGAATTCCAGTCCTGCACCTTGTGCGTATCACCGGCTATCGGTGGGCTCTCAGGACTGGGAATGACTGGGTAGTACTGGTCGCCCATGCACACGTGGCTGATGGTGTCTTGGGTAGGCTTGACGCAGCTGGCACGACTGTTGCTCCAATACAAGCAAACTTCGCAATACAACCAAGGGCCGCCAGCGCTGCTGTTGCCGTCGTACCCTACCATACTGCATGTGCTGCTATCCACGTACACATCCAGACAGCTGGCCTGGTCCGTGCACGTTTCGATGCCGTTCTGCGAAAATGAAGGTTATAGCATATGCGTTTAACGAATGCAGGCACGTAATACATGCATCGTAGAATGCAATGCAGAGTATGTTTTACCATACGTTTACAGGAACGTACCGTTGGATCACCCTCCTGAAGCGCGCTGTCATCTCCAGAGTACACGCAGTTAGTAAAGGGAGGAGGCGGTGGTTGTGGAATGAGGCTGGGTGGCGCCGGCGAGGGCGGTGCCGGGCTGGGCGGCGCAGGCGAGGGCGGCAGCGGGCTGGGTGCCGGCGAGGGCGGTGCCGGGCTGGGCGGCGCAGGCGAGGGCGGCAGCGGGCTGGGCGCCGGCGAGGGCGGTGCCGGGCTAGGCGGTGCAGGCGAGGGCGGCAGCGGGCTGGGTGCCGGCGAGGGCGGTGCCGGGCTAGGCGGCACAGGCGAGGGCGGCAGCGGGCTGGGTGCCGGCAAGGGCGGTGCCGGGCTGGGCGGTGCAGGCGAGGGCGGTGCCGGGCTGGGCGCCGGCGAGGGCGGTGCCGGGCTGGGCGGTGCAGGCGAGGGCGGCAGCGGGCTGGGTGCCGGCGAGGGCGGTGCCGGGCTAGGCGGTGCAGGCGAGGGCGGCAGCGGGCTGGGTGCCGGCGAGGGCGGTGCCGGGCTAGGCGGCACAGGCGAGGGCGGCAGCGGGCTGGGTGCCGGCAAGGGCGGTGCCGGGCTGGGCGGTGCAGGCGAGGGCGGTGCCGGGCTGGGCGCCGGCGAGGGCGGTGCCGGGCTGGGCGGTGCAGGCGAGGGCGGCAGCGGGCTGGGTGCCGGCGAGGGCGGTGCCGGGCTAGGCGGTTCAGGCGAGGGCGGCAGCGGGCTGGGTGCCGGCGACGGCGGTGCCGGGCTGGGCGGCGCAGGCGAGGGCGGCAGCGGGCTGGGTGCCGGCGAGGGCGGTGCCGGGCTGGGCGGTGCAGGCGAGGGCGGCAGCGGGCTGGGTGCCGGCGACGGCGGTGCCGGGCTGGGCGGCGCAGGAGAAGGCGGCAGCGGGCTGGGTGCCGGCGAGGGCGGTGCCGGGCTGGGCGGCGCAGGCGAGGGCGGCAGCGGGCTGGGTGCCGGCGACGGCGGTGCCGGGCTGGGCGGTGCAGGCGAGGGCGGCAGCGGGCTGGGTGCCGGCGAGGGCGGTGCCGGGCTGGGCGGTGCAGGCGAGGGCGGTGCCGGGCTGGGTGCCGGCGAGGGCGGTGCCGGGCTGGGCGGCGCAGGCGAGGGCGGCAGCGGGCTGGGTGCCGGCGACGGCGGTGCCGGGCTGGGCGGTGCAGGCGAGGGCGGCAGCGGGCTGGGTGCCGGCGAGGGCGGTGCCGGGCTGGGCGGTGCAGGCGAGGGCGGTGCCGGGCTGGGCGCCGGCGAGGGCGGTGCCGGGCTGGGCGGCGCAGGCGAGGGCGTCAGCGGGCTGGGTGCCGGCGAGGGCGGTGCCGGGCTGGGCGGTGCAGGCGAGGGCGGCAGCGGGCTGGGCGCCGGCGAGGGCGGTGCCGGGCTGGGCGGCGCAGGCGAGGGCGGCAGCGGGCTGGGTGCCGGCGACGGCGGTGCCGGGCTGGGCGGCGCAGGCGAGGGCGGCAGCGGGCTGGGTGCCGGCGAGGGCGGTGCCGGGCTGGGCGCCGGCGAGGGTGGTGCCGGGCTGGGCGGTGCAGGCGAGGGCGGTGCCGGGCTGGGCGCCGGCGAGGGCGGTGCCGGGCTGGGTGGTGCAGGCGAGGGCGGCAGCGGGCTGGGCGCCGGCGAGGGCGGTGCCGGGCTGGGCGGTGCAGGCGAGGGCGGCAGCGGGCTGGGTGCCGGCGAGGGCGGTGCCGGGCTGGGCGGCGCCGGCGAGGGTGGCAGCGGGCTGGGTGCGGGCGAGGGCGGTGCCGGGCTGGGCGGTGCAGGCGAGGGCGGCAGCGGGCTGGGTGCCGGCGAGGGCGGTGCCGGGCTGGGCGGTGCAGGCGAGGGCGGTGCCGGGCTGGGCGCCGGCGAGGGCGGTGCCGGGCTGGGCGGCGCAGGCGAGGGCGGCAGCGGGCTGGGTGCAGGCGAGGGCGGCAGCGGGCTGGGCGCCGGCGAGGGCGGCAGCGGGCTGGGTGCCGGCGAGGGCGGTGCCGGGCTGGGCGGCGCAGGCGAGGGCGGCAGCGGGCTGGGTGCCGGCGAGGGCGGTGCCGGGCTGGGCGGTGCAGGCAAGGGCGGCAGCGGGCTGGGCGCCGGCGACGGCGGTGCCGGGCTGGGCGGCGCAGGCGAGGGCGGCAGCGGGCTGGGTGCCGGCGAGGGCGGTGCCGGGCTGGGCGGTGCAGGCGAGGGCGGCAGCGGGCTGGGTGCCGGCGACGGCGGTGCCGGGCTGGGCGGCGCAGGAGAAGGCGGCAGCGGGCTGGGTGCCGGCGAGGGCGGTGCCGGGCTGGGCGGCGCAGGCGAGGGCGGCAGCGGGCTGGGTGCCGGCGACGGCGGTGCCGGGCTGGGCGGTGCAGGCGAGGGCGGCAGCGGGCTGGGTGCCGGCGAGGGCGGTGCCGGGCTGGGCGGTGCAGGCGAGGGCGGTGCCGGGCTGGGTGCCGGCGAGGGCGGTGCCGGGCTGGGCGGCGCAGGCGAGGGCGGCAGCGGGCTGGGTGCCGGCGACGGCGGTGCCGGGCTGGGCGGTGCAGGCGAGGGCGGCAGCGGGCTGGGTGCCGGCGAGGGCGGTGCCGGGCTGGGCGGTGCAGGCGAGGGCGGTGCCGGGCTGGGCGCCGGCGAGGGCGGTGCCGGGCTGGGCGGCGCAGGCGAGGGCGTCAGCGGGCTGGGTGCCGGCGAGGGCGGTGCCGGGCTGGGCGGTGCAGGCGAGGGCGGCAGCGGGCTGGGCGCCGGCGAGGGCGGTGCCGGGCTGGGCGGCGCAGGCGAGGGCGGCAGCGGGCTGGGTGCCGGCGACGGCGGTGCCGGGCTGGGCGGCGCAGGCGAGGGCGGCAGCGGGCTGGGTGCCGGCGAGGGCGGTGCCGGGCTGGGCGCCGGCGAGGGTGGTGCCGGGCTGGGCGGTGCAGGCGAGGGCGGTGCCGGGCTGGGCGCCGGCGAGGGCGGTGCCGGGCTAGGTGGTGCAGGCGAGGGCGGCAGCGGGCTGGGCGCCGGCGAGGGCGGTGCCGGGCTGGGCGGTGCAGGCGAGGGCGGCAGCGGGCTGGGTGCCGGCGAGGGCGGTGCCGGGCTGGGCGGCGCCGGCGAGGGTGGCAGCGGGCTGGGTGCGGGCGAGGGCGGTGCCGGGCTGGGCGGTGCAGGCGAGGGCGGCAGCGGGCTGGGTGCCGGCGAGGGCGGTGCCGGGCTGGGCGGTGCAGGCGAGGGCGGTGCCGGGCTGGGCGCCGGCGAGGGCGGTGCCGGGCTGGGCGGCGCAGGCGAGGGCGGCAGCGGGCTGGGTGCAGGCGAGGGCGGCAGCGGGCTGGGCGCCGGCGAGGGCGGCAGCGGGCTGGGTGCCGGCGAGGGCGGTGCCGGGCTGGGCGGCGCAGGCGAGGGCGGCAGCGGGCTGGGTGCCGGCGAGGGCGGTGCCGGGCTGGGCGGTGCAGGCAAGGGCGGCAGCGGGCTGGGCGCCGGCGAGGGCGGTGCCGGGCTGGGCGGCGCAGGCGAGGGCGGCAGCGGGCTGGGTGCCGGCGAGGGCGGTGCCGGGCTGGGCGGTGCAGGCGAGGGCGGCAGCGGGCTGGGCGCCGGCGACGGCGGTGCCGGGCTGGGCGGCGCAGGCGAGGGCGGCAGCGGGCTGGGCGCCGGCGAGGGCGGTGCCGGGCTGGGCGGCGCCGGCGAGGGCGGCAGCGGGCTGGGTGCCGGCGACGGCGGTGCCGGGCTGGGCGGTGCAGGCGAGGGCGGTGCCGGGCTGGGCGCCGGCGAGGGCGGTGCCGGGCTGGGCGGCGCAGGCGAGGGCGGCAGCGGGCTGGGCGCCGGCGAGGGCGGTGCCGGGCTGGGCGGTGCAGGCGAGGGCGGCAGCGGGCTGGGTGCCGGCGACGGCGGTGCCGGGCTGGGCGGCGCAGGCGAGGGCGGCAGCGGGCTGGGTGCCGGCGAGGGCGGCCGCGGGCTGGGTGCCGGCGAGGGCGGTGCCGGGCTGGGCGGTGCAGGCGAGGGCGGCAGCGGGCTGGGCGCCGGCGAGGGCGGTGCCGGGCTGGGCGGTGCAGGCGAGGGCGGCAGCGGGCTGGGTGCCGGCGAGGGCGGTGCCGGGCTGGGCGGTGCAGGCGAGGGCGGCAGCGGGCTGGGTGCCGGCGACGGCGGTGCCGGGCTGGGCGGCGCAGGCGAGGGCGGCAGCGGGCTGGGCGCCGGCGAGGGCGGTGCCGGGCTGGTCGGTGCAGGCGAGGGCGGCAGCGGGCTGGGTGCCGGCGAGGGCGGTGCCGGGCTGGGCGGCGCAGGCGAGGGCGGCAGCGGGCTGGGCGCCGGCGAGGGCGGTGCCGGGCTGGGCGGCGCAGGCGAGGGCGGCAGCGGGCTGGGTGCCGGCGAGGGCGGTGCCGGGCTGGGCGGTGCAGGCGAGGGCGGAAGCGGGCTGGGCGCCGGCGAGGGCGGTGCCGGGCTGGGCGGTGCAGGCGAGGGCGGCAGCGGGCTGGGCGCCGGCGAGGGCGGTGCCGGGCTGGGCGGCGCAGGCGAGGGCGGCAGCGGGCTGGGTGCCGGCGAGGGCGGTGCCGGGCTGGGCGGTGCAGGCGAGGGCGGCAGCGGGCTGGGCGCCGGCGAGGGCGGTGCCGGGCTGGGCGGCGCAGGCGAGGGCGGCAGCGGGCTGGGTGCCGGCGACGGCGGTGTCGGGCTGGGCGGTGCAGGCGAGGGCGGCAGCGGGCTGGGCGCCGGCGAGGGCGGTGCCGGGCTGGGCGGCGCAGGCGAGGGCGGCAGCGGGCTGGGCGCCGGCGAGGGCGGTGCCGGGCTGGGCGGTGCAGGCGAGGGCGGCAGCGGGCTGGGTGCCGGCGACGGCGGTGCCGGGCTGGGCGGCGCAGGCGAGGGCGGCAGCGGGCTGGGTGCCGGCGAGGGCGGTGCCGGGCTGGGCGCCGGCGAGGGTGGTGCCGGGCTGGGCGGTGCCGGCGAGGGCGGTGCCGGGCTGGGCGGTGCAGGCGAGGGCGGTGCCGGGCTAGGTGGTGCAGGCGAGGGCGGCAGCGGGCTGGGCGCCGGCGAGGGCGGTGCCGGGCTGGGCGGTGCAGGCGAGGGCGGCAGCGGGCTGGGTGCCGGCGACGGCGGTGCCGGGCTGGGCGGCGCAGGCGAGGGCGGCAGCGGGCTGGGTGCCGGCGAGGGCGGTGCCGGGCTGGGCGGTGCAGGCGAGGGCGGCAGCGGGCTGGGCGCCGGCGACGGCGGTGCCGGGCTGGGCGGCGCAGGCGAGGGCGGCAGCGGGCTGGGCGCCGGCGAGGGCGGTGCCGGGCTGGGCGGCGCAGGCGAGGGCGGCAACGGGCTGGGTGCCGGCGACGGCGGTGCCGGGCTGGGCGGTGCAGGCGAGGGCGGTGCCGGGCTGGGCGCCGGCGAGGGCGGTGCCGGGCTGGGCGGCGCAGGCGAGGGCGGCAGCGGGCTTGGCGCCGGCGAGGGCGGTGCCGGGCTGGGCGGTGCAGGCGAGGGCGGCAGCGGGCTGGGTGCCGGCGACGGCGGTGCCGGGCTGGGCGGCGCAGGCGAGGGCGGCAGCGGGCTGGGTGCCGGCGAGGGCGGCAGCGGGCTGGGTGCCGGCGAGGGCGGTGCCGGGCTGGGCGGTGCAGGCGAGGGCGGCAGCGGGCTGGGTGCCGGCGAGGGCGGTGCCGGGCTGGGCGGTGCAGGCGAGGGCGGCAGCGGGCTGGGTGCCGGCGAGGGCGGTGCCGGGCTGGGCGGTGCAGGCGAGGGCGGCAGCGGGCTGGGTGCCGGCGAGGGCGGTGCCGGGCTGGGCGGTGCAGGCGAGGGCGGCAGCGGGCTGGGCGCCGGCGAGGGCGGTGCCGGGCTGGGCGGTGCAGGCGAGGGCGGAAGCGGGCTGGGCGCCGGCGAGGGCGGTGCCGGGCTGAGCGGTGCAGGCGAGGGCGGCAGCGGGCTGGGCGCCGGCGAGGGCGGTGCCGGGCTGGGCGGTGCAGGCGAGGGCGGCAGCGGGCTGGGTGCCGGCGAGGGCGGTGCCGGGCTGGGCGGTGCAGGCGAGGGCGGCAGCGGGCTGGGTGCCGGCGAGGGCGGTGCCGGGCTGGGCGGTGCAGGCGAGGGCGGCAGCGGGCTGGGCGCCGGCGAGGGCGGTGCCGGGCTGGGCGGCGCAGGCGAGGGCGGCAGCGGGCTGGGCGCCGGCGAGGGCGGTGCCGGGCTGGGCGGTGCAGGCGAGGGCGGCAGCGGGCTGGGCGCCGGCGAGGGCGGTGCCGGGCTGGGCGGCGCAGGCGAGGGCGGCAGCGGGCTGGGTGCCGGCGAGGGCGGTGCCGGGCTGGGCGGCGCAGGCGAGGGCGGCAGCGGGCTGGGTGCCGGCGAGGGCGGTGCCGGGCTGGGCGGTGCAGGCGAGGGCGGCAGCGGGCTGGGCGCCGGCGAGGGCGGTGCCGGGCTGGGCGGCGCAGGCGAGGGCGGCAGCGGGCTGGGTGCCGGCGACGGCGGTGTCGGGCTGGGCGGTGCAGGCGAGGGCGGCAGCGGGCTGGGCGCCGGCGAGGGCGGTGCCGGGCTGGGCGGCGCAGGCGAGGGCGGCAGCGGGCTGGGCGCCGGCGAGGGCGGTGCCGGGCTGGGCGGCGCAGGCGAGGGCGGCAGCGGGCTGGGTGCCGGCGACGGCGGTGCCGGGCTGGGCGGCGCAGGCGAGGGCGGCAGCGGGCTGGGTGCCGGCGAGGGCGGTGCCGGGCTGGGCGCCGGCGAGGGTGGTGCCGGGCTGGGCGGTGCAGGCGAGGGCGGTGCCGGGCTGGGCGCCGGCGAGGGCGGTGCCGGGCTAGGTGGTGCAGGCGAGGGCGGCAGCGGGCTGGGCGCCGGCGAGGGCGGTGCCGGGCTGGGCGGTGCAGGCGAGGGCGGCAGCGGGCTGGGTGCCGGCGAGGGCGGTGCCGGGCTGGGCGGCGCAGGCGAGGGCGGCAGCGGGCTGGGTGCCGGCGAGGGCGGTGCCGGGCTGGGCGGCGCAGGCGAGGGCGGCAGCGGGCTGGGTGCCGGCGAGGGCGGTGCCGGGCTGGGCGGTGCAGGCGAGGGCGGCAGCGGGCTGGGCGCCGGCGAGGGCGGTGCCGGGCTGGGCGGTGCAGGCGAGGGCGGCAGCGGGCTGGGTGCCGGCGAGGGCGGTGCCGGGCTGGGCGGTGCAGGCGAGGGCGGCAGCGGGCTGGGCGCCGGCGAGGGCGGTGCCGGGCTGGGCGGTGCAGGCGAGGGCGGCAGCGGGCTGGGTGCCGGCGAGGGCGGTGCCGGGCTGGGCGGCGCAGGCGAGGGCGGCAGCGGGCTGGGTGCCGGCGAGGGCGGTGCCGGGCTGGGCGGTGCAGGCGAGGGCGGCAGCGGGCTGGGCGCCGGCGAGGGCGGTGCCGGGCTGGGCGGTGCAGGCGAGGGCGGCAGCGGGCTGGGTGCCGGCGAGGGCGGTGCCGGGCTGGGCGGTGCAGGCGAGGGCGGCAGCGGGCTGGGTGCCGGCGACGGCGGTGCCGGGCTGGGCGGTGCAGGCGAGGGCGGCAGCGGGCTGGGCGCCGGCGAGGGCGGTGCCGGGCTGGGCGGCGCAGGCGAGGGCGGCAGCGGGCTGGGTGCCGGCGACGGCGGTGTCGGGCTGGGCGGTGCAGGCGAGGGCGGCAGCGGGCTGGGCGCCGGCGAGGGCGGTGCCGGGCTGGGCGGCGCAGGCGAGGGCGGCAGCGGGCTGGGCGCCGGCGAGGGCGGTGCCGGGCTGGGCGGCGCAGGCGAGGGCGGCAGCGGGCTGGGTGCCGGCGACGGCGGTGCCGGGCTGGGCGGCGCAGGCGAGGGCGGCAGCGGGCTGGGTGCCGGCGAGGGCGGTGCCGGGCTGGGCGCCGGCGAGGGTGGTGCCGGGCTGGGCGGTGCAGGCGAGGGCGGTGCCGGGCTGGGCGCCGGCGAGGGCGGTGCCGGGCTAGGTGGTGCAGGCGAGGGCGGCAGCGGGCTGGGCGCCGGCGAGGGCGGTGCCGGGCTGGGCGGTGCAGGCGAGGGCGGCAGCGGGCTGGGTGCCGGCGAGGGCGGTGCCGGGCTGGGCGGCGCAGGCGAGGGCGGCAGCGGGCTGGGTGCCGGCGAGGGCGGTGCCGGGCTGGGCGGCGCAGGCGAGGGCGGCAGCGGGCTGGGTGCCGGCGAGGGCGGTGCCGGGCTGGGCGGTGCAGGCGAGGGCGGCAGCGGGCTGGGCGCCGGCGAGGGCGGTGCCGGGCTGGGCGGTGCAGGCGAGGGCGGCAGCGGGCTGGGTGTCGGCGACGGCGGTGCCGGGCTGGGCGGCGCAGGCGAGGGCGGCAGCGGGCTGGGTGCCGGCGAGGGCGGTGCCGGGCTGGGCGCCGGCGAGGGTGGTGCCGGGCTGGGCGGTGCAGGCGAGGGCGGTGCCGGGCTGGGCGCCGGCGAGGGCGGTGCCGGGCTGGGCGGCGCGGGCGAGGGCGGCAGCGGGCTGGGCGCCGGCGAGGGCGGTGCCGGGCTGGGCGGCGCGGGCGAGGGCGGCAGCGGGCTGGGTGCCGGCGAGGGCGGTGCCGGGCTGGGCGCCGGCGAGGGTGGTGCCGGGCTGGGCGGTGCAGGCGAGGGCGGTGCCGGGCTGGGCGCCGGCGAGGGCGGTGCCGGGCTAGGTGGTGCAGGCGAGGGCGGCAGCGGGCTGGGCGCCGGCGAGGGCGGTGCCGGGCTGGGCGGTGCAGGCGAGGGCGGCAGCGGGCTGGGTGCCGGCGAGGGCGGTGCCGGGCTGGGCGCCGGCGAGGGTGGTGCCGGGCTGGGCGGTGCAGGCGAGGGCGGTGCCGGGCTGGGCGCCGGCGAGGGCGGTGCCGGGCTAGGTGGTGCAGGCGAGGGCGGCAGCGGGCTGGGCGCCGGCGAGGGCGGTGCCGGGCTGGGCGGTGCAGGCGAGGGCGGCAGCGGGCTGGGTGCCGGCGAGGGCGGTGCCGGGCTGGGCGGCGCAGGCGAGGGCGGCAGCGGGCTGGGTGCCGGCGAGGGCGGTGCCGGGCTGGGCGGCGCAGGCGAGGGCGGCAGCGGGCTGGGTGCCGGCGAGGGCGGTGCCGGGCTGGGCGGTGCAGGCGAGGGCGGGAGCGGGCTGGGCGCCGGTGAGGGCGGTGCCGGGCTGGGCGGTGCAGGCGAGGGCGGCAGCGGGCTGGGTGCCGGCGAGGGCGGTGCCGGGCTGGGCGGCGCAGGCGAGGGCGGCAGCGGGCTGAGTGCCGGCGAGGGCGGTGCCGGGCTGGGCGGCGCAGGCGAGGGCGGCAGCGGGCTGGGTGCCGGCGAGGGCGGTGCCGGGCTGGGCGGCGCAGGCGAGGGCGGCAGCGGGCTGGGTGCCGGCGAGGGCGGTGCCGGGCTGGGCGGTGCAGGCGAGGGCGGGAGCGGGCTGGTTTGCGGCAGAGCGGTAGGCGGTGGCAACGGCTTTGGTGGTCGTGGTGAGGGGGGTAACGGCTTCGGAGGTCGTGGGGATGGTGGTCGTTGGCTTGGTGGCCGTGGAGATGGGGGCAACGGAGCCTCTGGGGGCGGACTTGGAGCGCATTGGAAAGCAGCCGTTCCGGGGCGTGGAACCTCAAAAGACCAGAGGCAATCGTTCGCTTGGTCCCCATTGCCACAGCCAGCAAGGGTGCCGTTCACCATGCGTGGGTCTTGGCAAGTTGCTGTGATGCCTCGCAAAGTGACCGATAGTGGTGATGAAACTGCAGGAGGCAGGGTTGAAAGTTGCTCAACAGATGTTTTGAGGGCGCAACAATGCTTATACGTTGGCTGACATTGTGTTAGAAACAGTGCAAGGCTTGCAAGGCTCTATTCAGTCAGCTTGGTCAGCATCTTACCATCCCGACATGAACCGCTGCCATCCTTGACAGTGAAACGGACAGTCTCCGTGCTGAAGTTCGTGCTGTTCCACCGAGCCCACTGACAGTATCGGTCTGCAAAAATGGTTGTGTAAGGGCAAACACACGTGTTGCCGTTAGGGGTGACATGGCTATCTTCAGTAAATAAGCGCATGACCTTTATGAACTTACTTGGCAAACCTGAATTCCAGTCCTGCACCTTGTGCGTATCACCGGCTATCGGTGGGCTCTCAGGACTGGGAATGACTGGGTAGTACTGGTCGCCCATGCACACGTGGCTGATGGTGTCTTGGGTAGGCTTGACGCAGCTGGCACGACTGTTGCTCCAATACAAGCAAACTTCGCAATACAACCAAGGGCCGCCAGCGCTGCTGCTGCCATCGTACCCTACCATACTGCATGTGCTGCTATCCACGTACACATCCAGACAGCTAGCCTGGTCCGTGCACGTTTCGACGCCGTTCTGCAAAGAGGGGGGTTATGGCATATGCGTTTAACAAATGCAGGCACGGAATACATTCATCGTAGGATGCAATGCAGAACATGTTTTACCACAAGTTTACGGGAACGTACCGTTGGATCACCCTCCTGAAGCGCGCTGTCATCTCCAGAGTACACGCAGTTAGTAAAGGGAGGAGGTGGTGGCTGTGGAATGAGGCTGGGAGGCGCCGGCGAGGGCGGAGCCGGGCTGGGCGGCGCAGGCGAGGGCGGCAGCGGGCTGGGCGCCGGTGAGGGCGGTGCCGGGCTGGGCGGCGCAGGCGAGGGCGGCAGCGGGCTGGGCGCCGGCGAGGGGGGTGCAAGGCTGGGCGGTGCAGGCGAGGGGGGGAGCGGGCTGGGCGCCGGTGAGGGCGGTGCCGGGCTGGGCGGTGCAGGCGAGGGGGGGAGCGGGCTGGGTGCCGGTGAGGGCGGTGCCGGGCTGGGCGGTGCAGGCGAGGGCGGCAGCGGGCTGGGTGCCGGCGAGGGCGGTGCCGGGCTGGGCGGTGCAGGCGAGGGCGGCAGCGGGCTGGGCGCCGGCGAGGGCGGTGCCGGGCTGGGCGGTGCAGGCGAGGGCGGCAGTGGGCTGGGTGCCGGCGAGGGCGGTGCCGGGCTGGGCGGTGCAGGCGAGGGGGGCAGCGGGCTGGGCGCCGGCGAGGGCGGTGCCGGGCTGGGCGGTGCAGGCGAGGGCGGCAGCGGGCTGGGCGCCGGTGAGGGCGGTGCCGGGCTGGGCGGTGCAGGCGAGGGCGGCAGCGGGCTGGGCGCCGGTGAGGGCGGTGCCGGGCTGGGCGGTGCAGGCGAGGGCGGCAGCGGGCTGGGCGCCGGTGAGGGCGGAGCCGGGCTGGGCGGTGCAGGCGAGGGCGGCAGCGGGCTGGGTGCCGGCGAGGGCGGTGCCGGGCTGGGCGGTGCAGGCGAGGGCGGCAGCGGGCTGGGCGCCGGTGAGGGCGGTGCCGGGCTGGGCGGTGCAGGCGAGGGCGGCAGCGGGCTGGGCGCCGGTGAGGGCGGTGCCGGGCTGGGCGGTGCAGGCGAGGGCGGCAGCGGGCTGGGCGCCGGTGAGGGCGGTGCCGGGCTGGGCGGTGCAGGCGAGGGCGGCAGCGGGCTGGGCGCCGGTGAGGGCGGTGCTGGGCTGGGTGGTGCAGGCGAGGGCGGCAGCGGGCTGGGCGCCGGTGAGGGCGGTGCCGGGCTAGGCGGTGCAGGCGAGGGCGGCAGCGGGCTGGGCGCCGGCGAGGGCGGTGCCGGGCTGGGTGGTGCAGGCGAGGGCGGCAGTGGGCTGGGTGCCGGCGAGGGCGGTGCCGGGCTGGGCGGTGCAGGCGAGGGCGGCAGCGGGCTGGGCGCCGGTGAGGGCGGTGCCGGGCTGGGCGGTGCAGGCGAGGGCGGCAGCGGGCTGGGCGCCGGCGAGGGCGGTGCCGGGCTGGGCGGTGCAGGCGAGGGCGGTGCCGAGCTGGGCGGTGCAGGCGAGGGCGGCAGTGGGCTGGGTGCCGGCGAGGGCGGTGCCGGGCTGGGCGGTGCAGGCGAGGGCGGCAGCGGGCTGGATGCCGGCGAGGGCGGTGCCGGGCTGGGCGGCACAGGCGAGGGGGGAAGCGGGCTGGGCGCCGGTGAGGGCGGTGCCGGGCTGGGCGGTGCAGGCGAGGGCGGCAGCGGGCTGGGTGCCGGCGAGGGCGGTGCCGGGCTGGGCGGCGCAGGCGAGGGCGGCAGCGGGCTAGGTGCCGGCGAGGGCGGCACCGGGCTGGGTGCCGGCGAGGGCGGTGCCGGGCTGGGCGGTGCAGGCGAGGGCGGCAGCGGGCTGGGTACCGGCGAGGGCGGTGCCGGGCTGGGCGGCGCATGCAAGGGCGGCAGCGGGCTGGGTGCCGGCGAGGGCGGTGCCGGGCTGGGCGCCGGCGAGGGCGGCACCGGGCTGGGTGCCGGCGAGGGCGGTGCCGGGCTGGGCGGCGCAGGCGAGGGCGGCAGCGGGCTGGGCGCCGGTGAGGGCGGTGCCGGGCTGGGCGGTGCAGGCGAGGGCGGCAGCGGGCTGGGCGCCGGTGAGGGCGGTGCCGGGCTGGGCGGTGCAGGCGAGGGCGGCAGCGGGCTGGGCGCCGGTGAGGGCGGTGCTGGGCTGGGTGGTGCAGGCGAGGGGGGCAGCGGGCTGGGCGCCGGTGAGGGCGGTGCCGGGCTGGGCGGTGCAGGCGAAGGCGGCAGCGGGCTGGGCGCCGGCGAGGGGGGTGCTGGGCTGGGCGGTGCAGGCGAGGGGGGGAGCGGGCTGGGCGCCGGTGAGGGCGGTGCCGGGCTGGGCGGTGCAGGCGAGGGCGGCAGCGGGCTGGGCGCCGGTGAGGGCGGTGCCGGGCTGGGCGGTGCAGGCGAGGGCGGCAGCGGGCTGGGCGCCGGCGAGGGCGGTGCCGGGCTGGGCGGTGCAGGCGAGGGCGGCAGTGGGCTGGGTGCCGGCGAGGGCGGTGCCGGGCTGGGCGGTGCAGGCGAGGGGGGCAGCGGGCTGGGCGCCGGTGAGGGCGGTGCCGGGCTGGGCGGTGCAGGCGAGGGCGGCAGCGGGCTGGGTGCCGGCGAGGGCGGCGCCGGGCTTGGCGGCGCAGGCGAGGGCGGCAGCGGGCTGGGCGCCGGTGAGGGCGGTGCCGGGCTGGGCGGTGCAGGCGAGGGCGGCAGCGGGCTGGGTGCCGGCGAGGGCGGTGCCGGGCTGGGCGGTGCAGGCGAGGGCGGCAGCGGGCTGGGTGCCGGCGAGGGCGGCGCCGGGCTGGGCGGCGCAGGCGAGGGCGGCAGCGGGCTGGGTGCCGGCGAGGGCGGTGCCGGGCTGGGCGGTGCAGGCGAGGGGGGGAGCGGGCTGGGCGACGGTGAGGGCGGTGCCGGGCTGGGCGGTGCAGGCGAGGGCGGCAGCGGGCTGGGTGCCGGCGAGGGCGGTGCCGGGCTGGGCGGCGCAGGCGAGGGCGGCAGCGGGCTAGGTGCCGGCGAGGGCGGCACCGGGCTGGGTGCCGGCGAGGGCGGCACCGGGCTGGGCGGTGCAGGCGAGGGCGGCACCGGGCCGGGTGCCGGCGAGGGCGGTGCCGGGCTGGGCGGTGCAGGCGAGGGCGGCAGCGGGCTGGGCGCCGGCGAGGGGGGTGCCGGGCTGGGCGGTGCAGGCGAGGGCGGCAGCGGGCTGGGCGCCGGTGAGGGCGGTGCCGGGCTGGGCGGTGCAGGCGAGGGCGGCAGCGGGCTGGGCGCCGGTGAGGGCGGTGCCGGGCTGGGCGGTGCAGGCGAGGGGGGCAGCGGGCTGGGCGCCGGTGAGGGCGGTGCCGGGCTGGGCGGTGCAGGCGAGGGCGGTAGCGGGCTGGGCGCCGGTGAGGGCGGTGCCGGGCTGGGCGGTGCAGGCGAGGGCGGCAGCGGGCTGGGCGCCGGCGAGGGCGGTGCCGGGCTGGGCGGCGCAGGCGAGGGCGGCAGCGGGCTGGGTGCCGGCGACGGCGGTGCCGGGCTGGGCGGTGCAGGCGAGGGCGGCAGCGGGCTGGGTGCCGGCGAGGGCGGTGCCGGGCTGGGCGGCGCAGGCGAGGGCGGCAGCGGGCTGGGTGCCGGCGACGGCGGTGCCGGGCTGGGCGGTGCAGGCGAGGGCGGGAGCGGGCTGGGTGCCGGCGAGGGCGGTGCCGGGCTGGGCGGCGCAGGCGAGGGCGGCAGCGGGCTGGGTGCCGGCGAGGGCGGTGCCGGGCTGGGCGGTGCAGGCGAGGGCGGCACCGGGCTGGGTGCCGGTGAGGGCGGTGCCGGGCTGGGCGGTGCAGGCGAGGGCGGCAGCGGGCTGGGCGCCGGTGAGGGCGGTGCCGGGCTGGGCGGCGCAGGCGAGGGGGGCAGCGGGCTGGGCGCCGGTGAGGGCGGTGCCGGGCTGGGCGCTGCAGGAGCGGGCGGCAGCGGGCTGGGCGCCGGCGAGGGCGGAGCCGGGCTGGGTGGCGCCGGCGAGGGCGGCAGCGGGCTGTGCGCCGGCGAGGGCGGCAGCGGGCTGGGTGCCGGTGAGGGCGGTGCCGGGCTGGGCGGCGCAGGCGAGGGCGGCAGCGGGCTGGGTGCCGGCGAGGGCGGTGTCGGGCTGGGCGGTGCAGGCGAGGGCGGCAGCGGGCTGGGTGCCGGCGAGGGCGGTGCCGGGCTGGGCGGTGCAGGCGAGGGCGGCAGCGGGCTGGGGGCCGGCGAGGGCGGTGCCGGGCTGGGCGATGCTGGCGAGGGCGGCACCGGGCTGGGTGCCGGCGAGGGCGGTGCCGGGCTGGGCGGCGCAGGCGAGGGCGGCAGCGGGCTGGGTGCCGGCGAGGGCGGTGCCGGGCTGGGCGGTGCAGGCAAGGGCGGCAGCGGGCTGGGTGCCGGCGAGGGCGGTGCCGGGCTGGGCGGCGCAGGCGAGGGCGGCAGCGGGCTGGGTGCCGGCGAGGGCGGTGCCGGGCTGGGCGGCGCAGGCGAGGGCGGCAGCGGGCTGGGTGCCGGCGACGGCGGTGCCGGGCTGGGCGGTGCAGGCGAGGGCGGCAGCGGGCTGGGTGCCGGCGAGGGCGGTGCCGGGCTGGGCGGCGCAGGCGAGGGCGGCAGCGGGCTGGGTGCCGGCGACGGCGGTGCCGGGCTGGGCGGTGCAGGCGAGGGCGGGAGCGGGCTGGGTGCCGGCGAGGGCGGTGCCGGGCTGGGCGGCGCAGGCGAGGGCGGCAGCGGGCTGGGTGCCGGCGACGGCGGTGCCGGGCTGGGCGGTGCAGGCGAGGGCGGCACCGGGCTGGGTGCCGGTGAGGGCGGTGCCGGGCTGGGCGGTGCAGGCGAGGGCGGCAGTGGGCTGGGTGCCGGCGAGGGCGGTGCCGGGCTGGGCGGTGCAGGCGAGGGCGGCAGCGGGCTGGGTGCCGGCGAGGGCGGTGCCGGGCTGGGTGGTGCAGGCGAGGGCGGCAGTGGGCTGGGTGCCGGCGAGGGCGGTGCCGGGCTGGGCGGTGCAGGCGAGGGCGGCAGCGGGCTGGGCGCCGGTGAGGGCGGTGCCGGGCTGGGCGGTGCAGGCGAGGGCGGCAGCGGGCTGGGCGCCGGCGAGGGCGGTGCCGGGCTGGGCGGTGCAGGCGAGGGCGGTGCCGAGCTGGGCGGTGCAGGCGAGGGCGGCAGTGGGCTGGGTGCCGGCGAGGGCGGTGCCGGGCTGGGCGGTGCAGGCGAGGGCGGCAGCGGGCTGGATGCCGGCGAGGGCGGTGCCGGGCTGGGCGGCACAGGCGAGGGGGGAAGCGGGCTGGGCGCCGGTGAGGGCGGTGCCGGGCTGGGCGGTGCAGGCGAGGGCGGCAGCGGGCTGGGTGCCGGCGAGGGCGGTGCCGGGCTGGGCGGCGCAGGCGAGGGCGGCAGCGGGCTAGGTGCCGGCGAGGGCGGCACCGGGCTGGGTGCCGGCGAGGGCGGTGCCGGGCTGGGCGGTGCAGGCGAGGGCGGCAGCGGGCTGGGTACCGGCGAGGGCGGTGCCGGGCTGGGCGGCGCATGCAAGGGCGGCAGCGGGCTGGGTGCCGGCGAGGGCGGTGCCGGGCTGGGCGCCGGCGAGGGCGGCACCGGGCTGGGTGCCGGCGAGGGCGGTGCCGGGCTGGGCGGCGCAGGCGAGGGCGGCAGCGGGCTGGGCGCCGGTGAGGGCGGTGCCGGGCTGGGCGGTGCAGGCGAGGGCGGCAGCGGGCTGGGCGCCGGTGAGGGCGGTGCCGGGCTGGGCGGTGCAGGCGAGGGCGGCAGCGGGCTGGGCGCCGGTGAGGGCGGTGCTGGGCTGGGTGGTGCAGGCGAGGGGGGCAGCGGGCTGGGCGCCGGTGAGGGCGGTGCCGGGCTGGGCGGTGCAGGCGAAGGCGGCAGCGGGCTGGGCGCCGGCGAGGGGGGTGCTGGGCTGGGCGGTGCAGGCGAGGGGGGGAGCGGGCTGGGCGCCGGTGAGGGCGGTGCCGGGCTGGGCGGTGCAGGCGAGGGCGGCAGCGGGCTGGGCGCCGGTGAGGGCGGTGCCGGGCTGGGCGGTGCAGGCGAGGGCGGCAGCGGGCTGGGCGCCGGCGAGGGCGGTGCCGGGCTGGGCGGTGCAGGCGAGGGCGGCAGTGGGCTGGGTGCCGGCGAGGGCGGTGCCGGGCTGGGCGGTGCAGGCGAGGGGGGCAGCGGGCTGGGCGCCGGTGAGGGCGGTGCCGGGCTGGGCGGTGCAGGCGAGGGCGGCAGCGGGCTGGGTGCCGGCGAGGGCGGCGCCGGGCTGGGCGGCGCAGGCGAGGGCGGCAGCGGGCTGGGCGCCGGTGAGGGCGGTGCCGGGCTGGGCGGTGCAGGCGAGGGCGGCAGCGGGCTGGGTGCCGGCGAGGGCGGTGCCGGGCTGGGCGGTGCAGGCGAGGGCGGCAGCGGGCTGGGTGCCGGCGAGGGCGGCGCCGGGCTGGGCGGCGCAGGCGAGGGCGGCAGCGGGCTGGGTGCCGGCGAGGGCGGTGCCGGGCTGGGCGGTGCAGGCGAGGGGGGGAGCGGGCTGGGCGACGGTGAGGGCGGTGCCGGGCTGGGCGGTGCAGGCGAGGGCGGCAGCGGGCTGGGTGCCGGCGAGGGCGGTGCCGGGCTGGGCGGCGCAGGCGAGGGCGGCAGCGGGCTAGGTGCCGGCGAGGGCGGCACCGGGCTGGGTGCCGGCGAGGGCGGCACCGGGCTGGGCGGTGCAGGCGAGGGCGGCACCGGGCCGGGTGCCGGCGAGGGCGGTGCCGGGCTGGGCGGTGCAGGCGAGGGCGGCAGCGGGCTGGGCGCCGGCGAGGGGGGTGCCGGGCTGGGCGGTGCAGGCGAGGGCGGCAGCGGGCTGGGCGCCGGTGAGGGCGGTGCCGGGCTGGGCGGTGCAGGCGAGGGCGGCAGCGGGCTGGGCGCCGGTGAGGGCGGTGCCGGGCTGGGCGGTGCAGGCGAGGGGGGCAGCGGGCTGGGCGCCGGTGAGGGCGGTGCCGGGCTGGGCGGTGCAGGCGAGGGCGGTAGCGGGCTGGGCGCCGGTGAGGGCGGTGCCGGGCTGGGCGGTGCAGGCGAGGGCGGCAGCGGGCTGGGCGCCGGCGAGGGCGGTGCCGGGCTGGGCGGCGCAGGCGAGGGCGGCAGCGGGCTGGGTGCCGGCGACGGCGGTGCCGGGCTGGGCGGTGCAGGCGAGGGCGGCAGCGGGCTGGGTGCCGGCGAGGGCGGTGCCGGGCTGGGCGGCGCAGGCGAGGGCGGCAGCGGGCTGGGTGCCGGCGACGGCGGTGCCGGGCTGGGCGGTGCAGGCGAGGGCGGGAGCGGGCTGGGTGCCGGCGAGGGCGGTGCCGGGCTGGGCGGCGCAGGCGAGGGCGGCAGCGGGCTGGGTGCCGGCGAGGGCGGTGCCGGGCTGGGCGGTGCAGGCGAGGGCGGCACCGGGCTGGGTGCCGGTGAGGGCGGTGCCGGGCTGGGCGGTGCAGGCGAGGGCGGCAGCGGGCTGGGCGCCGGTGAGGGCGGTGCCGGGCTGGGCGGCGCAGGCGAGGGGGGCAGCGGGCTGGGCGCCGGTGAGGGCGGTGCCGGGCTGGGCGCTGCAGGAGCGGGCGGCAGCGGGCTGGGCGCCGGCGAGGGCGGAGCCGGGCTGGGTGGCGCCGGCGAGGGCGGCAGCGGGCTGTGCGCCGGCGAGGGCGGCAGCGGGCTGGGTGCCGGTGAGGGCGGTGCCGGGCTGGGCGGCGCAGGCGAGGGCGGCAGCGGGCTGGGTGCCGGCGAGGGCGGTGTCGGGCTGGGCGGTGCAGGCGAGGGCGGCAGCGGGCTGGGTGCCGGCGAGGGCGGTGCCGGGCTGGGCGGTGCAGGCGAGGGCGGCAGCGGGCTGGGGGCCGGCGAGGGCGGTGCCGGGCTGGGCGATGCTGGCGAGGGCGGCACCGGGCTGGGTGCCGGCGAGGGCGGTGCCGGGCTGGGCGGCGCAGGCGAGGGCGGCAGCGGGCTGGGTGCCGGCGAGGGCGGTGCCGGGCTGGGCGGTGCAGGCAAGGGCGGCAGCGGGCTGGGTGCCGGCGAGGGCGGTGCCGGGCTGGGCGGCGCAGGCGAGGGCGGCAGCGGGCTGGGTGCCGGCGAGGGCGGTGCCGGGCTGGGCGGCGCAGGCGAGGGCGGCAGCGGGCTGGGTGCCGGCGACGGCGGTGCCGGGCTGGGCGGTGCAGGCGAGGGCGGCAGCGGGCTGGGTGCCGGCGAGGGCGGTGCCGGGCTGGGCGGCGCAGGCGAGGGCGGCAGCGGGCTGGGTGCCGGCGACGGCGGTGCCGGGCTGGGCGGTGCAGGCGAGGGCGGGAGCGGGCTGGGTGCCGGCGAGGGCGGTGCCGGGCTGGGCGGCGCAGGCGAGGGCGGCAGCGGGCTGGGTGCCGGCGACGGCGGTGCCGGGCTGGGCGGTGCAGGCGAGGGCGGCACCGGGCTGGGTGCCGGTGAGGGCGGTGCCGGGCTGGGCGGTGCAGGCGAGGGCGGCAGTGGGCTGGGTGCCGGCGAGGGCGGTGCCGGGCTGGGCGGTGCAGGCGAGGGGGGCAGCGGGCTGGGTGCCGGCGAGGGTGGTGCCGGGCTGGGCGGCGCAGGCGAGGGCGGCAGCGGGCTGGGTGCCGGCGAGGGCGGTGCCGGGCTGGGCGGCGCAGGCGAGGGCGGCAGCGGGCTGGGTGCCGGCGAGGGCGGTGCCGGGCTGGGCGGCGCAGGCGAGGGCGGCAGCGGGCTGGGTGCCGGCGAGGGCGGTGCCGGGCTGGGCGGCGCAGGCGAGGGCGGCAGCGGGCTGGGTGCCGGCGAGGGCGGTGCCGGGCTGGGCGGTGCAGGCGAGGGCGGCAGCGGGCTGGGCGCCGGTGAGGGCGGTGCCGGGCTGGGCGGTGCAGGCGAGGGCGGCAGCGGGCTGGGTGCCGGCGAGGGCGGTGCCGGGCTGGGCGGTGCAGGCGAGGGCGGCAGCGGGCTGGGTGCCGGCGACGGCGGTGCCGGGCTGGGCGGTGCAGGCGAGGGCGGGAGCGGGCTGGGTGCCGGCGAGGGCGGTGCCGGGCTGGGCGGCGCAGGCGAGGGCGGCAGCGGGCTGGGTGCCGGCGAGGGCGGTGCCGGGCTGGGCGGTGCTGGCGAGGGCGGCACCGGGCTGGTTTGCGGCAGAGCGGTAGGCGGTGGCAACGGCTTTGGTGGTCGTGGTGAGGGGGGTAACGGCTTCGGAGGTCGTGGGGATGGTGGTCGTTGGCTTGGTGGCCGTGGAGATGGGGGCAACGGAGCCTCTGGGGGCGGACTTGGAGCGCATTGGAAAGCAGCCGTTCCGGGGCGTGGAACCTCAAAAGACCAGAGGCAATCGTTCGCTTGGTCCCCATTGCCACAGCCAGCAAGGGTGCCGTTCACCATGCGTGGGTCTTGGCAAGTTGCTGTGATGCCTCGCAAAGTGACCGATAGTGGTGATGAAACTGCAGGAGGCAGGGTTGAAAGTTGCTCAACAGATGTTTTGAGGGCGCAACAATGCTTATACGTTGGCTGACATTGTGTTAGAAACAGTGCAAGGCTTGCAAGGCTCTATTCAGTCAGCTTGGTCAGCATCTTACCATCCCGACATGAACCGCTGCCATCCTTGACAGTGAAACGGACAGTCTCCGTGCTGAAGTTCGTGCTGTTCCACCGAGCCCACTGACAGTATCGGTCTGCAAAAATGGTTGTGTAAGGGCAAACACACGTGTTGCCGTTAGGGGTGACATGGCTATCTTCAGTAAATAAGCGCATGACCTTTATGAACTTACTTGGCAAACCTGAATTCCAGTCCTGCACCTTGTGCGTATCACCGGCTATCGGTGGGCTCTCAGGACTGGGAATGACTGGGTAGTACTGGTCGCCCATGCACACGTGGCTGATGGTGTCTTGGGTAGGCTTGACGCAGCTGGCACGACTGTTGCTCCAATACAGGCAAACTTCGCAATACAACCAAGGGCCGCCAGCGCTGCTGCTGCCATCGTACCCTACCATACTGCATGTGCTGCTATCCACGTACACATCCAGACAGCTAGCCTGGTCCGTGCACGTTTCGACGCCGTTCTGCAAAGAGGGGGGTTATGGCATATGCGTTTAACGAATGCAGGCACGGAATACATTCATCGTAGAATGCAATGCAGAACATGTTTTACCACAAGTTTACGAGAACGTACCGTTGGATCACCCTCCTGAAGCGCGCTGTCATCTCCAGAGTACACGCAGTTAGTAAAGGGAGGAGGTGGTGGCTGTGGAATGAGGCTGGGAGGCGCCGGCGAGGGCGGAGCCGGGCTGGGCGGCGCAGGCGAGGGCGGCAGCGGGCTGGGCGCCGGCGAGGGCGGTGCCGGGCTAGGCGGTGCAGGCGAGGGCGGCAGCGGGCTGGGCGCCGGCGAGGGCGGTGCCGGGCTGGGCGGCGCAGGCGAGGGCGGCATCGGGCTGGGCGCCGGCGAGGGCGGTGCCGGGCTAGGCGGTGCAGGCGAGGGTGGCAGCGGGCTGGGCGCCGGTGAGGGCGGTGCCGGGCTGGGCGGTGCAGGTGAGGGCGGCAGCGGGCTGGGCGCCGGCGAGGGGGGCGCCGGGCTGGGCGGTGCAGGCGAGGGTGGCAGCGGGCTGGGCGCCGGTGAGGGCGGTGCCGGGCTGGGCGGTGCAGGTAAGGGCGGCAGCGGGCTGGGCGCCGGTGAGGGCGGTGCCGGGCTGGGCGGCGCAGGCGAGGGGGGCAGCGGGCTGGGCGCCGGTGAGGGCGGTGCCGGGCTGGGCGGCGCAGGAGAGGGCGGCAGCGGGCTGGGCGCCGGCGAGGGCGGTGCCGGGCTGGGCGGCGCAGGCGAGGGCGGCAGCGGGCTGGGCGCCGGTGAGGGCGGTGCCGGGCTGGGCGGTGCAGGCGAGGGCGGCAGCGGGCTGGGTGCCGGCGAGGGCGGTGCCGGGCTGGGCGGCGCAGGCAAGGGCGGCAGCGGGCTGGGCGCCGGTAAGGGCGGTGCCGGGCTGGGCGGCGCAGGCGAGGGCGGCAGCGGGCTGGGGGCCGGCGAGGGCGGTGCCGGGCTGGGCGGCGCCGGCGAGGGCGGCAGCGGGCTGGGCGCCGGCGAGGGCGGTGCCGGGCTGGGCGGTGCAGGCGAGGGCGGCAGCGGGCTGGGCGCCGGTGAGGGCGGTGCCGGGCTGGGCGATGCAGGCGAGGGCGGCAGCGGGCTGGGTGCCGGCGAGGGCGGTGCCGGGCTGGGCGGCGCAGGCGAGGGCGGCAGCGGGCTGGGCGCCGGTGAGGGCGGTGCCGGGCTGGGCGGCGCAGGCGAGGGCGGCAGCGGGCTGGGCGCCGGCGAGGGCGGTGCCGGGCTGGGCGGCGCAGGCGAGGGCGGCAGCGGGCTGGGTGCCGGCGACGGCGGTGCCGGGCTGGGCGGTGCAGGCGAGGGCGGCAGCGGGCTGGGTGCCGGCGAGGGCGGTGCCGGGCTGGGTGGCGAAGGCGAGGGCGGCAGCGGGCTGGGTGCCGGCGAGGGCGGTGCCGGGCTGGGTGGCGCAGGCGAGGGCGGCAGCGGGCTGGGTGCCGGCGAGGGCGGTGCCGGGCTGGGCGGCGCAGGCGAGGGCGGCAGCGGGCTGGGTGCCGGCGAGGGCGGTTCCGGGCTGGGCGGTGCAGGCGAGGGCGGCAGCGGGCTGGGCGCCGGTGAGGGCGGTGCCGGGCTGGGCGGTGCAGGCGAGGGCGGCAGCGGGCTGGGCGCCGGTGATGGCGGTGCCGGGCTGGGCGATGCAGGCGAGGGCGGCAGCGGGCTGGGTGCCGGCGAGGGCGGTGCCGGGCTGGGCGGCGCAGGCGAGGGCGGCAGCGGGCTGGGCGCCGGTGAGGGCGGTGCCGGGCTGGGCGGCGCAGGCGAGGGCGGCAGCGGGCTGGGCGCCGGCGAGGGCGGTGCCGGGCTGGGCGGCGCAGGCGAGGGCGGCAGCGGGCTGGGTGCCGGCGACGGCGGTGCCGGGCTGGGCGGTGCAGGCGAGGGCGGCAGCGGGCTGGGTGCCGGCGAGGGCGGTGCCGGGCTGGGTGGCGCAGGCGAGGGCGGCAGCGGGCTGGGCGCCGGCGAGGGCGGTGCCGGGCTGGGCGGCGCAGGCGAGGGCGGCAGAGGGCTGGGCGCCGGCGACGGCGGTGCCGGGCTGGGCGGTGCAGGCGAGGGCGGCAGCGGGCTGGGTGCCGGCGAGGGCGGTGCAGGCGAGGGCGGCAGCGGGCTGGGCGCCGGCGAGGGGGGCGCCGGGCTGGGCGGTGCAGGCGAGGGTGGCAGCGGGCTGGGCGCCGGTGAGGGCGGTGCCGGGCTGGGCGGTGCAGGTGAGGGCGGCAGCGGGCTGGGCGCCGGTGAGGGCGGTGCCGGGCTGGGCGGCGCAGGCGAGGGTGGCAGCGGGCTGGGTGCCGGCGACGGCGGTGCCGGGCTGGGCGGCGCAGGCGAGGGCGGCAGCGGGCTGGGCGCCGGTGAGGGCGGTGCAGGGCTGGGCGGTGCAGGCGAGGGCGGGAGCGGGCTGGGTGCTGGCGAGGGCGGTGCCGGGCTGGGCGGTGCAGGTGAGGGCGGCAGCGGGCCGGGTGCCGGCGAGGGCGGTGCCGGGCTGGGCGGTGCAGGCGAGGGCGGCAGCGGGCTGGGCGCCGGCGAGGGCGGTGCCGGGCTGGGCGGTGCAGGCGAGGGCGGCAGCGGGCTGGGTGCCGGCGAGGGCGGTGCCGGGCTGGGTGGCGCAGGCGAGGGCGGCAGCGGGCTGGGTGCCGGCGAGGGCGGTGCCGGGCTGGGCGGCGCAGGCGAGGGCGGCAGAGGGCTGGGCGCCGGCGACGGCGGTGCCGGGCTGGGCGGTGCAGGCGAGGGCGGCAGCGGGCTGGGTGCCGGCGAGGGCGGTGCAGGCGAGGGCGGCAGCGGGCTGGGCGCCGGCGAGGGGGGCGCCGGGCTGGGCGGTGCAGGCGAGGGTGGCAGCGGGCTGGGCGCCGGTGAGGGCGGTGCCGGGCTGGGCGGTGCAGGTGAGGGCAGCAGCGGGCTGGGCGCCGGTGAGGGCGGTGCCGGGCTGGGCGGCGCAGGCGAGGGTGGCAGCGGGCTGGGTGCCGGCGACGGCGGTGCCGGGCTGGGCGGCGCAGGCGAGGGCGGCAGCGGGCTGGGCGCCGGTGAGGGCGGTGCAGGGCTGGGCGGTGCAGGCGAGGGCGGGAGCGGGCTGGGTGCTGGCGAGGGCGGTGCCGGGCTGGGCGGTGCAGGTGAGGGCGGCAGCGGGCCGGGTGCCGGCGAGGGCGGTGCCGGGCTGGGCGGCGCAGGCGAGGGCGGCAGCGGGCTGGGTGCCGGCGAGGGCGGTGCCGGGCTGGGCGGCGCAGGCGAGGGCGGCAGCGGGCTGGGCGCCGGTGAGGGCGGTGCCGGGCTGGGCGGTGCAGGCGAGGGCGGCAGCGGGCTGGGCGCCGGTGAGGGCGGTGCCGGGCTGGGCGGTGCAGGTGAGGGCGGCAGCGGGCTGGGCGCCGGCGAGGGGGGCGCCGGGCTGGGCGGTGCAGGCGAGGGTGGCAGCGGGCTGGGCGCCGGTGAGGGCGGTGCCGGGCTGGGCGGTGCAGGTGAGGGCGGCAGCGGGCTGGGCGCCGGTGAGGGCGGTGCCGGGCTGGGCGGCGCAGGCGAGGGGGGCAGCGGGCTGGGCGCCGGTGAGGGCGGTGCCGGGCTGGGCGCTGCAGGAGAGGGCGGCAGCGGGCTGGGCGCCGGTGAGGGCGGTGCAGGGCTGGGCGGTACAGGCGAGGGCGGCAGCGGGCTGGGCGCCGGCGAGGGCGGTGCCGGGCTGGGCGGTGCAGGCGAGGGTGGCAGCGGGCTGGGCGCCGGCGAGGGCGGTGCCGGGCTGGGCGGTGCAGGCGAGGGTGGCAGCGGGCTGGGTGCCGGCGAGGGCGGTGCCGGGCTGGGCGGTGCAGGCGAGGGCGGCAGCGGGCTGGGCGCCGGCGAGGGCGGTGCAGGGCTGGGCGGTGCAGGCGAGGGTGGCAGCGGGCTAGGCGCCGGCGAGGGCGGTGCAGGGCTGGGCGGTGCAGGCGAGGGCGGTGCCGGGCTGGGCGGTGCAGGCGACGGCGGCAGCGGGCTGGGCGGTGCAGGCGACGGCGGCAGCGGGCTGGGCGCCGGCGAGGGCGGTGCCGGGCTGGGCGGTGCAGGCGACGGCGGCAGCGGGCTGGGTGCCGGCGAGGGCGGTGCCGGGCTGGGCGGTGCAGGCGAGGGCGGCAGCGGGCTGGGCGCCGGCGAGGGCGGTGCCGGGCTGGGTGGCGCAGGCGAGGGCGGCAGCGGGCTGGGTGGGCTCATTGACCGAGGGGACGGTGGCCGAGAGCTTGGAGGCATAGGTGGACCTGGCACACAGTGGAACTCTGGCGTGCCAGGCCGTGGAATTTGGAACGACCAAAGGCAATCGTTGGACGCATCCTCGGAACCGCACCCAGCAAGGGCGTCGTCGACCTCACGGGGTCCCTGGCAAGTGGCTGCGATGCCTTGCAGCGTCACGGACAAGGGCGTAGCAACTGCGAGGGTCAAAGGAGAGGACACGGGGGAACACGCTGATGCGCTTGCTATGCTACCGAGTTTCCTTGAAGTGTCCCCCACCCATGTAGTATGGTATGTGGTAGCACCAGGCGTGTCGTGGCATCGTCCGACCTGGGCTAACCTTGAGCCAGTAACACATGCTTACCGTCCCGGCATTCGCCACTGCCATCGCTGACAGTGAAACTGACGGTTTCCTTGCCGAAGTTCGTGCTGTTCCACCGCACCCATTGGCAGTAGCGATCTGCACGTCGGCATCGGCAATTAGGGCTTGAGATATTTCACGCGGGCAAAAGAACAGATACTCGGCAAGAACTACGACGTTCCCAACTGCCCCACGTACTTTCGATGCCAGAGCCCCAGTCCTGAACCTCATACGTCTCGCCGACAGCCGGCGAGCTCTCGATGCTCGGAATGACAGGTAGGAACCGATCACCCATGCAAACGTGGCCAAGGGTGTCATTAATGGGCTTGGCGCAAGTTGCGCGGTCCGTGTTCCAGTACAGGCAAACCTCGCAGTACAGCCATGGCTCATCATCCTCACTACCGTAGTCACCAACAACTGTAATGCAGGAGCTGGCATCCATGAACACATCGAGGCAACTGGCTTGGTCCATACAGGTCTCGACGCCATCCTGCAGGGGAGAAGGTTGCACAGCGTTATGATACCACAGCGGCATGAGGTGAAAATGGGCTGAACCCGATTAAGCAACCAGGCGGCAAGTATCGGCCCACCGTGGAATTGCCTTGTACGAGACCGGTGTCGTTTCCTGGATCCCTGTAGATGCAAGGCTCCTGCTCAGGAGGAGAAGGGGGTCTAGGAGGCCTCGGGTGACGCGGCGGCGGGTGAACCGCCGACGGGGTGGGCGTAGGAGGTGACGGTCCCCAAGGCATTGGAGGCTGAGCCGATGGTGGCACGGGGCCGAAAGGCCGTGGGGAAGGCGGCAACGGACTTGATGACCGAGGAGATGGTGGCCGAGAGCTTGGAGGCATAGGTGGACCTGGCACACAGTGGAACTCAGGCGTGCCAGGCCGTGGAATTTGGAACGACCAAAGGCAATCGTTGGACGCATCCTCAGAACCGCACCCAGCAAGGGCGTCGTCGACCTCACGGGGTCCCTGGCAAGTGGCTGCGATGCCTTGCAGCGTCACGGACAAGGGCGTAGCAACTGCGAGGGTGAAAGGAGAGGACACAGGGGAACACGCTGATGCGCTTGACATGATGTTGGATTTCCTCCACGGTGTCCCCCGCACATGTAGTACGGTACGTGTAGCACAATGCATTCGGTTTACCAGGCGTGTCGTGGCATCGTCCGACCTGGGCTAACCTTGAGCCAGTAACACATGCTTACCGTCCCGGCATTCGCCACTGCCATCGCTGACAGTGAAACTGACGGTTTCCTTGCCGAAGTTCGTGCTGTTCCACCGCACCCATTGGCAGTAGCGATCTGCACGTCGGCATCGGCAATTAGGGCTTGAGATATTTCACGCGGGCAAAAGAACAGATACTCGGCAAGAACTACGACGTTCCCAACTGCCCCACGTACTTTCGATGCCAGAGCCCCAGTCCTGAACCTCATACGTCTCGCCGACAGCCGGCGAGCTCTCGATGCTCGGAATGACAGGTAGGAACCGATCACCCATGCAAACGTGGCCAAGGGTGTCATTAATGGGCTTGGCGCAAGTTGCGCGGTCCGTGTTCCAGTACAGGCAAACCTCGCAGTACAGCCATGGCTCATCATCCTCACTACCGTAGTCACCAACAACTGTAATGCAGGAGCTGGCATCCATGAACACATCGAGGCAACTGGCTTGGTCCATACAGGTCTCGACGCCATCCTGCAGGGGAGAAGGTTGCACAGCGTTATGATACCACAGCGGCATGAGGTGAAAATGGGCTGAACCCGATTAAGCAACCAGGCGGCAAGTATCGGCCCACCGTGGAATTGCCTTGTACGAGACCGGTGTCGTTTCCTGGATCCCTGTAGATGCAAGGCTCCTGCTCAGGAGGAGAAGGGGGTCTAGGAGGCCTCGGGTGACGCGGCGGCGGGTGAACCGCCGACGGGGTGGGCGTAGGAGGTGACGGTCCCCAAGGCATTGGAGGCTGAGCCGATGGTGGCACGGGGCCGAAAGGCCGTGGGGAAGGCGGCAACGGACTTGATGACCGAGGAGATGGTGGCCGAGAGCTTGGAGGCATAGGTGGACCTGGCACACAGTGGAACTCAGGCGTGCCAGGCCGTGGAATTTGGAACGACCAAAGGCAATCGTTGGACGCATCCTCAGAACCGCACCCAGCAAGGGCGTCGTCGACCTCACGGGGTCCCTGGCAAGTGGCTGCGATGCCTTGCAGCGTCACGGACAAGGGCGTAGCAACTGCGAGGGTCAAAGGAGAGGACACAGGGGAACACGCTGATGCGCTTGACATGATGTTGGATTTCCTCCACGGTGTCCCCCGCACATGTAGTACGGTACGTGTAGCACAATGCATTCGGTTTACCAGGCGTGTCGTGGCATCGTCCGACCTGGGCTAACCTAGAGCCAGTAACACATGCTTACCGTCCCGGCATTCACCACTGCCATCGCTGACAGTGAAACTGACGGTTTCTTTGCCGAAGTTCGTGCTGTTCCACCGCACCCATTGGCAGTAGCGATCTGCACGTCGGCATCGGCAAGGAGGGAAGGTCGCCTTAAGAAAACGTCATGAGGGATGTGAGAACGTAAGAACAGATACTCGGCAAGGACTACGACGTTCCCAACTGCCCCACGTACTTTCGATGCCAGAGCCCCAGTCCTGAACCTCATACGTCTCGCCGACAGCCGGCGAGCTCTCGATGCTCGGAATGACAGGTAGGAACCGATCACCCATGCAAACGTGGCCAAGGGTGTCATTCATGGGCTTGGCGCAAGTTGCGCGGTCCGTGTTCCAGTACAGGCAAACCTCGCAGTACAGCCATGGCTCATCATCCTCACTACCGTAGTCACCAACAACTGTAATGCAGGAGCTGGCATCCATGAACACATCGAGGCAACTGGCTTGGTCCATACAGGTCTCGACGCCATCCTGCAGGGGAGAAGGTTGCACAGCGTTATGATACCACAGCGGCATGAGGTGAAAATGGGCTGAACCCGATTAAGCAACCAGGCGGCAAGTATCGGCCCACCGTGGAATTGCCTTGTACGAGACCGGTGTCGTTTCCTGGATCCCTGTAGATGCAAGGCTCCTGCTCAGGAGGAGAAGGGGGTCTAGGAGGCCTAGGGTGGCGTGGCGGCGGGTGAACCGCCGACGGGGTGGGCGTAGGAGGTGACGGTCCCCAAGGCTCAGGTGATGGTGGCGGCGGGCTGGGTGCCGGTGAGGGAGGTGCCGGGCTGGGCGGCGCAGGCGAGGGCGGTTCCGGGCTGGGCGGAGCAGGCGATGGCGGCTGCGGGCTGGGCGCTGGTGATAGGGGAAGGCTGGGCGGTGTAGGTGAGGGTGGCAGTGGGCTGGGCGCCGGTGAGGGGGGTGATGATTTGGGTGGCGAAGGCGGAGGAGGTCGCGGCCGTGGTGGTGACGGCCTTGGGCTTGGTGGCTTAGGAGGGGGGGGCCGTGGGCTCGGCGGCTTGGGCCGTGGGCTTGGGGGCCGAGGGGATGGCGGTAATGGGGATGGGGGTGGGTTTGGTGCCATTGGTGGGCTTGGCGCACAGCTGAACCCAGGCGTGCCTGGTCGTGGAATGTTGAATGACCAGAGGCAATCGTTTGTAGCATCGCCGTTGCCACAGCCAACAGGAGTGTCGTCGACTTCACGCGGACCCTGACATGTAGCATCGATGCCTTGCAAGGTGACCGACAACGGTGTAGCCACTGCAGGGGAATAGAATCCGGGGTGCGTTTACAGTTTGTATTAGTGTTACCGTAGCAGTAGAATACCTTCGTAACCCCCCTTGCATAGCGCGTTCATAGGGACTTACCGTTCCGGCATTCGCCACTGCCATCGCTGACAGTGAAACTGACGGTTTCCTTGCCGTAGTTCGTACTGTTCCACCGGATCCATTGGCAGTAGCGATCTGCGCGCAAGGAACGACACATTTGAGTTGACCATATGTATTCCTCTTTCACTTGGAACGCTCCTCGCACTCTTGGATTGTACGTAGCACGGGACAGTAACGGAATGCAACGATCAATCATTCAGTCAACGGCCTAGGCGAGCAACGGAAGGGATCCACGTACTTTCAATGCCAGGGCCCCAGGCCTGGACCTCGTACGTCTGGCCAACCGTCGGCGTGCTCTCAAAACTCGTCAGAATAGGAGACAACTGGTCGCCCATGCAGACGTGGCCCACGGTATCAGTGCTTGCTTTGGCGCAAGTGGCGCGTTCGTTGTCCCAATACAGGCAAACTTCGCAGTAAAGCCAGGGAGCGCCAGCGTCGCTGCTGCCGGTGCCTGGCATCATGACGCAAGTCTTGCTGTCCAAAAACACATTCAGGCAACTGGCCTGATCCATACAGGTTTCAATGCCGTCCTGCAAGGTAACAACGATGGTAAATGGGGGTGTCAGCTAATGACATGAGTGCCTATTGAATGAGTGCCAAGGTAAGTAGCGTTAGATTTATACATGTTTCCTTTCATAGCACCGCAAGCTGATGGTCTCACGCACTACCGCCGTACCGTGGGATCGCCCTGCTCAAGACCGCTGTCCATTCCAGGGTTGTAGTAGATGCAGGGCTCAACAGGAGGAGAGGGTGCTGGCGGCGACGGTGGCGGCGGCGGCGGGTTCAGGCTTACGGCAGCTGGAGAAGGTGGCTGGGGGGGGCTTGGTGGTGATGGCGAGGGTGGCTGGGGGCTTGGCGGAGGTGGGGAGGGCTTCGGGCTAGGCGGCGAAGGAGATGGTGGCTGGGGGCTTGGCGGAGGTGGGGAGGGCTCCGGGCTAGGCGGCGAAGGAGAGGGTGGCTGGGGGCTTGGCGGAGGTGGGGAGGGCTCCGGGCTAGGCGGCGAAGGAGATGGTGGCTGGGGGCTTGGCGGAGGTGGGGAGGGCTCCGGGCTAGGCGGCGAAGGAGATGGTGGCTGGGGGCTTGGCGGAGGTGGGGAGGGCTCCGGGCTGGGCGGCGAAGGAGAGGGTGGCTGGGGGCTAGGTGGTGGGGAAGATGGCGCAGGGCTAGGCGGCGTTGGCGAAGGCGGCTGTGGGCTAGGCGGTAGTGGGGAGGGAGCGGGGCTAGGCGGCGGTGGGGAGGGTGGCTGGGGGCTTGGAGGTGGCGGGGAGGGAGCCGGGCTAGGCGGCTTTGGCGAAGGTGGCTGTGGGCTAGGTGGTGGTGGGGAGGGAGCTGGGCTAGGAGGTGAGGGGGACGGCGGTTGTGGGCTAGGTGGAGGAGGGGACGGCGGCTGTGGGCTTGGAGGCGGCGGTGAGGGAGCTGGGCTAGGTGGTGACGGAGAAGGTGGTTGTGGGCTAGGAGGAGATGGGGAGGGCGCTGGGCTCGGCGACGATGGGGAGGGAAGTTGTGGGCTTGGAGGAGGCGTGGAGGTATCCGGGCTGTCCGGAGCAGGGGAAGGCGGCTGGGGGCTGGGCTGCGGTGGCGAAGGTGCTGGGCTAGGCGGTGATGGAAGAGGCGGCCTTGGGCTAGGAGGGCGTGGGGAGGGAGGCGGGCTCGGCCGAGGAGGAGACGGTGGCCGAGGAGGTGGGGGCGGCATAGGGCTTGGAGGAGAGGGGGCACACTTGAAGGCAGGGGTGCCAGGTCGTGGAATCTCGAAGGACCAGAGGCACTCATCCTGGTCTCCAGTACCGCAGCCAGCAGCCACATTGTCCACCACACGTGGGTTTTGGCACGTTGCCGCGAGGCCTTGAAGGGTGACCGATAAGGGCGCCGTAGCTGCAAGTACAGGAAAACGTACTCAGTTAACAGTGCGCCATTAAGCAAAGGCTGTAAGCCATCCGACACTACACACCGAGACGCATGCAGGAACCCCAAACAAGAACGATCCCTAGGAATGCACTTACTGTTGAGGCATGCACCGCTGCCGTCCTTGACGGAGAACCGTACGGTCTCCGTGCCGTTGTTTGTGCTGTTCCACTGAATCCACTGGCAGTAGCGGTCTGCACATGACAACGGATGAAGTATACAGGCGTGAGCAAGGACACTTTTCTGACGCTCATATGGAGGCCAAGACCCAATTTGCTCGCTTTAGCCACCAGGGGTTGAATTGTGGCTTGCTTACGTACTCGGGTATCCACTCGACTGCATGAACAGAGCTGACTTACTGTATGCGCCCGAGCTCCAGATGTCCAGCGTGTACGTGTTGCCAGCCGCAGGTGAGCTCGTAGCAGTCGGCATCACTGGGTAGAGCTGGTCGGCCATGCATACGCGGCTGACGGTGTCGGCGCTAGGCTTAGCGCAAGTTGCACGACTGTTACCCCAGTACAAGCACGCTTGGCAGCGCAGCAAGCCAGTGCTGGTGGTGGTGCATGTGCCGCTGTCAATGTAGATATCCAGGCAGCTAGCCTGGTCCACGCAAGATTCTATGCCGTCCTGCAGATAGCAAAAGCGAAAGGAGGGTGAATAAGGGCACAGGACTGGCCTTCTGGGGTTTGAGGCAAACACTACTATACCTGAGAATCGCCTTGCTCAAGCCCGGCGTCGTTCCCAGGGTCCCAGTAAACGCATGAAGGCGCTTTTGGAGGGGGTGCCGGGCTGGGTGGACGAGGTGAGGGTGGTGGAGGGCTAGGCGGCTTGGGAGGGCTTGGTGGCTTCGGAGGGCTAGGCGGCTTGGGAGGGCTAGGCGGCTTGGGAGATGGTGAGAATTTGGGCGACGGGCTGGGCGGCGCAGGCGAGGGCGGCAGCGGGCTGGGCGCCGGCGAGGGCGGTTCCGGGCTGGGCGGCGCAGGCGAGGGCGGCAGCGGGCTGGGCGCCGGCGAGGGCGGTTCCGGGCTGGGCGGGGCAGGCGGGGGCGGCAGCGGGCTGGGTGCAGGCGAGGACGGTGCCGGGCTTGGCGGCGCAGGCGAGGGCGGCAGCGGGCTGGGCGCCGGAGAGGGCGGTGCCGGGCTGGGCGGTGGCGGAGAAGGTGCCGGCCGGGGAGGTGAGGGAGGGGGAGGCGCCGGGCTTGCCACAGGAGAGGGCGGCAGAGAGCTGAGTGGCATTGGTGGAGACGGTGCGCACTTGAAGTCAGGGGTGCCAGGTCGTGGGATGTTGAAGGACCAGAGGCACTCATTGTCCTGGTCTCCAATTCCGCAGCCAGCAAGGGTCCCGTCCACCACACGTGGGTTTTGGCACGTCGCTGCAATGCCTTGCATGGTGACCGACAAAGGCGTCGATGCTGCGCAGCACGAAAGGGTTTTGACGCAATCAGAAGTGTGCTTTGTAAGCCTTGCATATGCTGAGCGCCAAAACGTGTGCCGCTTTCCCCATGAGAAAATTCCAAGCACTTACCACTTAAGCAGGTGCCACTGCCATCCTTAACGGTGAATCGTACGGTCTCCGTGCCGTAGTTGGTGCTGTTCCAGCGAGCCCACTGACAGTATCGGTCTGCAAATGGAAGTAATGGAAAGGTAGGACACACCAGGAAGCCGTTACTTGCTGGTGCTAGCACATGTGCAAGTACCCCAGGTAGCTTAAGCCACCGTGGGCTAAGGGTTATACGTCCGTCTAGATGTGACCGTACGGCAACTTACTCGCAACACCCGAGCTCCAGCCATCCAGCTTGTACGTGTTACCAGCCGCAGGTGAGCTCCCAGCAATTGGCATCACTGGATAGAACTCGTCGCCCATGCATACGTGGCTGACGGTGTCCTGGCCAGACTTAGCGCAAGCTGCACGGTTGTTGCTCCAGTACAGGCAAACCTGGCAGTACAGCCATGCGCCGTCATCGCTTTTGCCGCATGTGCTGCCATCCAGGTAAACATCCAGGCAGCTAGCCTGGTCCACGCACGACTCTATGCCGTTCTGCAGGGAGCAAATGCACAAGTAAGGTGAGCATACGCCCCGGCCGGGATACGAAGGTTAGCAGCAAACATAACTACTCCACCTGGGAGTCGCCTTGCTGAATCCCACTATCATTCCCGGGATTCCAGTAGACGCATGGCGGCACTCCAGGGGATGGTGGAGGGCTTAGCGGCTTAGGTGGTGCTGGGAGTGGGTTGGGCTGTGGTGGAATGGGAGAGGGGGGCGCCGGACTAGGCGGCTGGGGAGAAGGCTTTGGAGGGCTTGGCGGCGGAGAAAGCTTTGGTGACGGGCTAGGCGGCGCAGGCGAGGGTGGCCGTGGGCTGGGCGGTGGCGGAGAAGGTGCCGGCCGGGGAGGTGAGGGAGGAGGCGCCTGGCTTGCCACAGGAGAGGGCGGCAGAGGGCTGGGCGGCATTGGTGGAGACGGTCCGCATTTGAAGGCAGGGGTGCCAGGTCGAGGAACCTCAAACGACCAGAGGCACTCATTGTCCTGGTCTCCAATACCGCAGCCAGCAAGGGTCCCGTCCACCACACGTGGGTTTTGGCACGTCGCTGCGATGCCTTGCAGGGTGACCGACAGCGGTGATGGAACTGCAGGGCATGGGAACAGTGAAGTTTGAGCAAGCTGGTACACCGCGGAATGCACACAGGTGCACCATACCAACAAAAGCGCATGGGACAAAAACATACACCGTTACTGGTGCATACCGTTCAGGCATGCACCGCTGCCGTCCTTCACAGTGAACCGTACGGTCTCCGCGCCGTAGTTGGTGCTGTTCCAGCGCGCCCATTGGCAATATCGGGCTGTGGGAAACGTGGAGGGGTTGGGAGAAGTGGGAAGGATGTCAGATGGAGAAAGCCTTCTGGCGTGGGAGGGGCAAAGGGCCAAGGTCTTGCAGTGCATTTAGGGCGCCGTAGGAGGCCTGGTCTGTTGGCTTTGAACTGAAAGGTATAGCACATACGTCCTTGAGGTTTGTTGTGGTCAACGTTTGCGCATGGCGCCTGCGAAGGGTGCTATCTGATGTCGCAGGTAACAACACAGCAAGGAGTGCAGTACAGTTTGCCCCATGGGGCCCTCAAACAAGAAACCTAGAATCACGACAGCAATGTTAATAGCGTTGAAGTGAATCTGCTAATAGGAACTAGCAGTAACAGGTTGGCCTCCAGTAGGCAGGAGCGTGCTTGCAAGCACGGCGCATGTACATGCAAGCGCACTCCTATCCTGTATTTAACATGGGCAGATAAGCTTGCGCTTGAGCGATTCTCCCCTTACGAAAAACGGTTCTTGATTGCGCAGTATTTCTCGACACATGCTGCTGTCTTGCCAATGAGGCAAAGAAAGAGTACGAAATAACTCGCAGCTCTATAAGCCTTTGCAAGCATCATGTTGTGGGGAAGCAAGACCACAATTTTAAGAGAGCGACTGCGCGCACGTGGTGGCATTTCGAATACAGTTAACTGATTTCGTATGCCTCCATACAAGGTCTGTAGTCTGGTCAATGATGCATGGTGCGCACTGTACGCGGCTGACATGCTGCGAAAAGTAGTGCTGACACCTGCCCTGGCACCTTACAACTGTACCCAACCCTGCCAGCCCACTTACCGTCAGCGCCGGAGCTCCAGCCATCTAGCTTGTACGTGTTGCCAGACGCAGGCGTGCTCGCAGAGCTCGGCATCACAGGGTAAAACTCGTCGCCCATGCAAACGTGGCTAACGGTATCCTGGCTAGACTTCACACAAGTGCCGCGGCTGTTGCTCCAATACAAGCAAACCTGGCAGTACAGCCAGGGGCCGCCGCTACCCTGTACCAGACTACACGTATTACCATCAACGTACAGGTCCAGGCAGCCAGCTTGGTCCACGCACGATTCAATGCCGTTCTGCAGGAAAGAGTTTCATAGGCGGAACACGTAAGGGTATGGACTGCGAGGGTCACCGAGATGATTAAAAGGAACAGTGAGTTGCACGTCTTTGTGTTGTCGTGAAGCACGCAGACGTCCAGGCAGCCGGCTTGGCCCAAGCATGTCCCGATGCCGCCCTGCAGGGAAGGGTTTCATGGCAGAACATGATGTAGGTTGGTTGACCTTCGGCCCGGGACATGGCAGCGAAGATGCAGCAAGGCAGTGAGTTACATGTCTTTGCAGGGTCATGGGGCACGCAAACCATACCTGTGAATTGCCAGGTGTGACCGTGCTGTAGTTTCCCGGATTGGAGTACACGCACGCAGACGTTGGCAGGCTCATGGGTGGAAAGGGCGGGGGCTGCGGTGGGGAGGGCGTTGGAGAGGGTGGAGGAGGGCTAGGAGGCTTAGGAGGTGGAGGTGAGGGAGGCGGTGGTGGGGAGGGCGTTGGAGAGGGTGGAGGAGGGCTAGGAGGCTTAGGCGGTGGAGGTGAGGGAGGCGGTGGTGGGGAGGGTGCTGGAGGGGGCGGCGGTGGTCTAGGGGGTTCAGGAGGTGATGGTGAGGGTGGTGGTGGTGAGGGAGGCCTTGGACCAGGCGGTATGGGAGACGGCGGTTTGGGAGGCGGAAACGGAGACGGGGGCAAAGGACTAGGAGGAAGCGGTGGAGGTGGACTTTTGCTATTACCGACACCAAGAAGCTCGCGCGCATGTCGGCTCACGCCATGATCTTCTACCTGTTGCTGCTGGTCGGCAGTAAGATCGACCGCTAAGGCCCCGCTTGCAGTCTCTGTAGCAGAAACAAAATGATTGCATAAGTTAAATAGCACAAATGTGGGATCTATTGCAAAGGGCCCCGACGGCGCATGCGCCATTGCTCACCATCTTGAAGACGACGACCCATCTGGAAGGTTGACCCAGATGCGCTATTGCCATCTTGGGACGACTTGGAGCCAGGTAACGCTGCTACGATTAAAATAACAGCAAGGAGAGCCACAGGTTGGTGCCAACGGGTCGTTGCGCGGCCGTCAGTTCCACCATACAGCCGTCGCGCCTGACGCGCGACAGCCATCCTAGTGTAACCGAAGCAATTTTCTGTTTAACTGGGACAATTTGCGCTCAGAAACGGTGGCAAGTTTGGTAACCGGACAGACCGTTCTAGCTGCAAAAGGTGCCGCAAAGCAAGAGATCGCAGTTATAACTACTGTTTAGAGAAGCAAAAGCCTTAGCCACAGGTTATATGGCGTAGGCAGTGCGGTTCCCAAAAACTCGAAACCTTAAGTACTCTCGGATAGAGGGTCGCTAGAGAACAATCACTTCGGGTACTCTGCTATGTATGCTTGGAGTTACCCATTCTGTGAGTGTCTTGAAGACAATTTCCTCTCATATAACATGTATTTTCGCCGTGACCCACTAACTGTACAACAACCGTTGCCAAGGATATGAGCGGAGCAGGGCCTAATTGTTGCCGATTAAAGAAGCCATAAATCTATACTATTGAACAAAAGCTTTACGGGCGCTGAATATGTGGCGTGTGAAAAATAGATAGAAACGGTGGTGTATGGCGACATCCCGAAAGCGCGTGCTCGTCCACAGGTAGGCACCACCAATGTCTTTCGTAAGCGCAATATACACGGTGGTGGGCCTCATGTGTTCGAGCGCTTCTACTTGCCGTTGCGTGGCGTTTCAGATAGAACGCTAACCTGCGAACCCAACTTTTCCTGTACATATACCAGACCTTCTAGTGGTTTCTGGACCACGTTTCGAACAGTTTAACGTAATTGAGACATGTTCATTTGGAAAAAGGGAGTCATAGGGATAGATGCGACGTCGGGACCAGTCAAGCTGGACTGTGCAAGGCTTGCGTCATCTCAATAAAGGCGGTACACTGGGATTGCAAAAGCTCAACTACTTGAACCTAGAAAACATGCTGAGCATAAAGGCAACATTCGTAAAGGTGTTACAGCAGGCTCCGCCACCGGGCCAGGTTGGCCCAATCCGCTGGAGACCCGCCTTGTCCGGGCTGCCCGAGTAGGCAACCCACTGCGGCAGTGAACTAAACAGTTAGGGATCGGTAGGACGCACCATGTTTGGCAGTGTCCCTTCCGAACAGCTATGTCGGCTTACAGCGGGCGCGTAAAGTTGGACAATGAATCGCTTCACTTCTGCAGGGTACCACCAACAGGCTTTGGACCTCTTATTCCCTCTCCCGTGGCCCTTACCCTGACATACATTTACAAGGCGCAACCCAGATGTCATCTCCAGCCCACACCCTTTCCTTGTCTCCTAAAGTCATCCGTGCGCATGCGTACGTAGCTCACCTCCTGCCCATCCCGGCCCGCCAATGCACGTCAATGCCAATGCTGCACGCAAAGACGCAATCCACCTAGCTTACCTTCCGCCTTCACGTCTGAAACAAACCTGGTCGACACAACGAGTCGGCGAGCTTCTAAGCGCTTTCCCACCACCGCATTTCCGGTACGAAAGGCGCCGCAGACATGCCCCTGTTGCGCCGTCTAGTGCCGCACGCTGCATGCAAGTCATGCCGCTACGCAATGCTACGACCTACGAGCCCTGTGAGCTGCATGTCGTGTCACCACCAGCGCATGACCACCGGATGTCGCAATGACGCCAAGCACACCGGTATTTCCCTTGCAACTCCCGCACAACGCACAACACTAGGTGAAAGTGTTGGCATGCAGTCTTCAGCGGGGAGATGCTGCACGGTATTCCCGGTTTCCCGCTGTCCGGGCTTGCACCGCAGGGCCTCGGACGGACCCGTGTGTGGCCGAGGCAAGAGGCGGAGGGGGAGCCCCAGGGAGAGGCAACAGGAGCTGCGAAGCAGAGTTACACACCGGCATGTGGCACCAGCCAATTGCCGAGCCACAGCTGCGTGCACCGGGTTGCCCAGGACTCCTGTGTCCTACAACTGTTCGGGGCAGCCCCTATCACATACGGTATTAGTCCACAACAAATGGTCCTGTATGGTTATTCGCAAGACTTGTATGCATGTTCTGTACATTACGGCTGGGCCATGGGGTTGAAGAACTTGCCTAATGGGCCTTGGATATATTTAAGGCGGCAACCTTCGCCAGCAAACCTGCCGAAAAGCTCTTCCTCGCCGTGCAAAATCATCCAACTCCCCTTCCACTGGTACCACATACGCGCGACCGTGTAGCTTACATCTCTCTTCACAACTCTCGTGCTGGAAGCTGCTCACTCAGTTGCGCATGGCTAACCTACCCTCCATATCCGTATAGCGTGAATGCCTTCTCTTACGAAGCCTTCGAAACATGCAAACCACTAATCCTTGGTCAGGTCAGACACGCAATATCCTCAGTTTTGTTAGGACACCCTCAGTCAGCTATTGCAACTGTTTCCACTCCGCTCCTCTCCGATATTGCCACAACTCCCGCTGATCCCAACATACAGGTACCCTTGCCAGGTGTCTACATCACATTACCTGCATTCCTCAAGCGTTTCGCTGCTCGATCCTGCACTCACCATTCCCCTCTCTCCTCTCGGTACGCTCATCAGTACCCCATAACGCCGCTGCTTAATAGTACATGTCATCATACCATACATCCTTAGCAAACATACATAACAAAGCGTCGAATTTACATAGCTCCGAACCTCACTCCCAGGCAACCACCACCACTCGCAGGCAACTCAAAACAAATTCACCACCACCGCCCACCTCAATGACCAGCTGCATCCACCTAGGTGCGCCGTCAAGTCCCCTAAATCCCGGTGGGTGACGCTGATGCTCCTGCTGACGCAGCTGTTGCTGCCTTCAGGACCGCCTCCTCACGATCTTCGCCGCAGAACCCATCCAAGCTTGCCTCCTGGCCCTCGCCCGCCACCCCGCTGCTACTGCCGGCGCCGCCCTGTCCCAGCCCAAGCTCCTGCACCAGCGGGCCCAACCAGCAGTCCAACACGTCCTCGCTGCCGTACCACACAACACCTGCGGGGAGAAGGCAAAGCGGCCCTTGTCGTACAACGAGTATGCATGGGGAAGCTGTAGCGCATGCGATGGCAAGACCGCCGGTACCGTCGCTGTAGTCGGGTTGGTTGAGTAACAAAGCCCCCGACATCTCTACCATTAGCCACCAATGCTGAACGAGGGCGACATGTTGTGCAATCCCAAAACCACCCACCCGACTCCTCGTCAAACGTGCCGATCTTGGACATGGAATGAAACACCCCGTCGAGCACCACAGGGCGCGCCCCCGGCAGCAGGGCGCTGTCCAGCGGCACCACGCAGTCGCCCACCACACCCTCACCCTCGCCACACACCTGCGGAGCGCCAACCGAGGGGGCATGTAAGGTACCGGCAGTGGCCATGTAATGGGGGGTACTGTAGTGATGACCTAGCCCTTGCTTTGCTACCTGTACGTTACAGTTGGTGTCAGGCTGACAGCCCCACGGCATAACGCCACTGCACACGTTGCTCGAGCGCCAACTCGCGCGTACCGGTGCGGAACGCGCGTGCCACACGCATGTGTCAGCGCGGGAACATGCACACGCACGCATGCAAAGTAAGGAGCTTGTTCCAGAACCGGGTGCCCTGCTGCCAGCAGCAAGCGCCGCGGCTCGCCGTAACCTTCAAGCACCATTTAAGCACCACACACGGACGAAAGCCCAGGAGTCCAGGAACGCCGTCGCCTCACACCCTATCCCAGACCCCATGCCTAGCCACCTTCTCCCCAGTCACCCCGCCACGCGCCGTCGTACCTCCGTGTAGCTGTCGTACGCATACTCCTCGGGAATGCGCGGTCCCTCGCGGGGTCGCGGGAAGTCCCGGTGTCCGCGCGCGCTGCGCCCGCAGACGCACACGTAGCGCACGCCGGCGGGTGCGAAGAAGGCGCCGGGGTAGGTGCGGTCCACCCAGCCCTGCGCCCCGCCTGGGGGGAGCGGAGTACGGAAGGGGTCGTTGCGATCTAAGCGCCCGTCCAAGCACCGAAAGAGCCCCCATACTGGCATTTTCCATCTTGGCAAGCATAGACAGGTACCCGAAACTCCCGCACCATGCCCGCCAGACACCGGTAGTCGCCCGGTCCCAACCAACCCTCAGCCACTACCGGTGTGCCGGTAAGCCCTTCACCCCCCGCACCGACCCACCCGTCATGTCCCGCTTCTTGTTCGCTGGGGGCGGCCGCTGCGGCGTGCCCAGTGTCACCACCGCAGCCACCCGCGGGTGAGGCTCACCACCCGCGCTGCCGGGAGGCGGCGGCCGCGCAGCCAGCACCCCGCCAGCAGCTGTTAGCCCCCATGCGGGCAGGGACAGGCCCCCAACAGAGGCCCAGAAGCCTTGCCTAGGTTCCGACTGCTGCTGCTGCTGGTAGCGCGGGTCGCCCAGGAATGCTCGGCCCAGCCATCCGCCTGCGGAGTGCCCCACTAGGATGACCTGGCGGGGGGGGGGGGAGGTGGCGGGGGGGAGCCGTGGAAGGTGTTGCAGGCGGGCGTGATACCGGTAGGGAGTAGCACAGGAGGGGTTGATGTGTTGTAGGGATGGGCGGAAGTGCGCCGTACAGCGCACACGAGCTCTGCCCCTTGCAAAGTACGGGGTTACGGGTCTACTGATTCACGACCAGGCGAGCCAAAACGAGTGCCAATGTGCAACGCGCGGGGTTGACTTTAACGGAGACCTGCCATCTCAGCTACATGATCACAGGGGCGCCCTGCTTCCGTATAGCAGCGGACCCCTCACCGTTTCCACAATGTACGGCTCCTTTCCAACTCCTCCCCACCCCCACCTGCTCCGCCCCCGTCTCCCGCACCGCTTGCTCCACTGTGGCTGCCACCCTCTCCAGGTACCTTGCGAGGACACGGGGATGGCCAGGGTTAGAGCATGCAGCAACGCGGCGTGTTGCGCACCTGGACCGCCTAATAACACAAGCCCAACCTACCGGCAGTACGACCAGCAGCGCTGCTGGTTTGGTCAAGCAAGTGCATGCGGACACACCCACAAGTAGAGAACTTGCTAAACATGCAGCACGCAACACATAACATTCAAAATGCAGCATGCAAGACGCAGCCCCCCCCCTCCGCGCACATTCAGATGCAGCATGCAAGACGCAGCCCCCCCTCCGCGCACCCACCAGGTGTATCCCGGGTGTGTGGTGAGCCCCGCCTGCCAGTAGCGGCGAGTCAGCAGCGCCCGGGCCACCTGGAACCAGTCGCGTCGCTGCAGGGGGACAACGTAGGGCCGCCAGCCGCGAACCTGAACAGCAAACGAGCGGGAAGAGTAGGATGGGAGGCTTTGGAGTTACGCCGCCGGTTTTCAATGGGGGATTAGGGGTAGGTCTTGGGCAGATAGATACCCAGTGAAGGGCTCTACGCAGTGGGGCGAACGAATTGTTGTGACGAATTGGTGGTGGCATCGTCGGGAAGGCTGGGGTGAGTGGTAAGAGGAGTAGTGTGTAAGAGTTGCATGTGGGTTGATATGCAAGGGGATGGAAGGGGGAATGGGGTGTGGTGCGGGTAAGGGGGCCAGCGCAAGGCGCGGTTCACCTGTAAGCGGGTGACAAGAGCGGCGTCCTGGTTGCCAAAGGGCTCCGTATAGTCGGTTGAGGCGTTGCCGAAGCCCGGAAGAATGATGATGGGTGGTGCGCCAGACGGGGCTTTTACTGGGCGCACGCCAGGTGGTCGTGACCATCGCAGCTGGTTCTTGTGCCATTGGGGCTCTGAGGAAATGCATATTGTGAGACGTGACAAGCGTAGGTTAACGACACATAATTACTTATGTTGAGAGGTCAACGGCGTGCCTGAAGGTACATTTCAACGTTATCCAGACACAGCCATGCGTTGCCCGAAACCAGCGCCGCAAAATGAGCTTGTAAGACTAGTAGCTACTGATAGGAGTGGTATTAAGCCAGCATACCCACCAGGTAAACTCGCCACATCGTCATAGACGGCCCTCGTCATAACGTCAATGGCCCGACTCTCCAACAACAGCCTCGAAGCTGCGTTGCTTGTTGCACAGGCGCGAGGAAATCTAACATGTCTGACCGCATTTTTGCTGGCCGCACAGGATTGGCGAGGACAATATTGTTTGTGGAGCATTGTGAAGTGGTGAACGCCTCAACCGCTCCGCTTGGCCTGGGTCATACCCTAAGCAATCACAAGAATAAAGCGCAAAATTGGTGCTGAAAGCATTAGTGCACCATACATTCATGACGCCATGCGTCCGTGCCGTGCGTGCGGTGGTTCCGCACGAGCCGCTGGCGCGAATGGGATACCAGCAGTACTGGACAAACCTGTTGCCACTGCTGCCTTTGCCTCAGTTACATAGTGTAGACTTAAACCCTAGAACCTCCACTTTGCATCTTTTGTTTGCTCCACAATGGACAGTTGCGCACTGAGTTAACGGGCGTAGTTAGTTCGCCCCATGCCCAGCACTACTGCAACTGTTACCACAAAAACAATGGCGTCAGCAGGCGGCAGCAAGCGCTTCCAAAAGTACCTCGCGTGCGCTTCGGAAGCGCACCGATTGGCCGAGGATGAGACCAGCCGTCGCGAACCGATACGCAATCCTGGCAATTTGGAGCTATTCTACTTCCTCAAGTGAGTCAGGAGACATGGTTTGGTCTGGGCATAGCGCACCAGTAAGCCTGCAGGCCGGGGTGTTAAGTCTTAGTCGGGCCAACACCCCACTGTTACAGACGCGCGGCGCCTGCCCTAACCCACCAGCGTCCCCTTCTTGCTGGCTACCCATAGGGCTGCAAAGCAACTAGAACATGCTAACCAAGACAGCCAAGGAGGAGGCAAGAACTACTTTTATTTCAACCTTGCGAAAGCCGTGCAAGGTATAGGCCAGCACCCGACGCGCATTCGCAACACAAAGCAGCTAAAGGAGGTCAAGGGCATTGGAGAGTTCATCTGCAAGGTACGTGTCATGGCGTAGCCTGTACGGAGGAATGGCGCAGCCTTTACGGAGGGAAGGTATCCTTAGGGCTACCCGCCCTAGGCCACGGGGGCCACCCGCAGGGACTGCGGTACACGTTTCAAACAGAACCAGGTCGCACGTGTTTCGTACCGGAATGTGCTTCCTTTGCTGTGCCTTCCCGCCGTCAACTATAGATGGTAGACGAGGCGCTATGGCGCGAGTACCCGCCCCCCGAACCGGATTCCGAGGAGGAGCAGCTGGAAGAGGAGCTCAGGCAGTCACAGCAGGCGCTAGCAGGCGCTGGCGGCGGCGGGGGCGGTGGCACCGGTCGCGGCCGAGGACGTGGCGGCAAGGCAGCCGCTGCCGCGGCCGCAGCGGCGGCTAACCTGGGGCCCCATGACATTCCCTTTGGGGATGCGATTGTAGTGGGCGGCGGCGGGGGTGCTGACGGCGACGGCGGCGATGCAGGAGCTGCGGGAACGGCAGCAGGACGGGGACGGGGTCGTGGAAGGGGACGCGGCCGCGGGGCGGCAGCAGCTGGAGGCGCAGGAAGGGGCCGGGGGCGCGGGCGAAAGCGTGCTGGTGGATCGGACAGCGGCAGCGAGGGCGATGGGGCCGATGGGATGGGCACGCAGGGCGGTCTGGGCAGTCAGCTGGGGGGCGGCGGGTTGGGTGCTGGTCTAGACCAGTTCGCCGCGCTCAGCGGTGGTATCGGCGGCTTCGGAGGCGGCGTTGGCAGCAGCCTGGGCTTGGGCGTGGGGCTAGGATCTGCTAGGTCGGGAGCAGCGGCCGCTAATGGCAGCGGGGCGTATGGTGGAGGGGCGTATGGTGGCGGTGGGGTGGATCTGGGTTTGGGGCTCAGCAGCGGGTTGGCGCCGGTGGCGGTGGCGGCCCCAGCTAAGAAGCGCAGTCGGAAGCAGAGCGAGGAGGGAGCAGCGCAGGACCGGGGCTACGTGCCCAAACCGGGTACCGCCAACTACGCCTTCTTGATCGTGATGTACATGGTGGGTGGTGGTCGTGTGGTGGTTGCGTACCGCTACCATCTGTGCATGCCGCGATGCGAACGGTCGGCCTGCCTCTTGTCTGGCGCTTAGCAGACTCCTAAGCTAGGTGCGCTCCCATGCTGTTCTTCTCCGCCCCGCTGCCCTCCTTCCCTGCACACAGGCCTGGAAGCGTGAGAAGCGGAAGCACTGGGAGAAGGATGAGCTGATGTCGGCGACGCAGGCGAGCGGCCTAGCGGAGAAGAACATCCATGGTATGAAGGACCTGTCTGCGCCCGGCAATGCCGCCAACTTCTACGACGGCTGGTCTTGCTTTCGGGTGAGACATGGGAGATGCTTCTGTGACCGCTACCTCGCTAATGTGAACCGGAACCAACCCAAAGCATACCTCGTCGCTTACATCTTGTCATGATTAATATAAGTGGCATGACAAAAGAGGATCCCACACATCATGGATCAGCGTCTAACAGTTTTGACAGCACTGTCTACTCTTCACAGCCTCTGTGCGCGCCTTGGGGGCTGACTGACCCACGGGTCTTTCCGCGCCCTTGCCCCCTCCGCATGCGCAGACGCTCATCACTCGCGATCCGCAGCTGGCCCAGGAGCGGACCAAGGCCAAGGGCAGCAAGGGCAAGGAGTTCTCGCTTAGCATGCTCGGGCTGGCCCTGGGGGCGCGACTGTACAAGTCGGCGGTCAGGTGGGGGGCACATCGATCACTGATGAAAGCGACTTGGCATGTGTGCTGCGGCATGGCGCCGCACGGCGGCCATGTATCAGAAATCATGGCAGTTCTGTGGGTTTCCTCCCCGCTTGCTTCGTGCGTTGCCTTGGGCTGGTGCGAATGGGGCGTGAGTCATGAATGGCCTGGTGCCATTGGCTGCTAGGCTGCTGTAGCGTGTCGGTTATCCCACGGTTGTGGACCTTCTGGTCATGGTGTTTCCCCCTCCCCCCCCGCCGTTTTCAGGTATCGGGAGGTGGCGCCGCTGCCCGGGGTGGACGAGGCGCAGGTGGATGAGGACATCCGTCGCTTCTGCGCGGCGGAGGAGGTGGAGCCCGTGCTGCAGGCGTACCCGAACGGCACGCCACGCAACGTGCAGAGAGGTGGGGGCGCATGGGTGGGGTTTGGGTGGGTATGTTTGTTGTAGCACGGGTTGTTGGAGCAGCTTGCGGTGTTGCGTGTCATGTGTCGTGGAAAGCGGCCAAGGGTGCATCGTCTTGCGAATTGCTCCGGAGGAGGCTTGTCTTTTTCCGTATCCTTATCCTTCCTGTCCACCTGTGCATGCGCAACAGGTCGCGCCTATAGAGGCTTCGAGCCGCCGCCAAGGGAGCCAGATGGGGCAGCAGCAGCCACCCATGCGCCAAACCAAGCCACCCAGGCCACGCAGGCACGCCGGCGGCGAGGTAGCGGCGCTAGCAGCCTGGGTGACCCGGGCGAGCTGGGTGGTGGTGGTGGTATGTACGGCAGTCAGGAGGGGGTGGGGGCTGGCCTTGGACACGTGGGACGCGGAGGACACGGTGACCCAGGCTTCCTGAGCAGCCAGGGGCTGTTGGGGAGCCAGGGACCCCTCGGTAGCCAGCCCGCAGGGGCGTACGGAGCAGCAGCGGGTGCAGGTGCAGCGGGGTTGGGGTTGGGAGCTCTTGCGACGTCTCTGACGGGCTTCAACCCGCCAGGAGGGTACGCGGCGGGCCTGGCAAGCGCGGCAGGAGCAGCACCCGGCGTTGCGCCGCGGGCGGCAGCCGCCGCGGCAGCGGAGGCCAGGGCAGGAAAGGTAGCGAAGGCAGCAAAGCCTGCAGCTCCAACCGGGCATGCTACTGATGCTGGTGCTGCTGCTGCGGCGGGTCGCGGCGCGTCTGCGGCAGCTGGTAAGGGGCCCTCGGTGGTTGTAGTAGACTTGCTGGATAGCAGCGAGGAGGAGGAGAAGGAGGACGCATCCAACGGCGTTGGCGGCGGCGGTGGTCCCAGGGGCAGCCTAGGTGCTGCTGGCGCGGACAGGCTCAGCATGAGGGCAGCCATGGACGCCTCCTTTGCGTTTCTGTCACAGGATCCCAGCGGGGGGTACTCGCAGGGAGGGCATGCGAGCCAGCCGCTGGGGTCTCAGCCGGGGCAGCCGCAGCAGCTGCTGCAGCAGCAGCAACAGCGGCAGGCGGCCGCTGGGTTCGTGGCGGCAGGGGCTGTGGAGTTAGGTGGCGGTGGTGCTGTTGCTGCTGCGCGCGTGCGGTCGCGGGTGGTGGTGAGGGAGGACGAAGTGGAGCACATGGTGGAGATGGGCTTTGACCGGCGGCTAGCGAGGAAGGTAAGGTGTGGTCGGCTAGCGAGATAGGTTGTGGAAGGCAGCACGTGGGCCGTCGTGTCCAGCTCCCTTGCCCGTTATTTATCACGTCTTCGCTGTCATGCTCATGCTGCCGCGCGCGCAGCCCTGCACGCCATCCCTCTTCCTGCCCTCTCTTCTTCTTTTTCAGCCCGCGTTCGCCCGCTTGCGACCCATCCGGGTCACACCTCCGCTTCCTCCACACCCTGCTGCGCTCCCTACTCACCACAGGCCCTGCGGCGCGAGAATGGCGACTTCTCAGCGGCTCTAGACCGGCTGGATGAGGGCACCCTTAGCCCCGCCCTGGGGCCTTCCTCGGACGAGGAGGGTGAGGGCGCGCAAGAGGTGCAGGAGGCGGACGATGAGGACAAGAAGCCTGACTACCTGGCAGGGGCGGCAGCGCTCGCTGCTGAGAGGGACCGAGCCCTCACGCTGCCCACCTACGGCGCGGTCGCGAGTGCCGCCGCGGCGGCAGCAGCTGCCGTTGTAGCGGCGAAAACAGGAGCGGTACCCCTTACTCGGCAAGCGCCGAGCGGCAGGTGTCCGAAAGGGGCAGCGGCGACAGCAGCAGCGGCGGCAGCGGCAGCGGGTGGCCTAGGCAGGAGCGGCTCGCAGACGTTGGCTGGGCCGAGCAGCCAGAACCCGTACGGATCTCAGCAGCAACCGCAGTACGGACTTGGATCTCAGCAGCAGCAGCCGTACATCGGGGGGTCTCAGCAGGTGGCTGGCGGCAGCGGCAGCCAGGCCGCGGAGGCGGAGGCGAGTGGAGGCGGAGAAGACAGGACGTAAGCGGCAGGGGTTGCTGTTGGGCGGGGGCACACCGCTGTGCATGCCGTAGCATGTGTTAAGAAAACTGGGTATGTGGGTATCGCAAAATCCTTGCACGGCTTGGCGCGGCCAGACGAGAGGCAGGAGACTCTGTACAATAGTCCGAAACACGCGCTCTTCCTTCCTTCCTTCCTTCCTTCCTAGCTGCTTGTGCCCATGCCGAAAAGACGGGCAGCTGCAATGTTCCTTCTTACACCCCTCTCTGACCTTCCTCTCAGCATGTCCTTACTCTTTATCCTCCCAACCACCTCCCAACCAACCAACGCATGAATTCCCCTTGCCCCAGGCTGTGCACCTACGAGTGGCTGCTCCCTCGGGTGTCCGAGGTGCCAGCCAACCACCGCAACCTGCCGCTGCGGCTGCCGCCCCTGCCGCCGGGGCAGCGCTTCGAGGAGGTGTACGAGGTGAGCGCCACGCACGTGTGTGTCACAGCTCATCAACTGAGTGCCTGTGTGTCGGGAAAGGAGTTTGCTGTCGACCCTTGCATCCATCACCTGCTGTGTGTCCGCTGTGTTGCAGCCCCATTTGTGCACAACCACTGCAGCCACTGGGCGCGGCTGCGGTCCGATACAGGGCTCCTCCTTCATCGCGCCTCGTTTACCCTGTCTTCCGGCTCTCCGCCACCAGGCTCTCGTCTAGCCTCTGCGCCCCTGCGCTCCTCCACCCTCTATCCCCCCACCCATCCCGCCCCAGGTGGTGCTGCTGGTTGACAACCGCGAGCCGCCCGCGGTGGTTGAGGCGCTGCGGCGGCACGCGGCGGCCGCGCAGGGTGTGCGGCTGGTGGCGGGCGTGAGTCTGGGCATCGGGGACTTCCTGTGGGTGGCGGCGCGGAGGGGCGCGCCGCTCAACCAGGCAGCCAAGGAGCAGTGGTGGGTGGTAGCTGGGGGCGGCGGCGGCAGTAACGGAGGTGCCTTGGTAGAAGCAAGCGCATACCGCTAGCGTGGCTAATCCATCGGTGGCGGCATGTTAACGTTGCATGCTGGCCCGTCAGCCACCGCGTCGCACTGCTCTTTAACACGGGCTGCTGCCAGGCATGACGATGCATCCCGCGTTCCCGCCGCCACCGGAACACGTAGATGATGTGTGCTTGGGCTTCCTGACATCCCGCCCCCATCCGCGCACCCGCCCCCCAGGTATGTGCTCACATGTTGCAAACCATGACGACGCCTTATCCCACCGTCAGTTAGTTGTTTCCTCTTTACCCGCCTACCCGCCCTCCCCAGGTACGTGTTGGACGCGGTGTTGGAGCGAAAGCGCCAAGAGGACCTGCTGCAGTCGGTTCGCGACTCGCGCTATGTGACGCAGAAGTTCCGGCTGAAGCGCTGCGGGCTGCGGCGGCTGTACTACCTGCTAGAGGAGCCGGCGGGGCAGCACTCGCTGACGCAGAGTGAGGGGTGCAGGGGGGCAGCAGAGTTGCAGGGCGCTGCTTGCGGTACCGGTATGGGGGGATTGCGGATGTGTGGGTATGTGCGGGAATGCGGAGAAACCAAGGCCCTCATGTGAGCTTGTTGTGTGATTTGAACTGGTCCTTCATGCTCCCCGGAATCCTGCCCTGCTCAGTACGCCATGACATGCAATGCTGCCTTCTTGCATGCCCTCATACCGTCATACGCCTGCCGGCTTCTCTTAGCCAACCTGGAACTTTCCTGCCCCCCCCTCTCGCCCTCTGTCCCCGCGCCTCTCCCCCCCAGGTGTCGAGGAGAAGACGGTCCGCACCGCCATCCAGTCCGCCCTGCTAGAGGGCTTCACCGTGCTGCGCACCGCCGACGCTCCGGACACCGCGCGGCAGCTGGGCATGCTCACGCGCGCTCTGGAGCGGCAGTATCGAGGCAAGACTGCCGCAGACGCCGCCGCCGCGGCAGCAGCAGCGGGGGAAGATGAAGAGCCGGAGGTGCTGCCCTCGTATGTGGAGTGGTCCGAGGGGCTCAAGACGGGCAAACAGAACGACAAGGTGCAAAACATGTTTGGCCTGATGCTCTGCGCGGTTCCAGGTATGGCGTTGGGTTGGGCAGTGGGGGGTCTGCTAGGTTGTGGGGAAGGGTTAATCGCGCGCCTGGTCTGGGATGCCGAAACATGTTGCTGTGGCGTGGTGAGTCTGGGGCGCTCGGGGCTGCGAGGGCATGTGGTGTGCGGGTGAGGATGGTGGGGACGCCCGTCGGCCTAACCAAGCAGCAGCACACATGCAGCCTCTTCCAGCCACTGCTCGCGGTGCCATGGCCTTGCATACCATCTTCCCGGCCACCCCCGTCACACCCCGGTGCTGTCCTGGCTTGCAACCCGCACGCAGGCATGGGCCAGGAGAGGGTCAACCGCATCATCGTGCGCTACAACACGCCCGTCGCGCTGTGGGACGCCTACAAGGAGGCCATGCGCCGCGCCGCCGCTGCAGGGCAGGACCCTGTGGCTGCGGCGGAGCAGCTGCTCACGGGCGAAGTGGGGGCGCTGTTCAGCGGCCGGGTGTACCAGATGCTGTTCGCCAAGGGGGCGCCGCCGTTGCAGGTGGTGGGCTCGCAGGGGCCGTCGCGGCCGCGGTAGGGTGCGGGGTTTGGCTGTAAGGTGTGTTGGGATGGTGGTGGCGGCGGTTGATGTGTAGTGGGCTGAGACGAGGCGGTGAGTTTAGGCTGAAGCAGGTGGAACACACGCGGTGCGGCGAGCGGGTAAAGGGGTGATGAGCTGATGACAGTACAGGAGGGTGCTCATGCATGTAGGCTAGCGAGTACATGTGGTGAACTTGGGTAAGACGGCAAATGCGCGCGACGTGAACCCCATGGAGTGGGTGAGCAGCGCTTTTCCTCTGTGATGGTTTGTAAGGAGCAGGCGTGCTAGATAGTAGACAGGCAAGATGGCCGACATTTTGGAGGCTGGGTACGGTAGAAAATGGCTTGGATCAGGTTGGAAGAATCAGGGGAAGCCGACGTGTGTCCAGGTGTCACAGAGCTTGCACACGTAACAACCTACGTTTTTGGATTGCCTTTGAGGGCAAAACTAGGGCGGTTGTTATGGCGCCAACCCTGAACGCGGGGCTCGAAGAAACTGTTCTTCACCATTTCCCGTACCATCAGCAATGCAAAGCGTGAGGAGGACAATACATGTCCAGGCCATATCCCTAGGATTGCTCGTACAGGTAAGGCCAGTGGGAGCTGGTGGGCGAAGCAACTTTGCTGATGGAGAGCAAATACCAAACGTTAGCCGGATGGCACACGGATGGGTTTGAATACTGACACGTGAAATGATGATGTAGCCTTCCCACCACCGACCATCTCCTTCAGCAAAATGTTAAGGCCTCTGCGTAACCAGACATGGGGCGCTTGTTTGCAAACACTACGCAGCCCGGTGCCAAGCCGCGGCAAGCTTACTTTACACTCGCCTTGGATGTTTTACTAATAATTTGTTGTTATTTAAAGTCTGATGTTACTATCTCATGTTATTGAGCATGTTGTTGCGAGCAGCAAAGGAAAGGGGAACCCACTCTTGGTACGGCACGTACACTCTCGGCTATTTTGTTGACACGGCTTTCCTTCAGCCGTAGGGCACCGTTTCTTCCGTAACGGCCCCAGTCTATTGTAGGAGTGACTGGGGTTCTAGAACTGCGAAATTAGGTCACCATGGCGACGGTAGAGGAGCGCCAGAGCTTCCACGAAAAGGTCAATGAGGTGTTTAAGAACTTGACGGGAGAGCCAGGAAAGCGCTGGGCTAGGCCTGATGAGCCCATTCTGCATACGCTCAACGATGAGAAGGAGGAGCCGCACATTTTCTTCCACAACACCAACTACCGGACTTCTCGGAAGTATATTAACATTGAGAAGGTCAAGGTAAGGACAACTGAGGAGAGAAGGCCGCCCTTCGCTCTGAGCGTGATTGTGGTAAGGGGTCCGGACCGAAACGAGAAATATATTTTCTGCGGCACAGATCCTGAGGGAGCAGGCGCTGGAGTGCGTGCGTGCGGCTGGCACGGCGCGGTACCACAAGTGCCAGGAGGTGCGAGCATGCACCGACCAAAGTGTACTGTATTAATTTTGGTCTTCCAGTACTGATACCCCAGTTCTCCATGTACTCTTTTTGCAGGTCATGAAGCGTCTGCAGGCGGCAGTGCGGGTGGGTTTGTGTGCAGCCCCGCGTGTGCTCGGTGTTTACCACCGCACTGTCCGGCTGCTAATGGCTGGCCTACTCCTTCGTCCTTCCCCTTGCAGGTGTCCTCGAACGTGGACCGCGGTCCGCTGGCACGCAAGCGTGACGTGGGCTTCATCTACCACAACAACAGGCTCCGTGAGCTTCAGCAGCAGGCCGCTGAGCTGGAGATTGAGAACCCCTTCCCGGCCCCCGCGAAGAAGACGACCGGGTTCTAAGCGGTTTTTGCTGGCCGCTTCTGGCGACCGCCGGAGTTGGGTTTGGGGACAAGCTTTGGTTGCCGTACTAGGGCGCGTGTTGCGGATATGCTGGAGCGTCCCTGGCGTCAGCGCAAGCATGTGGTGTTGCTTTAGGAGGAGGCTAGGATGGGAAGTGGGTTTCCTGCAGCGGACGTGCCAGTTGTATGGGTATGTGCACCAGCTACACTTGCTGACCTGCTGACCCCACGGCCTCATATCCGTTTGTGTGATGACGCATCAGCCACGATGCGCGTGTGTAACTTTAATGTGTCGAGCTCTTATGGAGGATCAGCTGTGTTACAATGGTTCATGGGAATGATAAGGGTTAACGGCGGGGTACCAAGGTAGCGTGTCCACATTACACTGTAACCTGCTTTGGCCTCCGTCTGCAGACGCTATCGTGCTCATGTAACCATGCTCAACTGCCACTCATCGACAACTGCCGCTCTAGGCGAACCAGCCAAGGGGCCCCTTCTTCCGCCCTAGCGACACCTGGGCTCCCACGGACGGGGGCTGCACCACGGCGTCAAGCGCCAGGTCCGGGTCCTCCATCTTCTGCCTGCCGATGGCACCGCCGTACCGCACCTGCATAGGCCAACAATTTAGTATGAAGCCAAAAGGGAGCATCCAGCCAATATAGGAATACAGCCCGTATTGCATTTCAAGATAACCCGTCCTTTATGCATATAAACATTTAGTCGAACAGGGGCCGCACCTTGTGATACTGCAAGAAGAAGAGGATGGCGTGGAAGACCGCGACGTACTGGTTGTTGGCCAGCACCATGAGGCGCCCCGCCGCCAGGTAGCAGAACAGCGGGCTGGCGGTCTGCAGCTGCAGGGCCAGCAGCGCGTCCATATCCCGGCCATGCCGCTCGGGGCGGTAGGTGAGGATTGCGCTGCACGCACCGGCGCTACGCGTCCCAGCAGGCAGCGTTCCAAGGTAGAGGGGCTGCATCGTCCTGCAGGACATAGGTTCGCAGCAAATGAGGGAGGAGAAACAGTACTGCACCTTCACAGCAACGCTAACATGTACGGACAGCAATGCCTCGTACTGCAAGCCTGGAGCTCAACCTCCACACCGCACTACATACACGCATCTCCCACGCAGGTGGCAACCCCATAGCAGGCACCGCCCCAACAACCGCGCAAGGCCCTTCCCGCTATTACCCATGCAAACACAGCCCCGCAAACCCCGCCCTTACCCTTCTGCCTGCGAGTTCGGCGGCGCCGTGAACTGCCAGCCGGGCGCATCCAGGTACGCCACGAACAGGTACAGCACCAGAGCGCTGTCCGTAGGCAGCTGGTCGGCCGACCACGGCCTGCCGCCATACGCCGAACCGCCGTTCCAGGTGAAGTCCTTGAGGCAGGAGGACTCCGCCAGCTGCTGCAGCCGCGTCCACACGTAGCCGCTGTTGGAGGGCGGCAGGATGTCCGCGGGGCGCTTGCCGCGCACCACGGCCAGCAGGTCCGTGTAGCGGTTGACGGCCTGCGAGTAGTTAGTAAAAACATGGGAAACATAGACGGTCACGGGTTTAGAAACAACAGGAGAAGCAAAGCTTGCTGGCTGACAACAAGGGGCAAAACAGTAGTACGGAAGGAGTGATATGTTGTCGTACCCACCGCCAGCAGCTCCTGGGCCTTGGCAGTGGTCGGTGCCATGGGCTGAGCCTGGACGTGCTGCGTCAGGGTTGTCTGCAGGGACCGCAGCACGCCGTCAATGTCGCCAGCGCCGGCGGTGCGTGAGTCCGTTAGGATGTCGGGCAGGGGTGGTAGGCGCGTGGCGTGGTTGAACTGATGTAGGAGCTGCAAGGTAGAACAGGGGGCACAGGGCGGAACATGATGTTAAGGAGTGGGTAGAGTACTTTGGAAGGGAACCAGGATACCGTTGCGCCTGAGGACTAACTGTAGCGCTTTCTCCACGGCAACCATGCACATTCTCACCGTGTTTACAGGCTCGTGCGCCGAGGCCGCTGCCGCCACCAGCGGCTGCAGCACCTTGCCCGCTAGCCACTCGCGCAGCCGCTCCGTCCACACCTCCAGCCAGTCCTGACGCGCGCCCAGCACGGAAACGATAAAGTCCTCCACCTCCTCCGGCGCGCTGGGTGTGAGGGTGGGCGTGTCGGCAGCCGCCACGGCCGCAGCCTTCTTGGGCATCTGGTGAGAGGGAGAAGCGTAGAGGTCAGGAATCGGTCATTGGAGGATGTCATCGGGGCATGAGCTTTGCGCATCGCAGGGTTGGCAACTGTGCATTGCAGCATGATATCAACAGCATTGGAAGCCCCGGGCCCAGAATTTTGGGACAACGAAGACCGTCATCTACTGTGCTGGAAACAGTTCAAAGGCTTCTACTGCTCGGTCAACTCACCCATGTCATGCGGTAGTACGGCGCGCTAACGCCCACTGGCAGCGCCCCAGGGGTGCCTTGGTCTGCGAGGGAAGACGGGCGCGTGCACAACATTAAAGGGTCACTATCAGATCGGGCCATGGCAACGCTTTGGAACCTTGGACCTGCCGTCAAGCTAAAATGACTTGGCCCGATAGTGATAATAAATGCCCTAACTATTTATGGTACCGCACTGCCTGAGCGCAATTTCGTCCCCGCTTGGAAGCCGAACACGCTTGCTTACCCTGCTCTGCTGCCACCGCATATGCTGGCGAGGCCGCACCCGTGTAGCCGTACATTCCCGCCATCGCATCGGGTTGCTGCGGGCTGGCTGCTACGCCTGCCGTACCGGCACCGCCCAGGTTGTCAAAGTAGTAGGACAGCTGCTCAGGGCTAGCCACGACGGCGCCTCCGGGCGAGTATCCATGCGGCTGAGGCGAGCGCCTGCATGCACCGGAAGCAAAGGGGTTCAGTACATTGCGTCTACGCAGGCGGAAGAGGGCACAGCCCAGCTGTAAGCTCTGCCGCAAACGCACCTATATTGCTCTGAGAGCGGCGTGCGCGCAAGGGTCCGGTCGTCTGCAGGAGTTGCGGCTAGCAAGCCACCTCCCAGATTGGACGCGCCTGAAGCCGAGCTGTAAGGGGTACCAACCCCTGGTGAAGGTGCGGCATAGCGCTGCAAGCGAAAAGACAGCGACGGACAAGTTAGGAGGGCGGGAGGGTCACGCAGAACACCACAGCGTGAGCCAAGGTAACAAAGACGCATGCGGGTGCGATCCGCACATGCAACCTCCTAGCAGCCCACTATAGGCGGCGCCATCCCCCCGGCAACCCTTTAGCCACCTGAGGCGGTGTGATGGGGGTCAACTGGGGGGCGGAGCTGGCTGCTACTGCCTCCACACGCGGAGGGTTCAGGGAGAAGGGTCTACGCTGCCGCAGGGGCTCTTGCCTGCAGCAGTAAGCGATGAAAGCGGCAACAACCGTTTCACTTCGACTGGGCACGTCCACTGCCTATGATCAGGCTTTATCTTCAAGCCCAAAACGAAGCCATGTACGACGACGCGCCTACACCCCTAGGAGAGTCGAGCGTCAAGTCATCAGATGCATGGGGTACTACTCAAACCCATATCTGGGACGTGTAAGAGGACAGGTCTACACCCCTAGCAGGGCCAGGTGTCAGGCCATCTTGCCACAATAGCGGCCAAGGATGCTGCGCTCCTAACGGACCTACCGGGGAGCTGGAGGCGGCAGTCCGTACAGCTTCCGCTTGATACCCGTGACGCTATCCTGCCTGCGGGGGCGCAGTACGTATTTAACAGCTCATGCGGACAAAGCCTCCCAGCACCAATCCCCTATGCGGTAATGGTTAGGTTGTGCGTCACGCCGCAAGAGCTCCCTGCCGAACGACGTGTGTGTATTAAAATTAACAGTTGGCCTTACCCCGTGCCACTTACGTTCTTGCGGCATGCCGCGAGTTGTACCACCTTGTCACTGTCTCAAGCACCCGTACCAAGAACACCAGAGGCAGCACCCAGACAGCCAAATCTGCAACATCCGACCCGAAGTTTACATGAGAGGACTGAACGCTTAGCATGGCATTAGTGGCCCTCCGTGCGTAGGAGACGGAGCAAACTGCAGGTCGCAGTTTTGAACTCAAGCCGCCGCTACGCCCCAAACTTACGGACTGCAGAGCGCGCCCATGTTGCCGGGAGCAGCACCAACACCGCCGATCTGAGCGAATTTTGGGGCTTTCCATAGTAAGACAGACGACAGCATGCAAGGCCATGCAATGGCGGGAAGCTCCCCTACCTCCAATTCCAAAGAAGGACGGACAACGCTCCAAACGCTGCATCCCTAAGCAAGATCCGCAACGCTGTTCGCGTTCGGGTTACAGGCGCAACGACCGTCCCAGCTGCTGGATCGCCAACATTCCATCTTGACGGCATGGTCCTCACTTAGCATACCTAACTACGATGCGTCATGCAAAGCCGTCTGGGGAGTACTGTGCATGTTGCGATTATTGTGCACGGCCCTGTACGACAATGAATAGTCTGTTTTCCCTTGCAGCTCCTAAATCGCTAACGGTCTTGTGCAGTCGCTAGTAGGTCTTTGGGCCGTGCGCTTGCCGCTTGCCTTAGCATAAACTGTGTACCGGGAAGCTTGGGACACCAAGCACCTAGAAGAGCTTTGTTTTGTTAAGCAGGTCTGCATATACTTAGAGAACATGGCCTCGCGGCTGGCAAAGCAGGCAACTGCTGCTGTTCAGCAAAAGGACCGGCTTTTCGGGGGCGCCGCGCGGCACTTCTATTACGAGGTATTCCATTACTGCTTAGTTCGTTTTAATAAATTTGCCCAGTTTTCTGGTAGAGCGCAAGCGCTTGTCGCCGACACAGGTGGCACTTGCATCCGAGAGCGAGAGACTGCTTTCCAACGTTCTTGGGGCTCATGTCTTACCATGCTCTGCAGATTTGCCGATGCCTGCCATTCATTCAGCGTCTCCATAAGATGGAGGAGATGGTGTCCCTGCGTGAGCTCAGGGCCATTGTGAAGGACCGGTTCAAGGAGTACAAGGACGTGCAAGATGGGCGGGTACGTGCACGTCAACAGGAGTCTGCTTATGGGATAAACTGTGGCTTAAGGTTCGTGCCCTATGCCGCAGGTGGTGGACCTGCTTATCTTCAAGGGGCGCGAGGAAATCGAGGTACGTCACTGCATATACACGGTATTGCATGCTCCCCGGCTTGGCTCCCCAGGTTGTAATAGTATCCCCGTGTTGCCCTTGACCCGCCGCAGACCTACCTGCTGATGCACAAGCAGCGCCACCACATGGTGAGTGGGGTTTGGCAAGAGGGCTACCGTGGGGGGCTTCACACGGAGGCATGGACGGCTGCGGCGAGTCTTTATGCCCATGCCTAGTGTCGTTGCTCACGTCGTTTATAATGTGACCTTGTCATTGGGGCTGCAATGTCGGTTATGGATTAAGCGTGCCGTTTCCATCCTGTTACCTGAAACCCCAGATTACGGAGGTTGTGGAGCCCTACACCAACAAGCAGCGTGCTGTTAAGGTGGTGTCGCCGAACAGCCCCTTCCTGGACAGCTTCCTGTCGACGGCGTACCCCCAGACGCCCCCGCGCCAGTAAGGCGCATGCATGGCTGCATGCAGCTTGTGGGCTGATTGAGGCACCTGCCTGGCTTGGAGAAGGATTTGGCTTATCCCTATTGTAACTGGCGTGGTTGAATCGCTGCCTTTCGGATTTTGCGATTGAGGCAAAGTATGGTGGCAAGGGAATGATGGGAGGAGTCGTTTTGTCGTTTACAGGAGACGCAAAAGTGGCTCAGTGTTTTATGACCGAGCGCAAAGTTAGTGTAATAACATCGTGCGACATGTGTACTGGCCCATTATGTGCGACGGGATGCTCTAGCGCTCTACTGCCGCCACGTGATGACCATGCTAACAAGTCGGGCCGTGCCATTGTTAGCCGTCATAGCGGCTGTGCTGTCGCGTCTGCCGGCCAGGCCACGTGTAACTGCTAGACCGGGATTTTCCCTGCCATATTGCCTCCATATCGATGCATTGTGGGGCTGTTGGGACTCATCGCGTATCCGTACGTGCCAGCCACCTGGCTCCCCGACATGTTGCCCCCGCCCAGCGGCCCAACTTGCGACGACAGCGGCTTCCAGAACATGTGTGGTGATGAGGTATTAGCAAGTGCGTTGGGTCCCAACGGCATAACCACGCTGCCTGGCGCTGACAGGCTAGCATACGGAATGCCTTGCAGTAGCCCCTGCTGGTACACTGCCGCGCCACTGTCACTTCCCCCGAAACTTGGCACGCCATACGGCGGCACCGGAGGCAAGGAGGGTTGGCCTGAGTAGGTCCACGCTGCTGGGGGCATTCCGTACGCAGCTCGGCCCTCCATCGCTACCGGCATCGTGTTCACAGCTTCGCCCTGCATCCAAGCCTGCTCTAGGCCGTTACCAGGCATGCCGGGCGCTGGCGGCATGGCGTTGTCAGCTCCTAGTACTGCCATGAAGGGGTACTGCGGTTGCAAGCCGGCACCCTGGGGCGCAATGTGCGCCATGGGATACGAAGCCCCTCCTTGCTGCATCGTCTGGCCAGCAACGGAGGGCGCAGAGGATCCTGGTCGTCCGATGCCTCCATAGTTCGCATGCTGTGGCACATAGTAGTTGGGATACGCCGGGATGGGAGCCGGGCGAGCGGCAGGGCTGCATGCTCCGTTAGGCTGCATCGGTACTGTTGCGGGGATGGCCGTGGACCGCACCTGGCCGTCAGCATCCACGCTTCGACCGCATCCTTGGCTGCCGCTGGTACGGTCGTACTGAGGAACGTCCGGCGGTACCATTCGAGCAGCGCCCTGCTTGCTGCTCATGCTGCGTCCTCGGCTGGAAACACCCGCACCCGAGCCCTCCCGTCGCCTGCTGCCGTACATGCCCTGGCCAGATCCCGAATCCCTGCGCTGGCTGTGGTGCTTGCTTCCCCTGCTATGCGCGTCACCACCGCGACCGCCAGCGCTGGCCTCGCTGTCACTGCTGGGGTGTTGATGATCGGCGGGTCCCGTAGTGCTGGACGATACCTCATCCCAGCCGAAGACCTTGGAGCCCGACGATGCAGGTGAACCCCAGCCGCAGCCGGCGTCCTCAGCCTCGCCCGGGCAACCTCCCGAGCCCCGAAAGTGCCGCTCCGGAGCCCCTTCCGCCTTGCTATGCCGGCGTTCTCCCTCTCGGCTGAGGCCCTTTGACGATGGGCGCCCGCTCGTGGACGCCGGGGCCCCAGGAAAGGCTACGCCACCGGAGGGCCAGGTGAGGTTGACACGTGAGAAGATGGCGTCCAGTGCCGCGTCCATACCGGTGGTAAAGCGCTGCAAACAGGGCACGGGAATACCGTTGATTAACAACGGCTTGGTGAAATGTTGTCGACGGGTGTACGGCGCTTCCAGTCAGCCGGCCAAGCGTCAAGGCCATCCCGCTGGGTTCACAACCCCGACGCCCTTGGCCTCACCTCCGTGGCGACCGTTTCAACCAGGTCCCAGTTCTTCAGCTTGCGCTCCACCTGGTCAAGCTTCTCCTGGAAGTCGCCCGTCAGCGCAGCCATGTTGACGGGCGACCGTGCCTGACCAGCCAGCTCCGCTTTGAACCTGTTTTGACGGGCCAAAGCATAGATCGAGTGTTCGATCGGTAAGCAGCCCTAGTGGCGCTGGCTGTGACGTACCGTCTGGGCAGCGAGACGAGTCAATTGAGCCTGCACTCGCCCAGAACCGGTACTTAAGCAAACTCCTGGCCGCAAATCCCGCCTCATCAGAACAACCCGCGTCCGATACCATTTACCCGCAGACATGTCCTCACACAACGAGCATAACCCAGTGTCAGTGCTCACTTTATGACGGCCTCAGGCTGCGCCACGTCCTTGCTCAGCAGCGCCTGCAGCTGCGCCCGCCTGGAGCCCTGGGCGCCCCGGGGCGACGCTGCAGCCAGCGGTGGAACGGCCACCCCCGACGGCCCGGAGGCCTTCCGTAGCGGGGAGCTAGGGCGGAGGGGCGAGCTGGAGCGTAGCGGGGAGCTGGGCAACCTGGATGGGGAGCCCAGCCGGCTAGGACTGGAGGAGCGCAGCCCAGCAGCCGCGGGCCGACTGCTGTCCAATCCAGCGACCACGGAAGAGCCTGAGGCCACACGAGACGCACAGCGATTGCCAACTCCACCATGCAATGAGCCTAGGCTCTGCTTTAACGTGCATGCAAGCAACATGGCATCCCAACGTGACATCAGTCCAACACGGTGTCCAGAGAGAGCTGGCTTTCATAGCCACGCTACCGGTACCCATACGGGAACATGCATCACACCCATGCTCACAGTCGTCCCAAGCCTGCCCCTTTACCCTAGCGCCTCACCTCTGCTGCCCACGCCAGCCACCGAGCCCTGCGTCGTGCCTACGCCCAGCCTCCCAGGTGAGCCGAACCTGGTCTCCTGCGGGGCGTTTAGCACGGAGCCGGCAGCGGACGCAGCAACCAGCTCGTCCACCATGGACACCATGTCCTGCAGCCCCGCGAAGCTGTTGTAGGTGCGGCCCGTGCCGCCAGCCGAGGTGTCGCGCTGGTTGGAGATGAGGGTCATGGAGGCGCTGCGCTCCAGGGTGGTGCTGGGGTCCGTGAGCGCGATGGACGGCGTGGAGCGGCTCTGCGGCAGCAGAGCAGGATGAACGGGTGGAAGCGTGAGACATTGCAGGGCGTGAAGAAGGAGCTTCTGGGTTTTCCGTAACTGGGGCTTAGTTTCTGCCGCCACTCTGCTTGGAAGTTCACATCAGTACGAGCGTGCGCAAGTGGGTATTCATGATACTGTGTATGGCTTTGCCGTGTCCCTTCCCTAAACACTTGCAAGGGCCGCGCAAGCCCCATACTCACGGTAAGGGCATCCTTCAGGCGCGGAGTCGGCACCTCCCTTTCGGAGCTCGTCGCCTTGCGGGGGATATCAACACTGAGTGGCTCTTTAAAACTAGCCGTCTTCTTAAACGCAAGGAACTTGCGAGTAGCTGCATCGAAAGACTCCCGAAGGCGGCTCCCGGCATCAGAGTACTCGTCAGCGCCAGCACCGTCCACAGTTCCGCTGCGCAGCGACGAGGCGCGTCTAATACTCCTGTGGGTTCAGCAGCAAGGGAGTAGCTCTTCGTTTTAGACCTTGCATCATGCACAGAGCATGCGGCTCCGCTCCAGCTAAGACCCACAGCACCTGCTCTGTCGCGTCGGTGGGAGGTTGAGGCGCCTTAACGACCCGTTCGAGCGTGCGGTGTCCGAGAGCGAAGGACCGCCCACAGGGGAGTTTAGCAAGCTATCTGTCTTTTCCAGCAGCTCCGTCACCTCCACATTTAACTGTTGGGGAAGGCGAGTGACATGTAGAGTGTCACCAATGTAAGGAAGGACGGGATCCTATAAATCCACGTCCCATCGTTGAGTAAGGTAGGGTACAAGCCATGGGAAGGATTAGGCGCCGCTTAGCTGTCTCTATGAAACATACCTTGTCGTTCGACATTGACCAGGCAAAAAGTGGGTTGACCACCTAGATTACACAGCTGTAGGTTCATGTAAGAAACCTCTTTAGTCGTGAGCTGCACTATCTGCTTGGAAAGCCTCGGGGCCAACCATCAAGCTTGATGGTGTACGGTGAGCTGGTAAGTCGAACAGTCACTTGCATTTCCCAGGCCCAGGCCCTATCATGGATGGATTTCCAATACGTCATACTACACTTTGTTATCGGCTTGCTGCTTCAGTGATCATTACCGGTACTCGTTATGCAGGTTGTGTTGGCGCATCCGCTTCTTTTCGCACCTAGCGTCTGTTTAGTACACGGACAGGAAGACCCGTCTCATGCGTCGCTGTGTCTGCTCGGTCTGAGATTGTTGTGAAGAAGAGTAGGGGCAACCCAAGGGTGAAAAGAACCCTGCCAGGGGGAGTCGCAGAGTTGATACCCATCGGGAGAGCCTGATCCTGAAGCCAGGCTACAGCAACTAGCCACCAAGCATGATCAGGTTGCTGCTCTTGACCACAGCTTTTACAAGTGCTACAGAAAGGGCATCGGTACTTACAACCCCCCCAAGGCCCAGAAAGGCAGCAACCAGCAAAAAGCTGCCTGCGCCACAGATGCATGGACCGCATCAGCCAGCAGTCCCTCAGCAACAGCTATCCCCAATATCGAAACCCTACCTCCTAGGGTGTAGCGGAAGAGGCTACCCAGGCATAGCCAAGCACCCTCCAAATTGCTGCCTGCATTGTTTGGTATACCGTGGAGGATTCCCTCCTCACCAGTGGGTCAAGGCGACAGGCTTCTCCTACCAGGCCGCGTGCCCAAAGGGCAAGCCCGAGATGCCGGCCCCAGCCCACCAGCTGAGCGACTGGACTGGCACGATCAGCTGGGCCATGCAGCGTGCTCCCAGCGCGAATGCCACGAGCCTAAGGCTGGCGTGGCATATGAGTAGCTGCCGACAGCCAGTCACGTCGAGCGAGGAAGACGACTTCAAACCTGTCGTACTTCCTAGAAGAGCTCCTTCGCCTTGCCACGCATGACGGTTTACAACCTTTTGGGGTTCGCTTGAAAGACAATCCAGCCTTGCCAGCAACGCACGATTGTGATACTAGGTATTACGATACCAAATCACTGATATGCTCGACATAGGCCGACCTCGTGCGGAAATCGGCACACAAATGCGTCCACCAACGTCACACGCGCCTGTACGCTTGTACAGTGCGTCCGTACGAGCCAGGGGGCCAAGGACACTACGAGAAACAAAGTGAGTCCTAGTCAGGGCGGCGGACGATGAGTTGTCATGGCATTACCATCATTCCCCGCTCAAATCCTGCCCAACAAGCCTAAGACCCTGCTTGCCCAGCTAAGCAAAGCCCGCGACAGTGTAATCACGCGAGCCGTGGTAACGTTCTTGGAACCCGCGACAAATGCAGCCAGCCATGCAAACATGAAGTAGTCCGGAACGCGAAACCACTCGGCTAGTCAGCTACCCCTACCCCGAAGCCACAGTTAATTACAATACTACAGCACCAGTGCCAACCGCTGCTGATGCCATCGTTCCCTATCCACCCGGAAATCTATGTCAGAAAAGCAACGCTACTAGGTGCCGTACGTTGACGCAAAGCGCTGCATTAAAGGGGTTGCTCCTTGCTCCCTGCTCCGCCATTGCTGCCACCGCTAGCGGCCTTCATTTCGAGTCCTTTGCGACCGAGCCCTTTCCATACCTCTGCGCCAGAAGAGCGGGGCAAATGAAAGAGGGGTTAGCACCTACTTGTCGCGCTGAAGACATGGATTGCATATAAAACTGCGACAGCAGCAGCTAGCGCAACGCAATACCCCGGTCAACGGCAAGGGGACGGGCGGTAGCAAGCGGACCACATGCATGGTTCATACCGACGAACTCAGCTGGTACGCAACAACAGCCCATGACACCTCCTGACCTGCAGGTACACTTGGTCAAAGGTAATCCCGCCCGTACAGTGCTCAATTACATACCTTTTTCCCGAAGGTGAACGGCACGTAGCGGTGCTTGATCATGTGCCTGATTTGCCGCTTCATGGTGACGAAGAAGAGTACGAACCAGTACAGCAACAAGATAGGCCAGAAGACCGGCACGTCGAAGAAACGGAAGAACGTCATGGCCGTCCCCAGCAGGATGGACTTTAGGGAGGCGTACCTGCAGTTGGTCATGGGGCATGAGAACCACAAGCAACGTCCAAACCCTGTCGTACTATCCCCGGCGCGACTCGCGCTTACCAGAACTTAAACTCCGGCAGCCGGCGAACAAAGGGCCGGAACTCCTCATCCGCTTTAGTGGGGAGCTCTGGCCCCTCCAGCTCCGGGTCAATTTGCGGTGTGATGAAACCGAGTAACAAGTTCAAGTTGTAGATACCCAGGCCATAGGAGACAATGTAGAATCCTGTACAGGAACGTGTTGCAAGGCCGGATGGTTGACACATTCTTGACGTGCACAGGGCACAGATTGGAACATCGCTGATCAGGCATGACTATAGCCCCTTACCCCGAAGGTACGATACGCGCGCCACGTAACAGAACAGTGCTACTACAAGGCAGATCCATCGAGCAGTAGTGTGTGGGGAGGTTCTGTCCAGGAAATGTTGAAGCCGCTGGCTCAGCCGACGCCCTGTCCGTGTTAGTGCATTGTCTGAAGGGGCGGAATCCATTCTGGCTTCGAATATATCTTAAGCAGTATGTAACATCTAACCCGAAGGGAAGCGCGGCAGCCTGGGATGTCTAAGGGTCGGGTCGTCCTAGAGACTTTAGCGATAGATGTATGTCATATGCGGCGCGTCAGCAACTCTTACTTCTGTCAAGCGTATTGGTTTTGGGCGGGTGCCCTTGAATCCTGACGTACAACCGCGAACGGCAATAATCTAAAGGTTGCAGCAACTTACACTTGCACAACGCGTCGCTGCACGGCATCATCTCTGGCGTGTCATTTCCTTACATATTACCGCTTAGTGCTTAGAAGTTCTAAAATGGCCCTTGCTGCGCGAGCAGGCGCATTGCAGCGGCGAGCGACGCTGCGGGCCCCAGCATTCCAAGGAATACGACCGCACACCGCGCGTTTATCAAAGCATCGTATTAGCGCAGCGTCAGATTGTAGGGACTGCAACGTGTCGCGTGGTGGCCCAGCCTCCGCTGCTGACGCGCGGGGCCTCCTGGCGACGACGGGCGCCTTCCTCGGAGCCGCCGCCTGCAGCAGCTTGCTCGCGCCGGACATGGTGTATGCCCTGGACCTCCATGCGGAGCTCAGCAACGCGCTGTCGCTACCTACTTGGGCCATTCAGTAAGTAGGCCGGGAGAAACGGACCGCTTGGGGTTTGCTCGGCTCTTGGCTGCCGACGCCCAGCATGGATGGCACGCGCCCCGCCATGCCCCGCCATGATGTCTAAGCATTGCTGGGCGACAGCTGCAGCCCCGCTATAATGCATGCGCAGCACCGCCATGCGGGGTGCATCCTACATGCCTGGGACCTGCCGGGGCCGTGCCCGACGCACTCCCGCCTTAGCATCCTCTTTGGCCGACCTGGGTGGTTCTTACACCCACCTCTAACCTTACCTGCGCTGGTGTGCGCCGGTTCACAGCTTAATGCCTCATTCCCTTACTGCTCCCTAGCACACACTGCCCACGTGCACTCATTACCACACACACACACACACACCAACGGACTTCACTTCACCTGTGGCGTTTTCGGTGGGAGGACTCCATCTTTCGGCAATCAAAGTACGTTTCGCCTCGCGGCCAGTTATTTTAACACACACCAATACTCGCGGCCAGTTTTCTTAACACACCCCTGACACACCAACTATTTTTGAACACACCTCGACTGCGCCCGCATGTCGCGCCCGCAGCGTCTCCTCCGTCCTGGAATGGGTGACTGCTATGGGGCTGATGTGGCGGTTCGCGGAGGTGAGCGGCAACCCGCGCTGGAAGGGCATGACGTGGGGCATGCTGCCCTGCCTGGGGTCCGCCATGGCGGCCTGCACCTGGCACTTCTTCTACAACTCGCCCGACCTGGAGTTCCTGGTGGTGCTGCAGGTGGGCGGGGGGCGGGGGGCGGGGTCAAAGACCATGCCATACCATAGGAAACCACAGGTTAGGCCGAGGCAAAGGGGATAGGAGGCGGCAGGTGAGGGGCGGGCGGGAGGCGGGGTAGGTTGTTGGGGGTCTTGGAAGTACTTGAGCGGGGCCGCTGGGTTAGGGCCGCTGGGGTGGATGCGAACGCCGGGGCGGTTGGGGCGGCTGAGGCAAGGGGGCTCGTCGGGGTGTGCGGCAGGGCGGGCCCCGGGGTTGGGTTGGGAAAGGCTCATTGGGTGGCAACAAGAAAACGGGTATAAGCAAGCCGGTTGGGGTGCGGTTGAAGGGACCGTGGGGGGGGGGTGCGGGCATGTCCAGTAATGCACATCCTACCTTATTCTGAAATGGCAGGTCTTCTGGGTCTTACACCCCCTTGCCTCCTTGTTGTTGCGCCGTACCGCTACCCCCTCCCCCACACACGACACATTGGACTCTCTTCTTTTTTCACCACACACAGTCCGCTCTGACGGTGGTGGGCAACTGCACTTGCTGGCTGGCTGCATACCGGATATACACAGCGGCGGTTGCGGAGAAGGCTTCGGGCTAAGGAGGATACGTGGATAGCCTTCCGGCGGTTGCATGTGCTTGGGCACATGGCCATGAACCCATGACGTGTTTGTGGAGCGTGTGCAGTGAAGATAAGGTATGCATCTTGTTGATATATAGTTTGGTTCCGGGGTGAGTTCCGGGGTGCGTATGGAGAGTTTTGGAGTACGGTGTCGGGCGCAGGCGCGCTTTGGTGCGTGTCGAGGGCATGTGCCGTCGTCTGTTAGGCGTCAACCCCCCGGGTCAGACGGAGCGGTCCAAAGCAGTGTGCAGCCGGCCTCCCGGCAAGCGGTTGTGGGGTACTAGGCGGCTGTCCCCATATTGAGAGGGTGCGTGCAAAGTCCCAACGTTATCAGGGGCCTTGTTGAGAGGAGAGGAACACCATATGATTACATACGGATAAGCGCCGCGCACATTCTTGCAGGGTGTGTTACTCGAGCAGCGGTGTTAGCAGCAAACACCTTCCTACGGGCGTGAGGACATAAATATCTTGTATCATGAGTACCGATATCTAGTGTCACAGCAAAGCTCGTCCAGAAATGTAGATTGAGGATGTTATGTACAATATGCGGGGTGCGCTGCTGCCGGGAGCGCAATCTAATCTTATTGCCGCAGCCAAGTGCTGCGGATGCGTGGATGTCTAATGTCGTCTCATCCTCGCGACAGATTGGATCTACCTAACAAACGAGTGCAGCGCTGTTCCTGCCCCTCACTTTGTAATCCTGCGATTCCCGATATATCTTTGCCTGCACGACTTTCTCAATCGTACTCCCTCACGTTCAGCCCGCTCACACTGCAGCTCGCTGCTCCTGGCATTCCCACTCTCCATCACCTATCAGCACTGTACTCACTCTCTTCTCACACTGCAAACCCGCCTTAAGGCCCAGCTACTGTTCCATGCAACCCCTTAACAAACGACTAACCGGCCACGCAAGCCACCCTCCAACCGCAAGCCCGCACATCCTCTCACTTCCCGGCACCACTCCCCTCCGCCTCCACCGCAGCCACCCGTTCCAACAAATCCGCCAGCGACTTCACACCCGCCAGCACATTCTCGTCCCGCTGCCCCTTGCTGGGAAAGGTGTGCGCAAAGTCGATCAGGCGCACCGCCACCTTGGCATCCTCGGGCCGCGTGGCAGCCCCTTCGTAGATGATGAGCACGCTGGCGGCAAAGAACTGCAGGCTGCGCTGCGACTCGAACCACGCCTGCAGCGCTCGGATCTGGGCCACGGCGCCCTGAGGCCCGCCGTACACGTCACGTGGCGTCAGCGCACCTGCGGAGGTGGGGTTTGTGGGGGATTGGGGGTAATTGGGTTTGGGTTAGGGCTCTCGGCAAGGAGGGATTGTGGGACGTCTCGGTTGGCATAGCAGTTGGCATCGTCGCATGAAGTGAGAGACCGGTGATGTGGGTCAGGGCCATGCCCCGCCGTCTCCCCCTGCAGCGCCCCAACAGGTGCAGCGTCCACCTGCTACCCAAGCTACCCAAGCTTCTAGCGCTTCCAACGCCCGTCAGCAACCTGGAAGCCTCCAAGCGAAGGAAAGCCCGATCCCATCTGGGTCATCTTGGTCGGGTCCACATGTGCCCAACCCTTCCAACCTGGGCCCTTCCATCCCTTAAACCGTGTGTCGATATGTGGCAGTTACCACACGTAGCACGAGTCACTACCGGTGCATAGCCTCTCGCCCATGCTCACACCTTAGCCCTATCCAACCTGCAGTAACACCCCTGGCTGCCCCTCCGCTGCCCCCCTGCAGCACCCACCGTTGCTGCCAAAGGTGGCCAGCGCTGCGCCCATGCTCTCCGCCGTGAGCTGCTTGCCGTAGTGGCGGTCGGCTGTGCGGTACTCCCCGCGCGCCTGCTGCCACACCTTGAAGCCCGTCACGCGGAAGCCCAGGCTGGACTGCGTGGTGGTGGCGTCCTTGCCCCTGTGCGTGCACGAGTTTGAACGGCGAAGGGGTGGTTAAGTTCAGGATCTGAGGCGGGATACGGTAGATGAGGATACTTGTACTGGGGTAGTGCAGGTAGTGCTTGGATAGCGCTTGTACGGCTCACAAGCATGGGGCAGGGTGGGGCATGCCCTGCCGCTCACCTCTTAGTGAGAGGCACGGTTAGTTAACTCACTTGTTCTTAGCCTTGTACTTGTCATCCGCCCACTCGTAGATTGTCGTCAGACCCATCTGCGCGGGAGGCGAGTGCGGTTGGGTTCTAGGCGTGCTCTGGCAACCGTAGGCAGGTTGCAGAAGAACGAGGCGCGGAAAACATACGGCTTGGACATCCATGCAGGGACCTGCAACATGCTCAGGGCTCGACTTGTGGACGCATTCAGCAGGGACCCAGTCCCTGCTTGGGTCCAAACCCGCCCGAAGGCGCTTGTACGGCGCTCGACCCCACCTTCGCATCAAGCACACACGGCTTCTTGTACGCGCTGCAGGTGTCCTCCAACGCGAGCAGCTTCCTGTCGCCCGTGACAACTGTACCGACTGCACAAAGGGCGGTGTAAGCAATCGTGCAAGAAAGCTGTGCGCTAGCTGGTCGGGCCTAGACAGGCAGTACTAGCTTCCGTGACAGAGCCCACCAAAGCAGAACGAGTTGCATAGCATCAGCGCATTCCCTAGCCGCCTGTGACTCATATGACGTTAGCCACTTACAGTATTTCGGTACAAACTGCCGCAGCTTGCGCAGGTCATCATTATCAGCGCCCTCCCCGCTGTCGCTAAAGATTAGTTCATAGATACAGGCTTCTCGTCCACCACGTGTGTCATCCTGCAGCAGAGAGGTGGTTAGCCCCAGAGACGTGGAGACTGGAAGGACGTCGCACACAAAGGATATCACACGGTTTGTGAAGCAAGAAAGCGTTTTTGCACCTGGAAAACCTTGTAGAATTTCCCCGAGTTGTCCACAAAGGTTGCAGCCTCCTTTCCTGCGGAGAAACCGCACCCGCGCCGATGACAATTCCGTTCGAGTCGAGCAACGCGATACGCGCCGTTAGGACAGAGTACTGACCGGAAGCAAAGTGGCCTCCAGCTTGATGTTCACAAGGCTTGAGGTTAAGAACTTCTTCCTGTGCAGAGACCTCTGCAGTCGCGTTCATCTCCATACCGTGTCTATGAGGTTTCCACGAGCAAGGATGAGTAGCTCTGTAAATAGCTTTCAGTGATCGTCTCTTGCCACTAGACGCAGTCTCTTTCCAACAATGCTTACTTTCCAACAACTAACCGCTGTCATATCGTACGCAGCAAAGCCCAGATGACCGATTGGCACGGTTTCGGCGGTGGAGGTCAACCCCTGGGTATATATGATCACATATAGCTATTTACATGTGACCCATCGACACCGGAACCCTTCACAGTCGGGTCGCGCTTGCAGCTGTTAGCCTTGTGGCATCCCGATTTTTCCCTAGACGCTGCCTTCATCTCCATATTTCTGCATTCCATTTTCAAGGCGCTTAACGTCGGGGCCACCAACGATCTCTTGCGCAAATGGCTGCCGCAAGCCCGGCTGAGCCGCATAGCGAATCCTTCAACGACCGCAGCTATGCTGATTGGCTAGCTCGCGCAGAGGCCAAAATGGCCGCCAAGGCAAAGCCCCCCGGCTCCCTAGGCACCCTGGAAACCCTGGCTTGCCGGCTTGCCGCCCTTCAACACACCCTCGAGCCCCGCGTTGGCCGCACCTACCTGCTCGTGTTCGGAGCCGACCATGGGATCACGGCGGCGCGACCGGAGATCAGCGCCTATCCTCGCCAGGTGTCAGCGCCCATCTTCAAAGCCATTGTGCGCGGCCAAGCTGCCAGTGCCGTACTTTGCGCTGCCAACGCCTTGACGGCACTGCTGGCGGTGGATGTAGGGCTGGACGCGGACGTGACGGGTGTCCAGCCGCCGCCGCCGCTGACAGGTTTGGAGGAGCCGGCATGGAGCCGAAAGCCGCAGATCGCCGTACTTCACCGAAAGGTATGACCTCTGCTCTAAGGTGTAGAGAGCTGGTTGAGCTACAAGAACCCTACAAGGAAGAAGGAATGAAGACCCGCACGTGTCGTGTTCCGCACCCAAGCACCCTCATCTCCCTCACGTGTTCCTCACCCCTCCCACTCCACAACATGTGCCGTACCGCTCCTGCTCCTTCACCACTCGTGCAGGTGCGGCCGCAGGGCAGTCGCAACATGCTGGAGGGTCCCGCCATGACGGAGGAGGAGCTGGCGGCGGCGCTGCAGGCGGGCGCAGATGCCGTACAGACGGCCGTACGGGGGAGGCCGGGGCCGGCTGGGGCCGAGCAGGGTTGTGCCGTACATGAAGGCAGTGGCAGCGGCAACGGCGATGTTGGCAACAGCAGTGGTGGTGGTGGTGGTTGCGCTGGGAGAGGCGATGCGCTGCCTGACGACTGGCGGCGCTGCGTGCTGTGTATAGGGGAGGTCGGCATAGGTGCGTGGAAGTAACGAGCATGGGTGGTTTGGGCGGGGGGTGTCGGGCAGGTGGCAGAGGGTCGGAAAGGAGGTTAGGTAGGGTTGGGTAGGACAACTAGGCGCTGAAAGCTGCAGGAAGGAAATCCGGTTTCGTTGACGGCTTTGCGGGCTGGACTGGGCTGCTCCCGAATGCTTAGCTCCATGCCTTCAGATCCAAACGACATACGGCATATGCGCTTGCTGCTGCGGCCCGCTCTCTGTCACCCCGCCCCTCCTGCTAGCTGGGATGCCGGTGCCCTGCTGCCACCACCTGTGTGCCCCGGCTCACCGCCACCACCACCACCGTGGTGGTGGTGGTGGCGGTGATGACGTCTTACCACATGGTCAGTTATCACATGGTCAGTTAGTTACCGGTAGTTGTTGCCTTTTCACCAACCCCCGGCCTCACGCAGGCAACACCACAGCGGCTGCAGCGCTGCTGGCGGCGCTGACGGGGGCGTCCCCGGAGGATGTTTGCGGGCGGGGAACAGGTGGGGAGAAGGTGGGGGAAGTAAGTAGAAAGTGAAGCAACTCTGGAGTCCCAATCCCGTATTCCTGTGGGGTTAGTACTGTACGGTGACCACTGCGAGTCATGGGCGCCAGCGGGGGCGGACACGTGGGGCGTAGGAGCTGCGGGAGCTGTTGGTTCTAACCGCAACCGCACTCTTACGACCCCATGTGCCCCTCCCTCTCCGCACCGCCCATACCTACCATCACACCTGCCATTTCTGAAGCCATCTCTTCCCACACCGCCTCTCCCACACCCAAGTGGGGTTTCTCTTTCCATACCCGTATCCCCCCCCCACATATGAAAATTGAATATGTCGCAGGTGTGGATGATGCGGGTCTTGCTGCAAAGCGCGCCGCGGTGGAGGCAGCGCTGGCAGCCAATGAGGGGCTGCTGGCGGCCGGGGGCGGAGGCGGCGGAGGCGGGGCGCTGCGGGCGCTGCGGGCGGTGGGCGGGTTGGAGCTGGCGGGCATGGCGGGGGCGGTGCTGGAGGCGGCGAGGCTGGGGCTGCCGGTGGTGGCGGATGGGTTCATCAGCGGTGCGGGGGAGGAGGGGGAGGGAGGGCGAGGGTAGGAGAGACAAGGGAGGAGGGTTGGGTGGTACGGTGGTAGTGGGGAGGGATGAGGAAGGAGGGAAACTGTTATGCAGGGAGGCGCGAGGGAGAGACACTACGGCGCACTCCTCACCCAACCTCCCGAACTGGCTAATCCGCTCAACTAACAACTTCTGGACACCACCCACCGCACCCACCGCACCACAGGCTGCGCGGCGCTGGCGGCCCTGGCGCACCAGCCCCGACCCGTGGGTCGCGTGCTGCTGCTGTCCCACCGCAGCGCGGAGAGGGGCGCGGCGGTGCTGCTGGCGGCGCTGACGGGCGCCACCCCGCTGGCACCCCACGTGGCGGCACACCAGCAGCAGGAGCAGGAGCGGCAGGAGCAGGAGCAGCAGGAGCAGGGTGCACAACAGGAGCCACACCAACAGGAAGCAGCGGTAGCCGCAGCAGCAGCAGGAGGAGGAATAGCACGCGCAGGCCCATGCGCACGTCCCACGCCTGCCGTGTTGGACATGGGGATGCGTCTGGGCGAGGGCACCGGGGCGGTGCTGGTGCTGCCGCTGCTGCGGGCGGCGGTGGCGGTGCTGCGAGACATGGCCTCCCTGGAGCAGGTGCTGGCAGCGGAGTGAGGGGGAAGTGAGGGGGGAGGGCAGGAAGAAGGACACACTGGGATTCCTGTGAGCAGCGGAGTGAGGGTAAAAAGGAAACAACCGGGGTGGAGGGTAGGAGGAAGGGCTCAATGGGGTCCCAGTGAGGATCGGAGTGAGGGCGGGGTGGTGGCGCAGGAGGGCAGGGGAGCACAGGGCAGGAACCCTTTGTGGGGCTGGAAGAAGGGAGTGGGAGTGCGGGATGGGGTGCAGGGGGGTGTGAGCGTAAGGGTGTGTGGACTGAAAGCCCCTGTGCACTGATAGGCGAGGCAGGTGTGGAAGTGAGAGGGTCGCACCGTCGTTTGCTAAAGCGTGCTGTTTTGTGAGCGTTGTGGTGATTGCTGGGCTTAAGACTTCGCGTGTGGAGGTTGGCTGGATGAAGCCGCATGTGATTTTGTCTGTGTGATCCGCAGCAATGGCGTGATAGTGCTTTGGCTGCGTATGCATGTTATCTTATAAAGGACTGCCGTGTATTCATGGGCCTAGCCCTTTGACCCGTGGGCCTGGTTGGTCAAGTTGCCTTAAATATAGGTCATCTCTGTGGCATGAGCCACCTGAAGGCTGAAGGGCTGACATGTAAAGTGCCACAACCTTTAGCAATGGGAATGGCGGTTGGCGGCCATGTCGATGCCCGAAATCGATAGACGAGGTGTGAGATCCAATTACGACAAGAACCTTACATGCACATCTCTTCCATTGCATGCGCATCCCGCAGCTGTCGAGACGAATTAACAAAAGAATAAGAAAACGTCTTCCTGCGTATAGTCTCCGGACTTCACCCGGGGTTCTACACAATGGCCTGCAGCGTGCAATCCCCAGGCACTCGAATTTCGAGTGCACATGCGTGAGCTGCACTGCCTAGCTGATTATTGGGTACGACGGAGGAAGGCCAGGAACCTTTACTGATTCGGACCAGAACCTCCACCTAGTTGTTTCCACCAACCAGACCGGTAGTTAGAGTGTCAAACCACCACCTAACGGTTGCACATTTCTTCTCAAGTAACACACGACCACACAGCTCCCAAGCACATACACAACAGCGCACTACTTCTTCAGGCCACATACTCGCGCATATGTAAGGTCATACATGGAACTGCACGTGGCAGACTCACAGCTTACACCCGAGCCACCCATGGACCCCAAGTGCTGTTCCGAAACACATACAAACGAGTATAACACAAAACGTCAGATAGCAGAGTTAAATGAACACATACGGTAAAGCCAGCAACGCCAATCCGGCATCCGACCTAAGCCTCCCAACACGAGACATGCAAGATGCAAGCATCCCATGTCGGACGCTAACTAATGCGCCCATGCGCTAATGCATTTACGGCTTAGCCTTGGGACCGGCAGCGTTGCAGATGGTCACGAAGGACGGGCCCTTGAGCGAGGCACCGCCCACGAGGAAGCCATCGATGTCTTCCTGCTTGGACAGGTCCTTGCAGTTGGCGTCGTTGACCGACCCACCGTAGATGATGCGCAGCGAGCTGGCGACGCTGGTGCCCAGCTTGCTCTCGCAGAAACGCCTCAGGAAAGCGTGCACCTCCTGGGCCTGCTCCGGCGTCGCCACAACACCCGTGCCGATGGCCCAAACCGGCTCATAGGCGATGACCACCTTCGACCAGTCCTTCACCTCGTCAACAATGGCCTGCATCTGAGCCTCCAGAATCTGGAACATGGAGCCGCTGTTGCGCTGCTCGAGGGTTTCGCCGATGCAAGCGATGACTCCGAGACCCGCGGCCAATGCGTGAGAAGTCTTTTTTCCGACGACCTCGTTCGTCTCGCCGCACAGAGCACGCCTCTCAGAGTGGCCAGTAATAACCCACGGCACACCGAAATCCTGCAGCTGCTCGGCGCTAACCTCTCCGGTATAGGCACCGTTACCGCCGATCCAGCAGTTCTGGGCAGACAGCTGGTACTTCTCCTTGTCGAGGTTCTGCATAACGTAATCAATGTAGATGAAAGGAGGAGCGCACACCACGTCTACGCCCTTAGGGACGCTTCCGCTGTTGAGCTCATCCACCAGCTTCCGGACGCTGGCCACGCTGCCATTGCACTTCCAGTTGCCACCGACGAAGAACTTTGCGTTGCTGGCACACACAACCTTCAGGCCGGCCCGACCGGTGGAAACACGGGCCGATTGCGAGCGGCAGCCCGCTGCGCGCATGTTACGGTTTGCCAGCATCATGGTGGAGGTAGTGTTTAATGGCAAGTGGGTGTGATGCTGGTTTAATGGGGATGTAAATGGGATTAGGGCGTGCATAGGGCATGACAAAATCTTGGGTACCGAATCCGCACGACGACCCAATCATGTCAGGGGTCGCCAATCACCTGTCCTATGCACATCGGCTAGATTACTATCAACGGTGTTGTTTCATGTATGCGTTTCCTGGTATGCCTCAGTTACATCTTCTGCAGAGCAGTTGCGATTGTGTCGGGATTGCGCCTTTCAGCTGGCCAAGGCATGGAATGTGCCCTCTGCTCACGAACAGATGCAACCCGGTTAGACATCTTCATTTACAACGCTTAGGAGAGCTCCGGAATAGGGCTAACCTAGGAGGGTCGAACAACACCCAATCGCCTTGCTGGAACTCTAGGGCTCCGCAAGGGGGTTACCAAAGGGGTGCGTACTTACTAGGTAAAAGACAAGGGGACAAAAACGGCTAGGCAGCCTAAGCTAGTGAACGAACAGCACACCGTTCTTAGGTGTGTTCTGAGGTTACACCCTAGTTCTCACCCCAGCAATTCTCCAGCAAGCCGAGACCGATGCTGAAACGATTGGGATGATCAGGGAGCGCTGATTATCTCGCGGATTATCTCGCAGCTCCTGCAACCCATATGCTGCACGTTTATCCGTCCGTCCCCCCCTCTAGACAGTAGTCACTAGGCTGCTCAGTCCAGTTGAGTTGGTGCAGAATGGCACGGCGTATACTTACAGGTTACAACTGTCCCATTAAAGGACTCCTGCTTGCAACCCACAATCTGGACACCAACGCTTGCGGCACGGTGTAACTCTAGGCAATCTCGGAGCATCGGCCTGGCATATGGGTCTAAGCAGTAATTATGATATGACGTCATACAGCAAGTCACACATCCATGCAAACACCGTGCACGACATGTTAACGGTAGCTGTCATGCAGGCAGCGCGTCAGTCATGCCGGCAACCTCGGTGCAACCTGAGGAACGCATCACCCTGGCTAAACATGTTTCCAATTCTGTACATGCAAGCAACCTGCAACACGCCAGCACCCATGCATCAGTAACAACACCCCCGGTGCACTACGGTCAGGGTCGGTGTTTCCGCGGCTCAGTCTGTCTAACCCCCTGCACTACGCTGCTTCACAGCAGCAGATGTCGAAATAATACGTAACCAAGATAAACATGGATCTCTAATGCGAAGCCGGTTCCGCTCCCGTTCCAGCTGTCGTGACAGTGCAGCTGTGTAACGAAGGGTGGCATGAAAACCACGAAAGAGTTCCAACCTCCACCTCACAAGTCACAACACTGCAGCAGCAAAGACAGCAGCAAAGAGACGAAAGCCCACACAACACAACATGGCACACGCTTGCCTTTTGGGTTCCAAAAAGTATATTACTTCACAGCAGCCATGCGGATAGCGTTCCTGCATCCTTCAGCAGCGGATCTAGTCCGTAACTCATGATGACAGGCAGCAAGCCGTAATCACAATACCTACAGTAAGCCGTTGTTGGCACGCTCGTTGTAACCACCAACCGTTGTTGCAGTACACTCATGGCTTTACCTGTCCTGTACAATTAGACGCCCCATAAGTTACCTTATCCAGCATTCCACACTCCCTCTTCCTACAATTCGTAGGGACATGCCTACGCACCCTACCTTTCAGTAAGCGGGAGCATTCATTCACCCGCACATCAGTTCTTTGTGCCATTCACGCCTAACTCATCACCACCCGACCTCGCTCCCCACGAATCCCAAACATCCCATCCATCCTTTCGCGTATACCGGTACAAGCTCCCACAAGCATGCCTCTCAGCCTCCCTCCCTTCCTCCCTCCGCATCAATTCCTAGCGACCTTAAAGATGGCCCCCTAGCCGCCCCACTGACCCCCCATTAAACCCCGCTCCCGCCTCCGACTCCGCCGCCACCGCCGCCCCCATGTCCCAGCGCCTGCAGCACCCGCTGCACCGCCATATGAGCCGCCTGCTCCGCCGCTCGCTGGGCCACCAGCTCCAGCGCACCCCGCTCCAGCAGCAGCACTTCACCGCCCCCACAACTGCCGCCTCCACCGCCTCCACTGGTGCTGATACCGGCACCACCGCCACCACCGGCACCGCTGCCAACACCGCCAGAGTTACTGGTACGGCTGCCGCTGCTCGAGGTGGCAGCAGCGGCGCCGCCGCCCTCCTCGGCGCCCCCGCCAATCGAGGAAGGCGAGGTAGATGCCGCCAGCCCGCCAGCCGCAGTTGGTGATGACGTAATCACCTCCGCGCGCCGCGCCACCCGCGCCGCGGACGCCGCCGCCGTTGCCACCGCATTGGGCCGAGCCGACTGCGCCGCCGCCGCTACCGCCGACTGCGTCGCCGCCGCCGCCGCATGCGCCGCCGCCCTCGCCACTCGCTCGCTGATATCCTCCAACGCCTCATTCATGCTCCGCCCCATTGCCGCCAGCGCCTCCTCCTGCTTGCGCTGCGCCTCCTTCTGCTGCCGCTGCATGTCCGCCAACTTCTCCCGAAGCAGCTTATCCATCGCCTCCTCTAGCGCCTCCGAATCCCCCACCATGCCACCCGACGGCCCCTGCGCCGTCACGCTCATGCCCCCCCACAGCCCGCCTCCCGCCATCAGCCCGCTCCCCCCCACGCCCCCCAGCGCCCCCGCGCTCAACCGCTGATGCCCCCTGCCAGGCGCCATGCTGCCCCCCTCCCGCAGGTTACCGCCCGACATGGCCGCAACACCCGGCGCCTGACCCTCCGCTGCAGCCGACTGGTGGCTCATGTTTTTGAATCCCGCCAGCGTTGCTAGCACACGTGATTGGAAGTGCACCTGCTGCGAGGTGAGCTGATCCACGATGGCGCTCACGAAGCGCTTGGTCTCGCCCATGCGCCCACTCCAGCGCGAGGGCGGCTGCAGGTTGCGACGTTGCGTCCCGCCGGGGCCCAACATGCCGCCATCGTCGCCCTCATCCACGTTGGGGACCACCGTGGCCGCCTCCGCCTGCCACACAGGAGGCGGATGGTGAGGTGGTGGTGAGGGCGGGGGGGTTAGGACCAGGGAGAGGAGGAGGAGGAGGAGGAGCAGCAGGGTAAGGAGGCGGGAGGGGAAAAGGTAACCGCGGCCATTCACACCGCAAGCCGCATGCGCGCATGCGGTACGACAGCAGCAACACAGCTCCTTTCCAACCCTCCCACCCTGACCCCGCCTAGTTGTACGACATCGCGGAGCCTTCAATATTCACACCAACCACCCACTCGCCTGCCCAGCAGATCCCTCTCAGTGTTCCTCGCCGATCAGTTTACCTACCCCCCACCCCGCCCCCCACCTCCCCGCCTGCCCCTGCCTCACCGTGATGACGTACAGGTCGGTAGCTGCCAGCGACTCGAGCATCCTCCTCGCCAGCCCCGCCGGCAGCACCGACTCCGCCTCCACGATGAGGGTGAGCTTATTACGCAGGGACTCGCAGGCCTCGTTGTCGTTGATGCGCTCGTAGGAGTCGTTGATGATGGCTGGTGATGGGGTGGTGGGGGTGGAGGTGGTACGGCAGGTAGGAGGAGGAGGGACATGGGATGGAGAGGGGAGTCAGAATGGGGGGAATGTAGTGAAGGAAAGGTGGTAAAGGCGGAGCTGCATTCAGGTTTGTGAAATGGGTTATCAAACATCCGAGCGTGTATTTCGTAGCAGCTATAGTTGACAAGCTGAAAAAATAATTTGCGACCTCCAAACAAGGGCAACAATCGACCCACGGGACAGCACCCACCAATGAGCTGCGGTGCGCCGCCGGTAGTGACGACAGCAGCAGCAGCAGCAACAACAACAACAGCCGTGTTCGGGGTTGTTCGGGAGGCGGGGCGGCGGCGGAGTGGGGATGGCAGGACAAGGAGAGGGAGCACAGAGGCACGTTAGAGCGCCGCATGGAGGAGAGGGCCATTCGTAGTTGGCCCCCCACTTGCAGCCTGGAAGTTAAGGTGCGCCACCCAACCCCATGTTGCAGCCCTAACCTCGCAACGTTTACTACAACAAAACAACGGCACGTCCTGTACGCTACTCCTACTTGCGTTTGGCACCAACAACACAAGCACAGTCCCCACAAACGCCATTTCCGCACCAGCAACCCCTCCCTCCCTTCCCGCCCCATGTGCTGCGTTGCGGCGCTTACCAAATTGAGGAGGATGATGGTAACCTGCGAAGCGATGAGGAGAGGGCAACCGGTGGGGGAAGGGTAACAGAAGTTCACAAAGGGGCAATTGCGGGTGGCGCAGGGTTCATGGTCAGGACAAGCAACGCCGGACCCGCATTTTCTTCTTCCCTACACCAAAGTGACGTACACGGTACGCCAAATAGCGCGTACCGATACAGCACGAGCCGGTACCACTACCCTGTCTTTGCAAGTTACACGTCCGCATCACGGCCCGATTGCCCTGCCCAGCGCTCTGCCCCCTCCCGCGCCTTCCCTCTCCTCCTTCTCCCCATCCCAACCCACGCCCTGCCCGCCTGCTCACCAGGATTTGGTACACGGACGCGAAGATGCGCCACAGGTGGTTGAGACCGAAGCTGCCGGCCTCCGCGGACTGCAGCAGGCTGAGCTGGAAGTCTCCGAAGATCATGGTGAAGAGCTGCAGGTAGGTGTCGCGAATGGAGCTGTGCTGACCCTGTGGGGCGGGGTAAAAAAGAAATTCCAAAGTGGGGGAGGGTAGGGTGGGTGGGAGGGTGGGTGGGTGGGTGGAGGGGAAGGCAGGGTTGGGCGTGAGTGGGAAGGTGGCATGCACGCAGTTCCGTTCGGGGTACGACACATGAGGTGCAGGGGTTGCAGAACGGTACCCCTGGCCGTTGGAAGACACAGCTGCGGAAGACACAGCTAAACCCCCTGCGGAAGACACAGCTGCGGAAGACACAGCTGAACCCGCCTGCCGCAGTCCAGCACTACCCCCTCCCCCCACCTGCCACAACAAGGAGGAGGCACTACGCAGCTACGCACCTGCATGACGCTCAGCGCCAGACCCCAACCGGTGAACAAGATGCCTGGTGGGGGAGGAGGAGGAGGAGGGGCAAGTGGTGGGGTGGTGGGGCGGAGAAATGTGACACGTTAGGGTGTTGAGTGCCGCACATGCACATGCACAGTATGCCGTGGGCTGCTGATGGGGAGTCGTACGGCACAGCCCGCTCGCATGCGCAGTTTGTGGCCGCAGCCCCACCTACCTACCCAGCTGCTAGCACCGGTGCCCAGCTATACCAGCTGTACCGGTACCCGCCCTCCCATCCTGATGCGCGCAACACCCCCTTGCCCCCCCTTGCAAGCCGCCGCTGCCTCACCCAGGAATACGAAGAACAGCCAGCAGTCACGAAGCACCTCGATCACCATCCTGCAGCACATCAGCACAGCGGGGTGACGGAAGAGCTCGCACGGCCAAATGTCACACCCAGGCCAACCTCAGGCACATCTCAGGCGAATTCCCCGCCCCCCCCACCATGTTGACGCCTTATCCCTCAGTCAGTTAGTTGTACCCCCCCCCGGACTCGCGTCTATCCAGTCTCCAGGTCCCGCCCGCCTGACCTTTAGGCTCCCCTGCCTGCCTGCCTGCTTCCCACACACCACCTACATCCCAGTACGTTCCTACTCGCGGCCAGTTTTCTTAACACACGCACTCGCACACGCACACCTGAAGAAGCTGCCCAGTCGGTCATCCGCCATGGCGAAGTAAAGCAGCCGGATGAACAGCAGGGCCACCTGCGGGAGGGCGGGGGAGGGGGCGACAGCCGTTACGGAAAGGAAGGAGGGGGCACGGTGCACGTGGAAGCAGCCAGCCAGCCAGCCAGCCAGCCGCGTCCCTCACAACACAACACCGAGGCGCGCCAGCATCTACCGCTATGATTACGCTGCTCTGCGCGTTAGGTGCGAAACACGCCCCTGCTGCGGCCTCCACCCGCGCACCTCAATGGCCGCCAGCCCCCTCAGCCACTCCGCCTGCGCGTTGCAAGTGAAGTGCGAGCACATGATGGTGGCCACGGTGGCGGTGGAGGCGAAGTCGAGAAGGTTCCAGGGCTGCTGCAGCCTGCAGCCGGGGGGGCGGGGCGGGGAGGGGTGAACAAGCAGGACCAGACTGGCAATGACGAATGAGGCAAGGAGGTGGGAGTTGAGCCCGGGCGGAGCGTGACGAGGACAAGCAGGGAGACAGGGCGCTTTCAAACGGCAGGTGCCGGTTCACACACACGCATCCTCCATACCCCGCCACTTCTCACCACCCCCACCTTCAACCCCCACCACCCCACCGCTCACCACCCCAGTTTGAAGAACAGGATCTGCCTAAACTCCTGCACCACACAGGTCAGCGTCATCACGCCCAGCCACCCCAGCAGGAACCGCTGCAGCCCCGACGGCGGCAGCGCACAATCCTCCCGCGGCACCACCGCCGTCAGCCTCGTGCCCAGAATGGTGGTGAACAGGCCGGGGCTGTACGACAGCGAAAACGCGTAGATCATGAAGAGAGCCATGTAGATCAGGTGTTCTAAGAACTGCAGCAGCAGGAAGTAGCGCGTGAAGTGCCGCCAACGCCATGTGATGACGGCACGCATGAGGGGGGAGGCGAAGAGCTCCCCGTTGACCTGTGGGGAGCTTGCCAGCTTGTAGAGGAGTGCGGCGGGCATGGCGGCGGCGCAGGACAGCGGAACACGACTGCACACCACGCGGGTGGTCCGGCCGCTGAGGTAGGCCGGACCCGTATCGTCATCCAGGCCTCCTCCTCCGGCTCCTCCGCCAGCTGCACCTCCATCGCCGTCGCCTGCTGCTCCGCCGCCTCCTCCTCCGTTCAAGTGCGCATGCCGCCGGTGGTAGTGCTGGGTCACACCCAGCCATACCTCTGCTAGCGCGTCTGGATCCAGCAACACCCCCAGGAAGGACAAGTAATGCGGGATGATCCGTACAGTCATCAGCGCCGTGGATCCGGTCAGCATGCGATCCCCCGTGGCTCGATGCGCCAGCCGATCCACCCGTCGTACAATCTTCCCCACGCCGCGTTGCATCTTGTCTAACCCGCGTTGCACTTTGCGGAAGCGCAGTCGTTTGCCTACTTCGTTCATGGCGGGCTGCAGGCTCTCCCCCAGCCGCCCGTAGGCTGCTAGCACCAGGTTGCCTGCAATGCGGACGGCTAGCTGGATGCCGCGGGCGAGCAGACCCAGGGTCGCCAGGAACAGCCCCATGCAGAGGAAAACGGGAATGCTGCCGTACTGCAACACCTGTGCTGTGATTGCGAAGCGGTAGGTGCGCAGCCTCAGCACCTGCAGTGAGTGGAGGTAGGCGGGCAGCCGCCGCGACGACAGCAAGCAATGTGTGAGCACTGTCCACATGTTTGAAAAGATGCACGCTTGCAAGATGTCCTCCCGCGTCAGCGAATCCGTACCCTCACCCAGGCCGGCCCCGCCGGCGCCGGCGCCGCCGCCACCGCCGCCTGCAGAAGCGGTCTCCGATGCGCTGTTTTCATTCAGTAGCGGCGGCGGCAAACCGAACCGTGGGTCGTTCACGGGCACCACGGTAGAAGGCTTGGACCTGGCGCGTGTGGCCAGCAGCACCTGCCGCTGCGCCTCCTCGGCAGCAGCAGCCACACTGGCGGGCGCGACGGTGGGTGTACGGCTGCTGACTCGGATCTTCTCGCCACGTGTGAGTACGGCATAAAAGTCCTGATCTAGGTTCATGGGAATGCTGTCCCAGCGGTATCCCTTCAGCTCGACACGCAGTAGATCCATGCCATGCAGCAACCGAGCCGCCTCGTGGGGGTGCCGACGCGATACGGCTCGCAGCAGGTCAATGTCAATCACAGACGGCGACACGCAGGAGGAGGAATACGCGGGCGAGGAGGCGGTTGCGGAGCCATCTCCTCCAGCTCCGTCGAAATCTGCACGGGGTCCCAGCGCCCAGTCCCGCGCGTAGAGCAGTTGGTTAACCGCCTTGGCCGTTGTGAACACCGAGATCTGGTTCGCGGCTGCGCCGTACGATTTCGGCGGGTTAAGTGTCGTAGCGGCGATGCGTGCTACCAGTCGCAGCAGCGCCGCCCAGTCGACGAGTGCAGCGTTGCATGCGACGACGGGCGTGGAGGCGGCGGCGGCGCCGTTTGGACCCCCCAGGGACATGGAGGCTAGCGGGCCGTCTAGGGAACCGTCCTTGAGGTCTTGGTGCAGGGCTGTGAGCGCATCCGCGGTGTGGCGGTAGAGGCTGTAGATGATGGTGATGGTAATGTTGTCTTCCGGTGTGCGAATGATGGTGCGCGTCAGGCGTCGCCGTCCGTCCTTACCGCTGCGACGCGGCTCTCGGAAACGCTGCTGCGCCTCTTCGACGTCACTGGGTTCAGAGGATGTGAGCGTGTCCTTGTCGTCGTCATCCTCCTCGTCTATGGTTCCTTTCTCGGGATCAGCGCCGTCCTCGTTGTCACCCTCGCCGCTATAGGAGGCAGAGGACATATCGCTGCTACTGCTGTCGCCGTCTTGGCTGCTGCTGCGGCGGTGTCTGGAGCGACGGCTGCGGGCATGCAGGGACTGAGGCCGCCGCTGCTGCTGCTGCTGGGGTTGCTGGGGCTGAAGATTCTGGGGCTTTTGCTCTGGCCATGCGTCTCCTTGGCCGGTGACGCCTGTGGAGGAGAAGGGGGAGACGCCCTCGGCGGCAGCGCCGGCGGCAGATTTACGGCCGGCTGAGGGAGGCGGGGGCGATGATGTGGCCTCCGCTGCGATTGGGATGACTGTGCTGCCTGACAGCGCGGTGTCTACGGCGCCCGGGAGGCTGGTAGGGTTGGGGGGGTGGTTGGGTGCGGGGGCGTCTTGGCCCTTGGCGCCGGCACCGCCCCTGACGCCCCGCACGGAGGGGCCGGCAGGTGAGGAGCTGGCGCGAGCGTTGCGCAGCTGCACGGGGTCGGGGCGGGGGCAACAGCGGAGTGAGGGGGAGGGCAGGTAGCGGGGTGAGAGGAGGAGCAAACACACAGCTTTCTCTCACAGCTGGTGCGCCCAGCGCACTGAACAGAGCATCGAGCAAGCTCCCATGTCCCTCTTACCCAACACCCACCTCCCCCCTTCCCTCCCGCCTCCTCCAAGCATGCATGCATGCCTACCCCCCCCCCTGCTCCCCCCCCACCGGCGCCAGGTTGTCGAACTGGTGCGCCATGGCCCGCTCCAGCACCTCCGACACCAGCCAGCTCACGTCGGCGGTCACCATGGAGGCGTCGGCGGCCATGGTGCACTTGATCAGGTCCTCCATCAGCTCGCTGAACCTGAGGGGCGGAGGAGGGGAGGGGGGGAAGATGAACGAGAGGATGGGGGAGGGGTGGAGCAAGACAGGGGGGGTTGTAAAACGAGGGATTGGATGGCAAGGGATTGTGAAACAGGGAGAGGGGTTAAGATGGAAGAGGAATGTCCTGGAGTGATCCCAGGGTGTTTTAAGGATGGTGGTAGCCCCTACGGAAGACGGACCGAGTGGAGGAGCGGTGGAGAGTAATGCGCATCGCCACCATCTGCCATGGCTACCACCACCGCCCCCGCCTTGTCATACAGTTCGTTAGTTGCCTCGTCAGTTTTCCTTATTTTTTCCCCCGCTTACCTCCCACTGTGCAGCCACAACGGCAGGTTGCCATCGATCAACGCGCTCTGCATCTTCGCACCAAACGCCAGCAGCGGCGAGCTCCTCCCGTTCTCCCAGGGCACCTTTGACATCCGCCGCATTGACTTCCCCACATCCGTCGTCGACTTGCGGCTGTAGAACGCAGCCGAAGCCGACGCATAGCCATCCCTGCTGCCTCCCACCGAGCCCTCCGCATCCGCCCCTGTCGCCCCGCCCGCCTCCGCTGCCGCCTTCACCAAGTCTTCATGCGACTCGGGCTGCAGGCTGCTGTACTGCAGCAGTCGAACCACCAGCTCCTGGGGACCGTGGATGAAGGCGTGGTGCAGGGCCGCCTCGGGGCCGTGCGCAGGGGCCATGTGGTAGCCGCCAACCTGCAAGCCAGCCAGGCGGACAGCACATCACGGCATCAGCATGCCACAACAACAACAACAACAACAACAACGACGACGACGCGTACAGTAAGACACACTTGTGTTATATGGTTTTTTAGGTTTGCTAAGCAGAACATGTTGTTGTTGTTGTTGTTCCAACGTGTCATTAAAACGGGCTTTAGCTTGAAATCACCACCACCACCGCTTTTGTCCGGTACTCCCGCCGCCGCCCTCCTCCTCCTGCTGCACCCACCTGTGAGCAGCCCAGGCGCGGCGCGTCATCCACCACCGCCCCCTTGGCCAGCAGGCTCCCCACAAGCGCATTCAGCACCTCATGCGCCGCCGACAGCAGGTCGCTCGCACCCGGGAAGGCCCAGTTGTTGCTGGACGCGGTCATGCTGGACGCCAGCACGGACGGGTCATGCGCGGAGGGGGAGGTGGCAGGGCCCATGCTGCTGCGGCGGCTGGTGCTCCCAGCAACGCCTCCACCTCCGCCTCCAGCTCGACTTGCGGCTTTCAGCGCGGTGCCGTAGTTCTGAACCACAATCATGAGCAGGGAGGTGCTGGTGAGGTTGGGGTGCTCGCCATGCGACAGGAAGCGGTCGGGTTGCAGCCCGTGGTCCACCATGGCACTCAGCGCGGCTACGGCAGCTAGCGTCTCGGGCTGCAGCTCCTGAAGAGACTTGGCCAGCGGGCGGCCTACGCTGTCGTGGAAAAGCCGCGCGCGAAACAGCATCAGCTCGCCCGCCTTCAGCACGCGAGCAGAGCGGTAGGCGCTGGTAGCAGCCTGCAGGGCGCCCACGGCGGAGGTGGCGACGCCGCCGGAGCGAAGGGTGTGAGTGGCGGCCACGATGACGGCGCCTGCGACGGCTGAGCTTCGAGCGGCGTCCGCGGCGGCGGCGGCGGCGGAGGATGAGGTCAGCGCGTTTGCTACGAGGCGGAAGGCTGAGGCGGCGCTGGGGGTGGGTGGCGTGGCTGCGGCGGAGGGTGCGGGGGTGAGAGGAAGGGTTGCAGGTACGGAGTTGGTGGTGGTGGTGCAGCGAGGGCTGTCGGGACCGCTGTCTTGCGAATGTGCGTCGTCGTCACCGTCGGTGTCGAGTCGTGGAGCGAGCTTGGAGCGCGGCTTGTTGCCCGTCTGGGATTGCTGCTGCTGCTGCTGCTGGTGTGCATGGGTGTGGGAATGCGAGTGGTGGTGGCTATGGTGGTGGTGATGGTGATGTTGCGTGGGAAGGGGTCCCGCAGCCTGCTGCTGCTGTTGCTGCTGCTGCTTCGCTGCGGCCTTCAGGTCCAACTTGGCGAGTCGCCGCGCCGCGTCGCACAGACTGTACCGCAGCGTGTCGGGGTGGCAGGTGCCGTACGTGAAGAGGCTCTGTACGGCTTCCGCTGTTTGCGCAACCACGACGGGCCGAAACCTGTCGCGAGGCGGGGGCAGGCAAGATAACACCATTGCGGCTGTCGTAGCTACAGGCAGGACAAGCCGGCTAGCAATGCGCGATAGGGAACTGGTAGCAGACAGCTCCCCCTCCTCTCAGCCCTTCCGCGACTCTCCCACTCCAACCGCTGCCCCCTTCCTTCCCATTGCGTTGCCCTAACCTGTAGATTCCTACGGTTTGGTATGGTCTTTGACCCCCCGCCCCTCCCGCACCCCACCTGAAGCACCCGTACGTGCTGCGGTCGTCCACCAGCGCCTTCCTCCGCGCCACCGCCTGCGACAGCAGCCGCACGCACTCGCCGCTGCCGCCCAGCGCCGCCGCCGCCAGCGGCGTTACCCAGGGGCACCCCGGCGGCAGCTCCTCGGGGGGCGCATGCCACGTCACGGGGTACTCCACGGCATTGGCGCGGCCGTCCTCGGCCATGGCCTTGAGCAGCTCATCCACCATGCGGTGGTTGGCGTGTGCTGCGGCGATGGTTAGCGGGTGGCAGGCGTGGCGCAGGTAGTCACGTTGGAGCAGGGACTTGAGCGCGGCAGCGGCGGTGGCGGGGCTGGCTTCCTTGGGTAGCGGTGGAGGGGTTGCAAGGTGGTGGTGGGGGTGCGGGTGGTGATGGTGGTGGTGTGGAGATGGGCGGGAGGAGGGGGTGGTGGCGGCACCGGAGGCCGCGGGTGCGGAGGGGGAGGGTTGCAGGGTGTGGCAGGTGGGGCAGCCGGGGTTGGTGGTTGCGGGGGTACGGGTGGCGGAGGAGGGGTCGGTGGGTAGGGGGTAGAGTTGTCGGTTGACCCAGATCAGGTTGCTTAACGGCTCTGTGGAGGTCTTCAGGAGCTCTAGCAGCGTGTCTAGGTCGTTGAACCAGGCGGCGGAGTGGAGGGGAGGTAGGTCGTCTGGGGGCAGCGCGAGCGGCGCGTTGAGGCGTCCTAAGGAGAACCAGCCTTGTGACGAGGCGGGCAGCTTGCCAGAGGAATGACCGGGCTGGCTGCGGTTGTTGCCGGCTTGCTGGGATGTGAAGCTGTGCGGCTGACCGGGAAGCCGGACGCCTGCGGGCTGTTGTTGTTGTTGTTGTTGCTGCTGCTGCGGTGTGGGATTGCTGGGAGTGCTGGCGGGGCCGCTGTTGCCGGCATCCTTCTCATCGCCTCCCTGTATTTGAACCCTCCTTTTCATTTTGTTGACGCTCAAGACCGACGACATGGTTGCCGCACCCATAGCGCTGGCTGCCCCACTAAGGTAATCTTCCCCATTGTCTAATGAGGGCGCGGCTGCGTTCACAGTTGCGCGTGGCGCCTCTCCAGACGCCGAGCTATTTCCAATGCTATCGTCGTCGCCGTTGTTCGTGCTGGAACAGCCGTCCGGACGCAAGCGGTGCACGTCGTCGTCCTCCAGCGACGACAGTCCACGAACATTGTTGGACTGTGGACCAAACATGGCTGCCAAAGGCACACGCCTGTTAAATAGCGGCGCCTCGTACTATGCTGCATTCACCATGAGCTGAACAGACCACCGGTGGAACAAGGTCACCGAGCACAGCGATGATCATTGGGATATTATTCAAAGATGTTTATATTGCAATCTATGTCAGTCAAAGTGGGTCAAGCAAATCCTAGGTGCATTCGTTAGAGGGTACAAGAAATGGAAGGGCAAATACCCACGCATCACAAGATACGCAGTATGGCTAACGTATAAGCATCACGTCCTAAATTATTTAATTTTGCTTGGGTATTCTCACTGAGGAGCAACACCGACAACACAGCGTATATGCCGTACAGACCTTCGATAACAAGTCGATTGGGGTGCAAGCTCCTAAGCTAAAGCCGCATGATCTGCTTATGCATATGCCTAATTTGCGGTGTATACTTGTATGTGACGAAGGCGTCAATCAATAGTAGAAAGAAGTGCACAAATGCCAAAAGCATTAGATAGCCAAGCTCAAGTGGACGACGCTACCCTAAGATAGATGTGCATTACGATGACCCGCTAAGATAACCTGACAAACAAATACATTCCAGACGTAGAGTTCAACAGCCAGGTGGCATCTCTTCAAAATGCCGCCGCTGCCAACGCTGTGGGATCCTGCGGGGGCCGTGGACAAGTTGCCACAGCCCTTTCGCATGATCGACAAGATTCTCGCCGACATTGTCGAGCAAGTCGTGGACCTCATCGGCAAACGAGAGCAGCAGCGAAAGCGAGAGGAGGCAGCCAAAGTCAACCTGGTAAGTGGAGGTACCACACGCGTTGAGGTCTACATATGGGGCACCGGAGGGGTGTGTGGTTTGCTATCTTTGCAAGCGGAGTGCTGCCTGGCTGCAGTACACACCCTAGTGCCATGTTGTGCCACTGCCTAACGAGCCAGCCTGTCCAACATCCCGCAGCCCGTAACCCGTGTCCTTCTCCTGTGCACTATGACTCTCTCCCTCACCGCTTAGCGCTACCGGTCAACCTCCATTCCTCCGTGCAGACCTTCTCTCCACACGCTGTGATGGAGGTGCCGCCCCAGACCACCGCATTCCTGCCCGTCGGCATTGGTAAGCCAGCCACCCCCATCTCCCTCTGGTTGGGGGTGCGGTGTCCCAGCAGAGCTGAATGCGATGTTCCCAGCAAGGAAGCAACAGGCCGTATCGAGTCACATAAGCTCAGGTCCCCGCTTTCTCGCCCCTTGACCCTTTACTTCCTCCATAGCCGTCGTGAAGGGGTCCTGCCTCCAAAACACACCCACCCTCTCCCCCTAACCCCATGTCCTCCGTGCTAACCTACCATACCCCCCACGCCCCCACTCCCTCCCCCGATCCCTTCCTCCTTCCGCAGCGGGTATCGTGGCGATCGCGCTGCCGGACGGCGAGCTGCGGGTGTACAGCGCCCGCGACCCGGGCAGCAGCTTCTCGGACCGCACCCACACCTCCCCCGTCACGGCGATGGTGGGAAGGAGGGGGGAGGGTGGCTGGGGGAGAGGGGAGGAGGGCGGGAGAGGGGCGCATGGGGGGCGGTATGGGGTTAAAGGGCTAATAGCCGGAGGGGCCGGCGACTGGAGAATGCGATGGAGTAGCGGGCGACGGCGTTGCCGGCGAATGGGTGGGCAGGCTGCCCATGCGGCTGCCCTGCATCCCCCTGCAGCCCTCACACCCTTCCCTCTCCCTCACCTCTCACCCCCCCAGGAGGCGGGTCTGGTGGTGACCACCAGCGGCCGGCTGCTGGCTGCCGCCTCGCGGGGCACCCTGTCGGTGCACGAGGTGGACATCAAGACGTGCGAGATGACGCTGCTGGTGTCGGTGAGGCGGGGCGGGGCGGAGGCGGGGCGGGGGAAGAAGGAAGAAGGATGAGACCAAGTCGGGGGGCTGGGGCGGACATGGGGAAAGGCTAGGGCGGGGCGCACGGACCACCAGGAGTGTACCGGCGTTCCCAAATCCCCCTAGCTGCTTCCATTTCCACTCCCATTCTTACCTCTGTGCCCTCCTCCCCCTCTGGCCCCTCGTCCCCCCCCTCCGCATCACCCGCCTGCCAGGTTCCGCTGCCGCTGGACGCGGACGACACCTCCTCGCCCACCCGCATCCACTGGTCCGACAACCTCTGCCACCTGGCGGTGTGCCACGGCTCCGGAGCGCTGTCGCTGTACTGCGTGCGGCTGCCCACACCCACCGTCAACATGGAGGGCGTGGGCGCCTTCGTAACGCTCACACTGAGCGCCTTTGGCACCACGCGGCTGGAGGAGCTGCTGCGCATGTCGGCTAGCACTGTGAAAGGTGCGGGGGGAGGGGGTGCGTGTGGGAGGAGGAAGAGGAGGAGGAGGGTGAATGGGATGGGGTGGGGCATGGGAGGGTTTAACGCGAATGTGCGGTGCTTGTTGCCGTCTTCCCACTAAGAGCCACCGTCTCCGCGCCCTGCCCCTCCCTCCATCCCCTCCTCCCCGGGCTGGCTCACATGTTGCAAATCATGATGATGCCTTATCACACGGTCAGTTAGATGTTTCCTCTTTACCTCCCTCCCCTCCCTCCCTGCCAGCCTTCTGCCTGGGCAGCTCCCGAGTGGGCACCAGCAACCTGGTGTGGCAGATGCAGCAGCGGCCCGACAAGAACCCGCACTCGGATCGGTACCACAAGGTGCGGCGTGGAGGGGGGTGTGCAGGCGCGGAGGGGGCTTGCAGGGGTGGTGGCGGCTGCAGGGCAGGAGCAGACGAGCAGCAGTAGCCGTTGTGTTGAGGGCAAAGGGTTGATGCTTGGCGTGACGGTGCGCTTGCTTGCTTGCATGTCAAGGGCCGGGGTGGGTTTTCTTGCTCCTAACGCACCTTATGCTAATAGCGTACACGCCTGAAGAGGGCTTCACATAGCTTCACACGCAGAGCCCCGTTTCCAGAGCGCGCCTCGCTCCCACGCCGGAATCAGCCCCACAGCGCAAGCCCGCTGCCCCTGTACCACGACGACCCCCAACCCACACCACCTGTGCTGCTTAGAACCATACACTTCACCTCCCCAGCTCCCTCGCCCCTCCCAACCCCTGCTCCTCCCCCCGCTCTCCGCACCCACCCACCCATCCCCGCCATTCTTCCCCCAGACCGCCCGCGGCGCCTACATCTGGTGGGAGGGCGCCAACCGCCTGCTCCTCATCAACTTCGAGGCGCTAGGAGGCCGCCAATCCCCATCCCAACTCAGCTCCCAGCAGCACCCCGCCCTGGACTCCGAGGCCTCCTCCGCCTCAGCCAAACCCATCACCCCGGGGCTCAAATCCACACACGCCTCGGGTCGACACGCCGCCGAAGCCGAGGCCTCCGGCTCTACCTCCGCCTCGGGGGATTCCCCCTCCGCCCCCCCACGCGTGCCCGTGATCGCACCTCTGGCGCGAGATTGGATCCTGCCGCACAACGTAACGGCTGCGGCTACCACCTCGGACCATAAGACCATGGCCTGGGGCCTAGCGGATGGATCCGTGGTGCTGTGGGATGACCGGTCGTGCTGTGCGACCAAGGTGCTTCCCAGGTTAAAGGGCAGCATCACGGCGCTTGCATGGGTGAATGGAGTGGCACACAAGCTCATGTGCGCCAGCGCGGAGGGCAACATATTCATCGCGGACATCCTCAAACCGGAAGACAGCTCAGCCAAGCCGTACGAACTGCCGCAAGCCGTACACGAGATCCATTTCCTGCCGTACGAGGCCTTTGCGTTGTGCATTTGCCGGGGGCGTACGTCCTCGGAAGGTGAGACGGCGGGGCCCGCCGGCGGAGCCGGCGGGGGTGGCGGCGCCGGCGGCGCCGCAGGCGCCGCCGGGGGCGGCGTCAGCCGCCCCCTCGGCCGCCAGGCTGCCATGCGTCCCCGCATCCTGTGGTACAACGTGCTCGAGGAGAAACCCGTGGCGGAGCTCACGGGGCCAGGCACAGCGGCGGGGCAGGCCTTTGGCCTCGCCTGCTGCGTGCCGCCGCCACCCCCTCGCGCTCCTCGACCCCAGCCTGCGGAAGGCACCCCCTCCAGCTCCACCAAGTCCATGGCTACCGCCACGCGGAAATCCCCTGCCGCTGGCGGCAAGGGCTCAGCCGGGGGCGCAGCCCCCGGCAACCTCTCCAGTACCTCCAACGCCCGCCAGGCTGTCCTCACCACCCTGGCTGCCATGGGCGCCAACATGGCTCAGGGGCCCAAGCTGGTCCCGGTCCGCACCCCGCTGCCGCCGGGCCGCGTGGTGAACTACCCCGCCACCGCGGTGCGGGACACCTACCTGGTGGTGGGAGGTGATGTGGTGGATAAGCTGGTGTACAGCAACTTTGCGGATGAGGACGACGTGCCGCAGCGAGTGACGCAGCTGTACATGTTCAAGGTGGATGCGCTGGTACGGCACCTGCTGCCGGATGACGAGGCGCACTCGCGGCTGGGGCGGGTGGTGCTGGACCGGCTGCTGGCGGATCTGGAGGCGCCCAAAACGAATAAGAAGAAAGGTACGGAGCTGTACGGGCTGTACGGCACTCGTGGTATCTGGTATGGACACAACATGCCCCCCTTTCTCCCGTCACATGCTTGTGTAACTTCTTACCACCGCTGTTTTGTTTTGCTCGGCTCCACCTCCACTCCTTCGCTCCCTTTCACCCCTCTCCCTCTCCCCGCGGCTATCGGGCTGCTCCGCAGGCAAGCGCGTCAAGATGGAGCTGGAGGACACGGACGCGCCCAAGCTCACCTCCTCCATGCGCAAACCCGACCCCTTCGACGAGGGCGAGTCCTCCACCTCGAAAAAGTCCGGCCGCGCTGCCAAGCCCGACCGCCACATTACCTTTGGTCGCGACACGGAGGGTGTGTTTGATGAAAACGGTGAGGCCTCGGGCAACAGCAGCGGTGGCGGCAGCAGCAGCGGAGGGGGAGGCGGCGGAGGCGGAGGCGCGGCTGAGAAGAAGAAGCCGCCCAAGGAGGTCAAGGTGTACCCCAAGGAGACCAAGAAGGGGCTCAAGCTGGCTCCCTTGGACACCGCGGCGGCCACCAAGGACCGGCGGGTGAGCAAGGAGGGTGGGGGGGTTCGACTAGGAGGCAGGGGAGCAGGTCCTGGCGGAGATGCAGGCTTTGGGGAGAGGAAAGCATGTCTCTGTGTGGTATGGGTGCTATGGGGAGAGCCTCGCCTCCGCCCCGCCCCGCTGTCGTTACCAGCTTTGGTCCTCGCCGGCACTCTTTCTTACCCCCATTCCGCTGCCTCCTCCGTCCTGCCCCCATGCCGCTCCCGCACCCCCCAGGGCCTGGACGGCAAGCCCCGCCTGGCTCCCCTGGGTCTGGAGAAGGCCAAGGAGTCCCCCCCTCCCTTCGCCGAGCGCAGCCAGTCGCCCCCCTGGCACCACACCAATCCCCTGGCGCGCATCCACCCCGACTGGGAGGAGGCGCCGGTGCTGGTGCGCATCATGGAGCGGATCGGGTCCAAGGGCGGCGGTCGCAAGCGGCGAGACAAGCGCATGGATGCGCTGCAGAATGAGCTGATGGCCAAGTATAGCAAGGAGGCGGGCGCCAAACCCAACCTGTTTGTGCCCCCGTGAGGAGCGGGAGGAGGAGGTGCGGGAGGAGGAGGAGCAGGGGTTTGTGGAGGGAGGGAGGGGCTGTGGGTCGGAATGGGCGGGGTAAAGAGGAAACAACTAACTGACTGAGGGATAAGGCGTCAACATGGGTTGCAACATGTGAGCCAGCCCGACCCGCCCAGCCCGAATTAGCGAAGCCAGTACGTGGAATGGGCGGGAGGTGGCGACGGTTGTGATGCATGTTTGTGCTGCGGTGGGGTGCATGGTGACATGTGGGGGTAACAAATGAGTGATGTACTAATGTTGTGGTGGTGAGCATTGGGCCGTGTCTCGGTTGCCTTGGAGGCTTTCCGTACTTAGGGGGGTGGGGAAGCAGAGGTGCTGGGAGTGGGTATGATGAGCGTGAGTGGAGAGGAGAGTGGTGACTGGACACGAGAGAGAACTGAGAACTGAGACTTGTGGCGGAGGAAAGGTGGAAACGCAGGTTGTGGAAAATATCGGCATGTGCTGGTGTTTGGCTTTGGCGTGCCGGTAATGGTCGTATGGCTGGGGGCATTGGGGTGCTGGTGTGGGAGGCCGGCTGTGGGACGAGTCTCATGGACCCAAGCAGCGTGCAGTCCATTTCGCCTCCGTCGTTGTGTCAGCAGCATCCCTCCGATGGGGAGCATGTAAACATAGGAAGGATCTGGTGGGCGGTGGGGCTCGCATGGCACGGCGGTTGCAAGGCGGATCTTTGAAAAGGGGCGGACTGACATCAGCGGCCGCGGTGCTTCGATGCACGGGGCTCCGTTACAGGCTTGCAGCAGACTACCAACAGCGGTAAGAGCTCCCATCATCCCCCAGCCTCCTCACTTGCGCCAAGCTCCCGTTAACGCCCCGCGAAAAGCCCCCCCCCCTCCACACACCGCACGCTCGCCGCCGCCTCAGTTAACCCCCTCCCATGCACCGCTGCCATCCTGCCCTGCCGCCTGTCCCGGTGCCCCACTCCAGTCCTCAGCCCCCACCCACACCCCCACCCCACACTGCCGCCTCCGTTCTCCTGCACGACCAACCCAGACCAACAGCAACGGTAGCTCCTACCGTGGGGTACACGTCCCTGAAAACAACCCCCCCTCCTCCTCCTCATGCCTTGGGCCCCAGCCCGACCTTCCGCACCGCGTCCTCGATGTCCCGGGTGGCCTCCCGACTGCAGCCGCCCCCGCCCGCCTCGATCACCAGCTGCCCGCATGCGCCTGCGGGGAGGGTGCGGAGGAGGGGGAGACAGATGAAGAAACCCGCTAGTGTGAGTGGAGGAGGAGGAGGTGGAGACGGGAGGCTGTGGGAATACGGTGGGTACCACGGCAGCCCTGCAGACACGGCGCGAACGCCACCTCTCCCTCTTTCTCCCCGCCCCCCCCCTGGCCTCACCCGAGATGTCCTGCCCCATCTCCTGGCGAATGGTGGTGTGCAGTCCGTACGTGTGCCGCAGCACTGCCTGGAAGGCGCCCACACTGCCCTCCACGGGCGCCTCGAAGAAGGGCCCCTCGGGCTGGTAGATGGGGTTCCAGGGGATGAGGTTGATCACCACGTCATCACCCTGGGGGGAGGGGAGGAGGGAGGCAGGGACGGCGAGTAGAGTTGAGGATGGCAGGGTTTGGAGCTTGGTTTGGAAGTCCCATCACAGTTAGTTGCTTTCCTCCCCTTCCTCCCTCCCTCCCGCCCACCTACGATTCGTTTCCTCCTCTCCCCCCACCCCACCCCACCCCCACCTGCAGCAGCTGCCCCAGCTGGTGCGCCTGCTCCAGCCCGTCATTCACGCCCGCCAGCATCACGTACTCGTAGAACACGCGCTGGCAGCTGGAGGCCTGGTAGGCCCGCACCGCCGCCATCAGCGCGGGCAGCTTGTAGGCGCGCGCGGAGGGCACGATGTGCGCGCGCAGCTCCTGGGTGGGCGCGTGCAGGGAGAGCGCCAGGCTGACACCCTGGGGAGGAGGGGGGCGGGAGGGGGGAGCGGGAGGGGGGAGCGGGAGGGGGGAGCGGGAGAGGAGGGGTCAGAGGGTGGGACCTGGGCCTAGGTGGTGGTGGTTGGTGGGGGTCTTGGATTTGAAGCAGAGGAGGGAGTGTAGCAGCAGGCCAGCCCCATTCGTCACTCGGTACCGGTGTTCCTTTAAAGGATTCCCAGCCCCCAGCCCTCATAAAGGGACGTACTTACTTCCCGCCCAGCCTCCCCTCCCCTTCCCTTCCCTCCTCCTCCCCCCCTTCGCGTCTCAACCTGCCACTCTAACCACTCCCACCCACCGGCAGGTCCTCCGCCAGCTGCTTGATGCGCGGAATGACGCCCACAGTGGACACCGTCACGTGCCGCCGCCGCAGCCCGAAGAAGCGACTGTCCGTCATCATGGCCACTGCGGAGCGCACGGATTCGTAGTTGTTGAGCGGCTCACCCATGCCCTGGGGGAGGGGGTGGATTGGGGGTGGCAGGGGTGAGAGAGGGCGGAAGGGGTGAGGGAGAGCGGGAGAGGGTGAGGCCATGTGGGCATGTAAGCCCGCTGCAAACCCGCATCTGCCACTGCGCCTAGCAGCTGCGGGAACGTGAGTGGGGCAATCTGCCGCAGCCTGCCCACGCTTCCCAGTAGTAGCACTGGACCAGCCCTCCTCACGTGCCGGGGTATACCCAACCCATGACGGCCGTACCCCACTCTTCACCCTCCTCCCCTACCCCCTTTGGGATTGGGACTCCGTTGCTTCACTTTTCATGTATCTTTTCCCCCACCCCCTCCCAGCCCCCTAGGTAAACCCCCGGGGGCTGCACACCCCTAGGGGAACCCACCATGAAGACGATGTTGCGGATGCGTGTGACCGCCCGCGCGTGGATCAGCTGCTCCACAATCTCCCCCGCGTTCAGGTGGCCCTTCAGACCCATGGTTCCTGCAGGCGGGCGGGTAGCGGCGGTGGTGATGACGAGGGGGCGTGAGCGACACGACAGCACAAGAGAAGCCCACCCCTAGCCTGCCTTTCCCAAACCTCCGGGACACGGACTCAACTCCCAGCACCCGACATCTGCTTCCCGCCACCTCCCCGGCTAGTTCCACCGTCGCCAACGGGTCCCTCACTGACACCCCACCCCACCCCACCCCACCCCACCCCACCCCACCCCACCCCACCCCACCCCACCCCACCCCACCCCACCACCACTACTCCACCAAAGCCCCTCTGCTGTGCCCCGTGCCACCACCCTGCCACCACCCCACCAGCTACACGGGGCCACCAACTGGGTCCACCAGAAACGGGCCTCACCCGTCGCGCAGAAGGTGCACGCCATCTGGCATCCCACTTGCGACGACACACACAGCGTCGAGCGCCGTCGCAGCCGCGCCGCCGCTCCCCCCTCCGCGGCTGCCGATCCGTGACCCCCCGCTGCTGAACGCGCTGCGGAGGAGGAAGCCTCGGCGGCACTGGGCTCCTCTCCCTCCCCGCCGTTGCTGCTGCTCCGCCGCCGCCGCTGCTCCTCACCACCACCGCCACCACCACCACACCCGCTGCTGCATCGTGGCTGACGTGTGGTGCTGCCCGCTTCCCCCGATGTGGAAGCTTGTTGCTGTTGTTGTCGCGCCTGGGTGCTGCCCGCCTGCCGCTGCTGCCCCTCCTCCTCCTCCTCATCGTCCGCATGGGCCCGGTGGTCCACGGGCAGGCAGGGGTCCACCTCGGGGGCGCCGGGGCCGGCGGCAGCGGAGCCGAGCAGCTGGGGGTCGCGACCTGGGAGGAGCGGGGGCGCGGGCGGCGGTGGAGGAGAGTGGGCGGGAGGGTTAGGAAAACACACCGGTAGACACAGGGAGTGTGGCCGAGGGGCCAACATGCCGCACGGAGACGTTCGTGTACGGGCAACCCTGCAACAGTCCATGACACCCTGAGGGACTGGTCACCCTCCGTGTCTAAGGAGGCCGTTCCAGGTCGCCTTTCCCCGCCCCTCTCCCTTCCCCGGCTCCCCCAGCCCCCCCTCACTTGGCGCCTCGTACGTCATCACCACCGCCTCCACCTGCATGCCGTCCTGCAGCTGCACCAACAGCTTGGTGGTGCTGCGGTCGCTGCTCTGCTGGCACCGCACAACACGAGTGGTGAACTTGGTAAAGTATTTGTCTAGCAGGGCCACCGCGGCCTTGGGCATGTCGGGCACATCATGCCAGGAACTCTCCGGGTGGCGGATGAGGTGTCTGTGGGGCCGCGCGGATGTTTGGGAGCAAACGGGTCTCAAGTGGCCAACTCGATGGCGTGGGCAAGCGGATGTGGAAGGAATGGACCAGGAACTATGGTACTACAATTGCCTAATTAAGCAGTTCGTAACCCAATATTGAGAATGCTCAAACAGAACGGGCGACATGCTCTGATTTGCGCACTGCGACAGCTGCAAGGCGGCGCCAATGGTTGGTCCGAACGTTGGAAACGCTGCTCACCCCCACATACGGACGGCGTGCAGCTGCTTAATTCCTTCCTCCTGAAAAGCCTGGAGGACTGCGCTTGTGTCCCATACGGACTGAGGAGATAACTTCCGTGGCGCCGGCATTCTCGCTGCCGCCTAAGGACAAATGCACGCCCTTTAGGACCGAATCGACGACCCGTTTGTGTTTAATAGGATAATAGCATATACAATGACAATAAACTCGGCAGTTTGTAAGTTGCAAAACCTACAAACGTTTGCTATGCCAGCTTCCAAACAGAGAGCCTATGCCACTTGTAAACAAACACGTGCGATACGCAACTAGTAAGGTTACACGATAGTAGGATATGACAAACGACGGCGGCCAAGCTCATTACGGCAGTCAACCAACCGTCGCCCAGCAATCATCCACCCATTTCCGCCGCATCCCAAGCCCCCGTCTTCCCTCACATCCTCGCCACCACCTCAGCACGCCAACCACACAGCGCAGGCGTCGACTCCAAGTTCGCCACGCCCTGCGCCAGGACCGCGCCGCTAAGGCTGCCAGACCCCTCTGCGCCCTGCAGTGCCACTCGCGCAGTCAACCTCGCTATCGCCGCCGCTAGAGCCGCCTCATCCACCGCCCCCTCCACCAAGAACGACGCCACGAAGGGCTCCATGGCTGCGCCGGTGTTGTCCAGGCGCGTGACGGGCCCCGGCTGCTGCCAGCGCAGTGTGCGCGACTGCGCATCGAATGTGGCGCCGGCGGGATCCGCCCTCAGCGGCTGCTGCAGCAGCGCAGGCACCGACACCTCCACCTGCAGGCCTGTTGGGCGTGGTGGGGAAAGGAAAAGAGCTGGGTTGCGCGGGAGAGGCGGTGCGCGGATGTAACACGAGGTACAACAACTGGGGCACGATCCCACTTCCCGTCCTTCCCCCAACCACCAGCCGCTTTCCTTGTGTTTCGTCTTTCACTCATGCAACTACCGTCTATCGGCGCCCGCACTTGCCTCTCCTGCCGTACCACAAGCCGCGCCCCCCCACCCACCCCACCCCACCCCACCTGCCGCCTGCTGCGCGCGGCGGCTGTCCGCTGCGAAGTGCAGCCCCAGCGTCAGCAGCCGCCGGCCGTCGTGGGTGGGCTGCCAGGAGGCGCCCAGGTGCACCTGGCGGGGGGACATGGGGAGGGACATGGGAGGGGGGATAAAGAGGAAACATCTAACTGACCGTGGGAGGGAGGATGGGGGGAAAACTATGGATAAAGTGCAACAACGCAGTCCCAATCCCGAATCCCGACGCATGCAGTGAGCGCATGCGTGGGGAGGGGGGTGTTAGGTTAGGGTTACGGCAAGGGTCAGAGAGAGGAACCAAACCATTTACAGAGAAACCACCCCCAGTTGGTTGGTGTGGCGAGGAGCGCAGTGACTCTGATGCCGCCGCACAGCCCCTCACATGCCCCTCACACGCCATTCCCCTCCGCATCCCCGCCCTCCCCGCCATCCACCTCTCAGCCCAGCTGGTCCAATCCCGTACCACCCGTACCACCCCATCAACCCCAACCCCCCACTATCCTGTTTGTCATTCTCATTCAACACATTGGGTATTCTTCTTCCCTCCCCCTCCCCCACACACTCACCTGCAGTGGCGGCTGGCATGCTAGCGGCGGCAGGTGGTAGGTCAGCAGCGGCGCCCCCGGGTGCGGCTTGGACTGGATGCCGTCCGCCAGCAGCAGACCGGAGCAGGCGCCCGGGTGACCCGCGGGTCGGCAGCAGGCGGGGTGGCGCCGCGCGGAGCTGAGCGCTGCAGCCAGGTGGTCCGGGGAGCAGCCGCCGGGGGTGGAGGCGCCGGGGGGGACCTGCAGCACCCCCGGGAGGGAGGGGGGATAGAGAGACGGATGTGTATGTGTGTTTGAAGTAACGGAAGTAACTACCGGTTGGTGCGTCCAAAGCTGAACCGTCCAAAACAGTCAACCGTGGCGGACGTGTTTTGTGCCGTTGTATGCATGCTGGATTGCTGGTCCCCCTCCCACCGCCCCCTCCCCTTCCCCCCATCTCCCCCCTCCTCACCTGCAGCAGGAACTGCACGGTGTGCACCTTGGCCTTGGCGCCCTCCGCCACCCACTCCACGCGCCCCGACAGCCCCGCCCGCACCAGCATCCCGCCCACCGCCTCCCCGCGCCACACCTCCGCCAGCCGCAACACCGGCTCGGAGGGGGAGGGAGGGGCGGGAGGGGCGGCGGGGGCGGAGGTAAAGGCGGAGTCGCCGAAGCCGTCTGCTGCAGCGCCGAAGGCATTGTCTTCGAAGCCTGCGAGGCAGGCAGCGGCATGACGGGTGGGGGACCCCCCGTAAGAAGGGAAGGGAACCGTGTGGAACCAGTGAAGGTGTGCATGGTGGTGCTGCTCTACGCCGCCTGGTAAGGACGGGCAGCCACTGCTGCTTGCTGTTGAGGGAAAGCAAGGGAGGATACAAAACGCGAGGCAACGCGGATACGGTGCAGGCTGGGAGCTGTACATGTCCCCATGTGAGGTGAGGTCTCCTGCTTGCTGGCTGACTCACCCACAGCTGGCGTCTTAGTTGCCGCCGCCGCCGCAGCCGGGGCCTTGTTGCCCGCTGCATCCGCTGCCGCAGCCCCGCCAAAGGAGGTCCAGCTGGCATCCCCAGCAGCGGTAGCAGCAGGTGCGGGCGCGAAGGGGTCTGAGGCGGCGAAGGGGTCGTTGGGATCCGCACTCGCGGCCGGGGCGGCCTTGGCTGCTGCTGCTGCGGGTGCAGTTGCGGTGGGTTGCTTGGCGGCGGCTGCGGCCTTGGCGGCGCCTCCTCCCAGACCAAAGATATCGTCCTCTGTTGGGAAGCGCGGCGCGGCGCGGTGGGAATAGTGGTGGTTGTGATGGCGAGGTGCGTAGGTGAGGGGAGCATTGAGAACAGCCAGCCAGCCCCCTCCCTGTGCCGTTCCCCACGACCCTACCCCAACCTCCAGCCACCACCCCGCCACTCACCCCCAAACAGCTCCGCGGAGGAGGCGGAGGGACCGGGGAGGGCGGTGCCTGCGGGCGCCTGCGGACCCAGGGCCGGGGACACCGGCACGTCGTGAGACAGATACACAACACGCGGTGCACGTAACATGAAGCCAGCTACAAAGCCGCTCCTTCCTCCCAAGTGTTCGTGCTTTTCCTACACCCACCACCACTCGATCCCCCCTGCCCCCCTGCCCGCCAGTACCCTCCCCCTCACATACCAGTGGCACGGGCGCAAAGGGGTCCCGCGGCCTCCCCCCCGCCGCCGCCATCGCATGATGCGCCGCCGCCACCCCCCCCTCCGGCAGCTGGAACCCCGGCCTGGGCGCCACCCCCTGCATGGCCCCTCCCACGGGGAAGGCCAGCAGCGCCAGCTGGTCGATCACACCCTGCAGCGTCCGCCGGGTGCTGCGGCCGCGACCGCCTCCGGCAGGAGGCGTGCGGGGCGACTCCGGACCCGGCAGGCCCTTGTCCGCCGCCGCGGCTGCCGCTGCCGCTGCCTTGCCGCCGCCGCCCTTATCTGCCTTGTCTGCGGCCTTGTCCGCTCCCCCTGCCTTGTCAAAGATGGCGTCCAGGGAGGCCAGTGCGCGGGCGGTGGCGGCGGGCGGGTCCAGCACGCCGTAGCTGCCCAGCAGCGCCTCAACCGCCAGGAACACCTGGGGGGGGAGAGGGAGGGGGTTTGGAAAGGGATCAGGTCTTAGGTGGTGCTGCGACAACCCTCCTAGCCTCTCCCACCCCCCCTCCTGACCCCTATCTCCTCAGCCCACGCCGCCTCCCCCTCCGTACCTCTCCAAAGCGCTTGTGCACTCGCTCCGGTACCAGCTCCGCCGCCGCCCGCCCCTCCCCGCCGCCTCCCCAGCCGCCTCCCCCCCCTCCCGCCCCGCCGCCCACCACCCGCAGCAGCCCCCCCAGCAGCTGCACGCAGCCCAGCGCGTTGGCGGCGGGCGGTGTGACCAGCAGCAGCACCAGCCCGCCCGCCACTCGGTAGGTGACAGCGAACCTGGGCGTGGGGGGAGGGAGGGAGGGAGGGGGGTACGGAGGGAGAGGAGGGTACGGAGGGTTGGGTCGGAGGAAGCTACGGTAGGGCTGGGGTTGGTGTGGGACGGTTAGGGTATGGTAGGGTGCTGCGTGGCGCCACATGCTGCGAGGAGGTACCGGGTGCGAGGAGGTACAGGGTGCGCGAGCGGGAAAGAGAAATGCGTTGCAGAGGGACGCAACAGAATAGGAAAGATAGCGCCAAACTTGGTCACAGGGAGGGGCAAGGCACGCAAGGCTTGGCTACGGCGCGGGGCATGTCCAGCTAGCACACACTGTACGACTGTACGGCTTCCTCACTTGTTGTGCATCACGTTCAGTCGGCCACACATCATTGGGGCGCCCTGGGTGCTGGACCTGGGGCGGGGCAGGGGGGAGGTGAGGGGCAGGCAGGTTGGGCAACCCTGTAGCCGCTTGGAGGTTGATGTCAGCACCACAGCAACATACACTGCAACATACAGACCCTCGGTCTCAGAACGTCTTCCAAGCACTTACAGGATGTCCCACGGATCACCTCCCTGGTTAGAGGCTTGCATCAAAGTCATTGCCTCTGATGCCGCATGGCCCGCTTGGTGCATGTCAATGCCCCGACTGCAACAGAAAAAACGTTTATCCTTCTGAGTCCACGCTGTCCATAGCAGCGACAGAGTGATTTCATGATACATGCGTGGCAATGCAAGCTGACCTTTGGATGAGTACAGTCCGGCCATCGCGGCCCTTCACTACCACAGCTGCCTCGCGTCCGAAAACCATTCTTTTTGGCGATCTATGTACTGTACATGTAAGGATGTTGTGTTGCGACGGTGTTTATTACTCGGTGTCCACGGTAAGTGTTCTCAACTAGAGCGCAATAGGCCTACAAATGATCACATGCTATATGACCAAACGGACGTTTTTAGTGTAACATATACTGGTCTTTCTATAATGGGCACTTGATCACTCAGAGAAGCTGCAAGCCCAACCCACGAGAGTACGGCATGACCAAGGAAAGCACCAGGAAAGCGATCCGTTTCTGTCGTGCCTAGCCTTAGTCTCTTGCACGTTACGTCGCACTAAAAGCGCATAGGAAAGGGTCTTGAACAACCAGTCTTACCATAACTTGCGTGAAAGGTGCTGCTTGCGGCCTTGATACTTTAGTCAGTAGCCATGGGTCGCAGAGGCATGAAGAGCTTTCTGAAAGGGGCACATAAGCAACACGGATCCGACGACGAGGCGGCGGACGCAGCGCCTGAACAGCCAAGCACATCCGCGCCGAAAGCCCCCGCTTCGCAAAGCGCGCAGCCACCCAAGGCGGCTGACCCGCAGCCTGTCAAAGCCGCTGACGCTCACGATGCTGACGACAGCGACGATGACGAGGAGGGCGGCAGCAAGGGGCCCGAGACCCGCGGCAAGATGTTGCAGCGACACAAGCGGGTGAGTTCCCGCGGCTCCAGCACCCAGGGAGCAAGCCCCGCGCTGTAAAGAGGTGTGAGGCGGAGCTCAACAGAGCTGGTTCCTTCAGCCCTTGGGCGCTTCCAGGCCCTGAACAGCTGCTAGCTGGCCGTTATCGGTTGACGACCTCCCCCGGGCATGCCCCGTAGGAAATGGCGGCGCACAAGAAGACGGTGCAGAAGCTCGGAAGCAAGAAGAAGGTAAGACACGGTACCTCTACTGCACATGACGGATGCACAGCTCCCACCTATAGTTGCTTCACATCTTCACTTACACCCCAGACCCCACTCCACCCTGGCACCACCCCACCCTGCCTCTGCTTCCCTTCCCCTGCCCACCCCTCACCTCCCTCCCTCTACCGTTGACAACCTGGTCGTCCCCTCCTCCTTATCCCCCCCCCCACCAGGACGAGGCAGCCCGGTTGACGGCTGAGATGGAGGCACGACACGCTCGCGAGCTAGCGGAGCTCGAGCAGCGGGAGCAGCAGCAGCAGCAGCAGGCGGCGGGAGGGGCGGGAGGAGAGGCTGCTGCTTCAGCTGCAGCAGCAGGCGAGCAGCTAGCTGGGCTGGAGCTGGCGGCGGAAGCGGGAGCGGAGCACAAGGTGAGGGGGGCACGTGGGGGCGGCGGCTTACAAGGGCTAGGCTGCTACCGTAGTGAAGGGGATTGGGGCAACACTTTCCTGTAGGTGGTGGTTGGCCGGGGTTGGCCGGGGTAGGGAAGGAGGAGCTGCTGGGTGGGTGTGGGGTATATCGTGGAGGGCACCAAGGGGCTGGCTGCATGGGGGTTGGACACTACCGGCTGCTACCGGGGGTGACCTCGGAGTGCGGGGCACACTCTGGTCTGACACACACTGCACACATACCCTGCCTTCCTCCCCTCCCTTCCCCTCTCGTGCCTGCCCTCACGCACAGAAGCCCAGCAAGGCCCAGAAGCGGCGTGAGAAGCTGGCGCAACAGGAGGTGAGCGGGGCGGGGGCCGGGGAGGGATGTGGCGATGTGGGAGCTCCCTGCATGGCGGTCCCTGCACACCCCGCGTTGTTCCCTCAGCACCCGCCCCCCCCCACAGTCTTCTACCCGACCCCAAGTCGCATACAGGGGCGTCTGTAACCCAGTTACCTGCTTCTTTGTGGCTTTGCGTTCTCCTGAAGCCCCTTGCATCCCTCTGCCGCTTGCCCCTTGGCCCCCCCCTTACCCACTGCCTACCCTCGCAGGCTGAGCGGGCGGCTCGTATCGCCAGCGAGCAGGCTGCGCTGGGCCCCAGTGACAAGGCGGTGGAGGAGGCGCAGCTGCGGGCACTGCTGAGGCCGCATGGGCTGGGCATCCGGGAGATACGGGTGGGGGAGGGAGGGGGCGGGGAGGGAGAGGGGAGGCGTAGGAGAGGGAGGCGCCTGCGGAGGGACGTTGGGTTGGAGGGCCTTGGGTTGCGTGCTGCTGTGCGTGCTTTGTCCACCCCATCATGGCTGCCACACCCACTGCGCGCTTCCCTCGGGTAACTGCGTGCATGCAAACGCACCCACACTCCACACGCACCTCAACACGTGTCCCGCGTGAGCTCCATCCCTCTCACCCTTCTTGCCCCCCCCCTACCCGCCACCACCCCCACCCCCACCACCGCCCGCTTCCTGGACCGCAGGCCGACGGTCACTGCCTCTACCGCGCCATCGAGGACCAGCTCACGCAGCACGCGCAGCAAGCCCCCACCTCCTCCTCCTCCTCCACCTCGGTACCCGACTACCAGACCCTCCGGCGGCTGGCGGCGGCGCACATCCGCTCCCACGCCGACGACTTCCTGCCCTTCGTGTACGACGAGGACGCTGCGGGCGGCCCCGCGGAGCAGCTGGAGGAGTACTGCGAGGAGCTGGAGGGCAGTGCGGTGTGGGGGGGGCAGCTGGAGCTGGGGGCGCTGGCGCAGGTGGGTTAAATAAGGAAACTGACGGACTGTGTGTCGCCATGGTGGGGGCGCTGCTGGGTAGTGGGATGTGATAAGAAAACTGGCCGCGAGGTGCAGGTGTGTGTGTGGGGGGGTGGGGGGAAGGTTGGGGAGAAAGGGATGAAGGCATGCCCCCTCGCCCCCATTTCAGCATACGCTCATGCTGCCGCCATCCCATGTATGCTGCCCCAACCACCCCAACCGCTCCGTGCCGCTGCTGCTGGTGTGTGCATGCTTGCCGTCCTCCACCCCCCCCATCTCAGGCGCTGCGGCGGCAGATCAAGGTGTACGCCACGGGCATGCCGCTCGTGAGCCTGGGTGACGAGCACGCGGGGGCGGGCGGGGCGGTGCAGCTGTGCTACCTGCGGCATGCGTTCGGACTGGGGGAGCACTACAACAGCGTGGAGCCGCTGGTGGGGGGCGCGGAGGAGGAGGAGGGGAAGGAGGAAGGGGAGCGGTGAGGGTGGAAGGGTGGTTGCGTTAGGAAGCAGCAGGTCGCAGCAGGGGAGTGGGGTTGTGGTGGTTAGGCTGGCTGTGACGGGAGGAGGAGGTGGTGTCTTTGGCGTGCGGCAGTGGGCAGTAGCAGGAGAGGCCCCGCTGCTGTTGAGCAATGAAGATGGTGGGGCATGTGGGTTGTGCTTCACAACAGAAATTTTTAAAGTACACCCCGATCCTGAACGAAGGTGTGCAGCGCCTTGCAGTCTTGCTACGGTGTGCTGCTGCTCGTGCTGATAACCACCCACACGCCGAGTCCACCCATCGCACACTAGAAGCGTGTAAAGAGGGTGCGGCAGCAACCTGCTGGCAACAAGGTGTCTACTACCCTCTTCCACCGCACTCCTCCAACCTTGCAACCAATTAACACAACAGACGCCCCTGTACTGTACAACGCCGGGCGGAACCCCCTGCTCAGGACGCACTCCCTCCGTCCGTCACGCAACTCGTCCTCCATTCGTCCTTTCCCCCATTCGGCCTTCACATGAGGAAGGGCTCGCACCTCCTACCTACCCCTCATTGCCACCCTAGTATTATGATATCCCGCGCCGCTCCTCTTGCCTTTCCCCTCTCCTTGTCCTCTCTGACACACATGCTTCCCCGTCCACCGTACCCTCCTCACCACCTCCCCGCTCACTTCCTTTTCCATCGCTAACGGTTCGGTTTCCCTCTCATCCTTCTTTTCCCCCTCACTGCGCCTTAATCGACCCCAACCCGCCATCCACCCCCAGCACCTGCCCCGTGATGAACCCCTGCTCCGGACTCAGCAGGAACTCAAGTGCGGCCGCCACCTCGCGCGCCTCGCCCACCCGCTTCAGGGGGTGCATGGCCTCCGAGGCCTTGAGGGCGGCGGGGCTGCCGGTGATGCGGGCAGCCAGCGGGGTGCGCGTGAGGCCGGGCGCCACGCAGTTGACTCGGATGTTCTTGGGCGCGTAGGTGGCTGCGGCGCTGAGCATCAGGCCTGCACAGGGGCGGAGGGTGGGGTTGGGGGGTTTAGGAAGGCGGGAGGGTGAGGTGGAGAGCGTGGGGGAAGCTCACGAATGACGTTTAGGATGGCGGACGACGTTGAAGGCGGAGAGCGAAACAGGCTTGACAGCGCTGGTTACCGGGTACCGGGTATCACCGCAGCGGTGGAACGACAAGGCACAATGACCCCCTTGTGTTATTACAGTATGAGACAGGTGTGGTTACAGTGCCCGTCCCCTCCCCGCCCTCCTCCTCCTGCCCTCCTCCTGCTGCCCCCAACTTACCCACGACTCCCGCCTTGGCCGCCGCGATGGCCTCATGGTTGGGTACCCCGTGTCGTGCAACCGCGGAGGAGCACAGCGCGATGGAGCCGCCGCCGCCGCCCATCATGCGCTTCACGGAGGACCTGCGGGCAGGGGGCGCGGATGGGTGGATGGAGGTGGAGGTGGATGGGTAGGGGTGCAGGGCCGGGTGGGTTGGAGGGCGGGGCAGCTATGGCAACAGTGATGGGGCGGGAGAGGATGCAGGCGGGTTTGCGGCCTTGGGGGGCGAAAGGAAGGGGGGAGCCCACCAACGGATTCCCTCCCTGCCGGCACCCCTACCCCACACACCATCGCAGCATCATCCCCTACACACAGCCACCCCAGCAACCCCCCCCCATGTACGGCGCTCCCCCCCCCAACCCACACACGCAAGCACACGTGGCCTCCACCCCCCCCACACACCGCGGCTCAGTATGTATAACCCCCACCGCCACCACGTATGACGCCTTATCACACGCCTTATCAGTTAGTTGTTTCCTCTTTACCACCCTCGCGCCCACCTTAGCACGTAGAAACAGGATGTGAGGTTGAGCTGCAGCGTGCGTGCGAATTCCTCGTCGCTGGTGGCGTGCGCGCTCTTGAGCAGGATGGAGCCCACGCAGTTGGCCACACCGTCCACCCGCCCGTACAGCTCAGCGGCCCGACCGATGACGTCATCCACCTTGCAGGCGGCGGTTGGTGGCGGTTGGAGGGGAGGTGTGAGGGACATGGAGCGAGAAGGTGGGTTGGGTCGTCTTGCATGGCGTACGGCAGGGGTTAGTGTCTAAGCGGGACGCGGGGTTCATACACAAGCCCCTTATACACCTGCTCCGCCCGCGTGGATAGGGTATACCCGTACCTGCTTGGGATCTAGCACATCCGCCACAACTGCCGTACTCTCCGCACCCCCGCCAAGCCGGTTTCGAAGCTCCTCCAGCTTTGCGGCATCTCGCCCCGCAAGCACCATCCTGGCGCCCGGCTGGCGAGCTAGGCGGGCGCACAGCTCAGAGCCGATACCGCCGTAAGCGCCAAACACAACATAGACTGGGCGGGGCGGGAGGGAGGAGGAGCGGAGGGAGCGGCATCGCATTGTTGGGGCTAGCCCGTTGTTGGGAATGAGCCAATTCCACGGCTTCCTTGGTACCCTAACTACCCTGAGGAAAGCGACCGACTGAAGCAACGGCGGCATGCATTCTCCCTATTTACCTGGCGAAGAAGAAGTGCTAGCTTCTGTTCCATAGCTTGACTTTATACATGTGTTTGTGATGTTTGACTTTAGGCCAGATGACACGCGTGGTAGACGCTGGGCGAGTTGACGCAACATGCTTGCTATTGTTCTTTGCCAGGTATGCCCAAATACAGTGCAATCAGTATAAAAGTAGTCGTTTAATAGGGTCTAATAGTAAGACAGGCAAAAGCAAAGAATGGAAGCTTTTCCATTATGAGTTAGGGCCTGATTACTAAGGACCACTTAATCCTGTGGTTCCCGTACGCCACCACAAATGAACACGAGCATTACTAATCTCCCTCTCCACTGTTCTCGTTCGCGTGAATAATGAGTAGGGTACTGATGGGATATATTGCAGAGGCGATAGCGAACGTCCGATGTCCACTTCCCACCATCCTCGCATCTTAACACCACATTGCAGCTCCTCCACACTCCTACCATGGAGGCATCGTCCCCAGAAATCCCCTCTTACCTGGCCATCTTACATTATCTACTCTACAGGTGCCTACCGGGTCGACTCGGGGTAGCTACAACACCACCCTGCAATCAACGGCGCCCTAGTGCCCCGTGCAAAGGGGCCACCAGGGCCGCCCCCACCAAGCCTTGTCACCGCTAACAACCATCAACGCCCAGCAGCGCCCGGCTAGAAAGCAACAAACTTTGCTGACGTGGCAACTCGTGCGCTGACCTGGACATCAGCACACCACATTACGCCACTAACGGTACGAACTTCACTAGCAGTAACCATCCAGAGCGCCTCTTACAGCGCTTCGAAACGTAGTATGTAGGATGGCGCCTATCTAGCGTGGTCGGCAATCTGTCGAAAAAGCAAGATCGCACGCAGCCCCAGATCCAGGACGGTGTTGTGGCAAGTGGGTCAACTGAAACACGCCACCGAAAGGCCTTGGTCACCGTCCCTTCACACAGCACACCTTAACTTCTACCGATCACGAACAAGAAGCCTCCTAGGAGCCCTACAGGCAACGCCCCCAAACCCTCCCCCACAAGCCTCACTCATCCCCTTCACTCCCACCCACACCCCACGACTCCTTTGAGCATCGCAGCCGATACCGGTAGCATTTTCGTCAGGGCCCACCCACCTCACGGCTCCATCGGGTACCCCGCCGCCCCCCACGTCGCAAACCCGTTCTTCAGCGCATAGACCCGCACGCCCGTGTACTTGGCGCTGCTTGCGAAGGCCCTGCACGCCAGCACTGCCTTGTTGGTGCCGGCCTCGTAGCACAAGATGTCCTTCTTGACGGAGGGGGGCGCGGGGCTGCCGGTCTTGAGCGCCTGGTGGACCAGCTTGGCGGTGATGTGTACGGCACGGGGGATGTGGCTGGTGTTGTACAGCTTTTCCGTGCGCACGTCCAGAAAGGTGGTGTTCTGGGGGGGAAGGAGGTGAAAGGAGGCCGGGGGGGGGTTGGGGGATGTGCTGAGGACTACTGGTAATGTACCATTGCGGGACACTGATGCGGTGGGCAGGCAGGACAGCAAGAGACGAGGAAGGAGTTTGGACAAGGGTAGTAACCTGGCAAGGCTGAGATGGGGGCCTTGGGCCCGTGTGTGGATCCCAGGAGGTTAGGCCGCTCACGGGTTACTACTAGGCGTGCGCTACTAGGTGGGTTGAAGTGAAGGGAAATCCCAGAGGCAGCCCGACAATCCTGCCCAATTCGATCTGGCAGGTCTCAACGTAAGCCGGTCCTTACGTCCTGTCATACGTACCTTTAGGAGCCAAAGGTCGTGTGCAGCTGTCGCATTGACAACCTGCATCCCGTTTGGTGATATGAAAGTTAACGCCAGTTCAGAGGTAACATACACAGACATACACTACAAATGTACAAAACGAAAACTATACAGGAACAGTCTGGGTTACATTTAGGCTAGCACTTACGGTTACGACGTGATGCTTCCTGCTCGGGCCCGGGGGCTTCTTCGCAGCGCCGCTAGCCGTTTGCACCTCTGCAAAAAATGGGGAAACAAAATGGTTGCCGGGGGAACTTGCCTAAGCAAAGGCTGGATCAGAAGAACTTCCCAGATAATTCCCAGTGAGCAAGAATGTCGAACAACCGACACTATATTGCCGATAGCGTTATGCAAGCGACAGAGCACGATTTATAGACCCTGAGATTGAACTTATTATCTTGCATGCTCACCTGATGCTGCGATGAGGAGGACAGCAAGGGCGGCCTGTGGAAAACGAGGAAAGCCACTGTCCCTCAGCACATGCAGCCCATACTCCAGCCAGACAAGCAAGCAATGACGTCTAGTTCGCACCAGAAAGATGCTCCGTCGGCATGGAAAGCCACGCATTTTCGGTTAAAAGGCTTTACTACCGGTAGTAAGCGTGCTTTAACACGTCAACAAAGGATAAAGCACGAACCCAAATGCAAGTTACGTTGGCAGGTATGCAAATAGAAAGCATCACACCAATGGTATGCCGGTTCGCAATTCGCCCGCCTTCCCAACCGCTTGTACCTTTTGTACTGCATCTAACCTACCATCGCTTGCTCAGTTTCAGGGCCCAATAGATATCTGTTGCATTTCCTTCCAATTCTACTGGCATAAATGTTTGTAAGACTGGGAATGTCATGACTGGGGCTCTGAAATTCCGCATCTTCCTAATCGCTTCCTACCCTGGCTGACTAAGGTTGCCTGCGGTTGCGCATATAGGAACGCAGCCACACGGGTGTTTAAGCCATTGAACTCATCTGCTTATTACACCCACTAGCTGTCATAGTGGCACGTAACGTGCGTCCTACCGGTAGCGGGGGGACGAGGGCAACGCATGCTGGCAACCGAGGCAGCATCCATGTACAGGGGCACCATGAAATTGACCTTGTGTATCAACGCAATACAAAAAAGTTCTTTTATGTGTAGTTTTTCCAAAAAAACGCAGAAAAGAAATGTTCGGTACATCAGGATAAGCAAGCCCCACATGCGTGTGTACTTGTATGCCTTCGCCCAGGACTGTCAGCCCCAAATTGTACATACAAGGATATCCCGAATGGCGACAGTTATGAAGTTGGTATTGGTCCACTGAGCAACTTGGACATGACCGTGTACCTAATGCATCATTGACCATTTTCGCACCCAGAGCAAAGCCGTTGCAGTTATAATGATTTTGCGCGCAAGGGCGTTTGGCTCCCAGGCGACGGGCATCGGTCCGACGACCCGAGCCGGTCATTGCTTTCGTCCTCATTTACCGCATCCTCGCAATCCAGTACTCAAGCAAAGTAGAGAGAATGATGGCAAGCGCGTAGCTGCTTTAAATGAGAAGCAAGCGGCGGACACCTCGCAATGTCCTCTTGCAACACCTCATCCAACCATCCAGCAGCCCAACCCAGACGACTTGCGCGATTTCGAACATCCAATATCCGTTGAGGAGGTAACTCTTAAAGCAATAATGTTGCGATTGCCCCTTGGCTGTTTGGCCCCCTGCCAGTTGCTTCCATTCCCGCACCACCTCGCTTCCCCCTACTCCGCGCACCCCGCCTAGCCTGCATGTCACATACCTACGCTGGGAACATTTGTCCCACTACTTACCTTACCCCCCCTTCTCCCCGCCCTCCCCACTTCCCACCATTACACCCACCAATCGCCCCTCCCCGCTGCCCCGCGCTCTCCCCCTCCCCTCCTCTCCACATTGGGAATTCCTCTTCCCTCCCCTCCCCCTCCCCTCCCTCCCCCCCCCCAGTTCCGGCGGCTGGGTTACCAGATGGTGGACCTCATGTGCGACTACCACTCCTCGCTGCAGGAGGGGCGACCCGTGAAGCAGGACGTGCAGGTGGGGTGGGGGGCGCGGGAGGGGAGGTGGGAGGTGTGGGGGGGTGTGAAGGAGGGGAGGTGAGGGTCAGGTGAGAGTGTCGGCATCAGACATACGCCGAAATGAGCTGAGCCCTGCAACGCACTAGGGTCCCCCCCCACATGCCTGAACCCGCAAGCCCCGGCAGCATCCTCCTGCGTGAGCCACCCCGTTTCCTCCCCCTCCTCCTGCTGATGCTGCCTGCTCCCCAGCCGCCTGCTCCTCACTCGCAACTCCCTCTCCATCACCCCCTCAAACCGGTGGCTCCCCTCCCTCCTCCCCCCTCCCTCCTCGTCTCCTTTTCCACCTCCCCCTCCCGCAGCCCGGCTTCCTGTCCGGCCAGCTGCCCCCCCGCCCCCCAGAGCACCCGGAGACCTTCCAGGAAGTCATGCGGGATGTGCAGCACATCCTGATGCCGGGTGGGGGCGGGTGTGGGGTGGGCGGAGGGGTGTGAAGGAGGGGTGTGCAGGAGGAGGAGGCCGGGACAAGGCGGGCATGTAGGTGGACGGGGCCGTTCCGCCACGTTCCTGCGCCTGTCATGCGTCTCCTTCACCGTGCTCTCCCCCCCTCCCCCTCCTCCTCCTCCCGGCCTTAGTTTGCCATCATCATTCAACACATTGGTTCTTCTTTTCCCCCTTACCTCCCCACCGTACTATCCCCGCGCTGCTCCTCTCGCCCTCCCGCACCTCATACCTCCCTCCGTCCCCCCTCCCCCCTTCTCCCGCCAGGAGTGGTTCATTGGCAGTCTCCCTCCTTCTTCGCCTACTTCCCCTCCAACGCCTCCTTCCCCGCCGCGCTGGCCGATATGTGGGCGGGGGCGCTGGGCATGGTGGGGTTCAGCTGGGCGGCGGGGCCGGCGAGCACGGAGCTGGAGAGGGTGGGGAGGGAGGGTGGGAGGGGAGAGGGGGAGGCCCATACCGGAGCGCAGGAAACTACAGGGTTCGACAAGACAATGGGGATAGGAGGCGGCAGGGTGCCACAGAGGGGGGAGGGGTAATGTGTATAAGTCGGAGGGAAGACAGCGAGGGAGGAGGCATGGAGAGGTATTGGAGGCGGGGCCAGGGGGGTTTGGGAGGAGCGGAGGAGTGTCCCCATACCGCCTGTCCTGCTCCCGCTCACCCTCTCCTCCCGCTCGCCCTCAGCCCTCAGCCCTCCCGCCGCGCTCCTCTCTCCTCCTGCCAAACCCCGCCGCCCCCCCAGGCCATGATGGACTGGTTGGCGGACCTGTGCGGCCTACCTCCCGCATTCAGGTTCGACAACAGCAGCAGCAGCAGCAGCAGCAGCGGGGGCAGCGGGGGTGAGGCCTCTGTCAGCGACGGCAATGGCGCCGGTAGTGCTGCTGCTGCTGCTGCTGCTGGCGACGGCGCGGACAGTGCCGCCACCTCCAGTAGCAGCAGCGGTATTGCCAGCAGTGACGGGGGTGAGGGTGAGGGTGAGGGCGGTGGCGGGGGAGTGCTGCAGGGCACCACCAGCGAGGCAGTGCTGGTGGCGCTGCTGGCGGCCCGGAGCAGGAGGATGAGGATGGGGGGGCAGGGGGAGGGGGAGGGGGAGGGGGAGGGAGGGGAGCGGCCGGCAGCTGACAAGTTGCGACTGGTGGCGTATGCGTCCGACCAGGTGGGGGTGCCTTGACCCTTGGGGGGTGTCGTCACTCGTCAGCGAGGGGTGTCGCTAGGGAGGGATGTTGCGGCTGGGCAGCAGGGGTGCTCCGCGCGAGCGAGGAAACAGTCCCCCTCTCCCTCTCCCTCCTCCTCCTCTCCCTCTCCCTCCCGCCACCTCACCCTCTCCTCTTTCCTCCTCCCTCCCTCCCCCCCTCCCAGGCTCACTCCTGCTTCCGCAAGGCCTGCCTGATCGCGGGGGTGGAGCAGGTGCGGGTGCTGCCCACCAGGCAGGAGGAGCACTGGGCGCTGAGACCGGAGGTGCTGGAGGTGGGGGGAGGGGTGCTGAGGGGGGGCAGGGGAGAGGTACGGCATGGGTACTTGGGTAAGCCCTGCATGCACATCCTGCCTTTGCAGCGCTGCTAGGCATTTCGAAGGGAGTACCTCAAAACCCACACTCCCCACAGCAGCTCAACTCCCCTTCCCTCTCGCATACCCCCTCTCCCCTCCCACCATGGTCGTCCCCCCCCCTTCCTCTCCCCCCACCCAGTCCGCCCTGGCCGCCGACCTCTCCTCCGGCCTGCTTCCCTGCTTCCTGCTGGCCACCATCGGCACCACCAGCAGCTGCGCGGTGGACCCGGTGGCGCAGCTGGCGGAGCTGGCGGAGAGGTACAGGGTGGGGAAAAAAAGAAATTCCAAAGTGGAGGAATGGGGGGAGCGGGGGCAGGAAGGAAAACACGTGCTTAATTTGATGGTTTTACGGCTTTTATCACCTCAGCCCCTCACCCCTCCCATCCCCCTCCCTCCCATAATTATCACACCACACATTGGAATTTCTTCCCTCCCCCCCCCCACAGCTACGGCGTGTGGACGCATGTGGATGCCGCCTACGCGGGAGCCGCCGCGCTGCTGCCCGAGCTGCGCCCGCTCCACTTCTCCGGGCTGCTGCAGCCGGGGGGCCCCTGCCACGTGGCCTCCCTCTCCTTCAACCCGCACAAGTGGCTGCTCACCAACTTCGACTGCTGCACCCTGTGGGTGGTGCGGGGGCAGGGGGGCCACCTGAAGCGGGCGCTCAGCCTCACGCCCGTGTACCTGCAGGTGGGGTGGGGGGGGTGGGGGGGTAGGGTGGGGTGGGGTGGGGTAAAGATGAAACAACTAACTGACTGAGGGATAAGGCGTCAACATGGGTGGGGTGGAGTGGAGTGGAGTGGGGTGGGTGTCACTGTTACTGGCTACTGGATTCGACGTACGACTATCTGAGGAGTGGAGGACGGTTGACATTACGACAACCCTGGTTGTGGTAGCGGTAGGTGGCGCCCAGGTTGACATGTGTGGTGACCCCTCACCGCTGCCTGCCCACCCCCGCCTCACTGCCCTGCCCCCCCGGTTCCCCTCCTCCCCGCCCCCAGGCTGCGGGCAATTCGCTGGATTACAAGGACTGGCAGATTCCGCTGGGGCGCCGCTTCAGGTGGGGGCCGAGAGGGAGGCTGGGGGGCAGGTTCGGCGAAGCGGAGGAGCCCGCAATCTGGGCTGCAGAGAGGAGGGGCGGGGGTTGCAGATCTGCCCCACACACAGCCGCTGCGCCCTGCTAACCACCGCAGCGCTGATGCGTCCACCGCTGTGCACCCATTCCAACATCCGTTCTGGCATCCACCCGATTCCTCCCGTTTACGCCCGCATGCACCTGAGTGTACGTCACCCTTGCGGCTCAGCTACTGTACTGCCGGTACTCTCTTCCACCCACCCGACGGCCCTCTTCACCCTCCCCGTACTCTAGTTGTTTGCTCTTCAATCACCTTTCCCCCTTCCCGCCCGGCGCCCATCCCGGCCCGGCCCCCCCCCCCAGGTCCCTCAAGCTCTACTTCGTGTTGCGGATGTACGGCGCGACAGCCCTGCGCACCTACCTGCGCCACCACATGGCACTCGCGCAGTGGTTCGCGGCGGCGGTGGCGGCCGACCCACGGTTCGAACTGGCGGCACCGCAGCGCTTCGGCCTGGTGTGCTTCAGGTGCACAGGGGGGGGCGTGTGGGTGTTGGGTGTTTTACGGCTTGTCCGCTTTCAGGGTCACGCCGCCGTGCGTTACCCACACTGTCTTTTGCAGAACTTCTTTTCCAGCAACCCCCCATGCTGCAAAGACCCTTCACCACCGTGCCCCGCAATCCCTGCTTTTTTCTTTTTTATTTTTATATGATTATAAATTTATAATTGGTCCAAAAAGTGAACCCCCATGCCCCCTCCCAGGCTGCGCGGCGCCCCCAACTCCCTCAACACGGCGCTGCTGGAGGCCCTCAACGGCAGCGGTGCGGTGCTGCTGAGCCACACGGTGCTGGGTGGGCGCTACACGCTGAGGCTGGCGGTGGGGGGCGCGTACACGCAGCTGGCGCACGTGCAGGCGGCGTGGGGGCTGGTGCAGGCGGCGGCGGGGGAGCTGCTGATGGGGGGGAAGGAGTGGGAGGAGTGAAGGGGTGGGATGTGGGCTGGGGGCTGCAGCTCCGGAGGGGCTGTGGAGCAGGTGTGTTGGGGGGGGGTGTTGGAAAGGGCTGGGTGTGGTGTGGTGTGGTGCGGCGGGTTGTGGTGTACCGGTAGAGCTTGGTCCGGATGTTGTGGAGAAACCGCGAGCGGGCGGAGGACCACGTTAGGAGGTCGGGTTGGTACTTGTAGCGGACCAAATCACTGGTGACGCTACCTGAATGCCACAAGCACATGGAGCACGTGTTGGTCTGGGCACTCAGGAAAAATGTATTGGAACCCGCCCTGAAACCCGATGGAAAATTGACAGCTTACAGGCTTGCACTTAAATGCTCTTAAACATTTGTCCTCATGGAATAGATTCTAAAGACGAGAGCGGTTGGGCAGTGGGGGATTTGTTTATACGGCACCTTGGCTCAGTGGATGTACTGATCAGGACCGCCCGGATAAGCGATAACGTGCACCAGGACCGCAACAACGCGTAAATAGTTGGCAAGCATATATGTAATATGGATCTCACAAGGTGGCGATAGGCGTTTGCCAATTTTAGGAAGGACTGTTTGGCTGGGACAGCACCCGCTGTCTACTGTTCATCAAACAAAACCATAGTCTCAGCCAACTCCTGGCCCAATATACTAATCTTCCCGACTTTTTGGACAAGCACCGCTGAATGTCTGCAAGACAGCTAGCTAGCCCGGCGGCTGCAGAGATGGACAGACCCAGTAGTTTCGAAACTCTGCCCAATGATTGCAAGGAAGCCATTCTTGGATGCTTAGCAGAGGATATGGACAGCCTTCTGGCCGCACGTGCAACATCCTCTGCCATGTGCAATTTAGTCGACAGGCGCTTCACAAAGGTTTCCATAACCCTGCTTCCAGAGCACCTTGAGGAGCTCTTGATGGGCAGACAGCCCTCCTTAAGGCGTTGTGTGAGCTTGACGTCTGTCTGCCTCATCCTAAAGCTAGAGCGGAACTTTCCAGTGTCGGACGCTGTCCTCCTGTCTACACAACCATTCCAGCAGCTCTCCTTGGAGGCTCGGCGCGGCATCACTCGATTGGAGCTTGTGCAGAGCAACAGCAATGCAGTCTCAAATGCGGAAATTGTCGTGTCGGCACTTGTGGCGATGCTGCCTGGGCTGCAGCAGCTGGACCTGCGCAAGTTCCACGGCATGTCGTACTCCGCACCTCACCAACGCAACATGTACGGCAGCCTTGCAGCCTGCCTGCCGCACCTCCAGTGGCTGTCACTCCCCAGCTGCCGCGCCCTTCCTGGATTGGCCGTCCTGGCAGAAAGGGGCTGCAGCCACCTCCAACACCTGGAGCTCGCCAGCCTCCCACCACAACAGGATGTGGGATTCAACCTGAACTCCAACACCCCCATCTTGCAGCAAGCAGGGGTCCGGGAGCTGCATCTCAACGGCTGCAACTTCATGTGGCAGCCCACGAAGGGCGGCCTACCCGCCTCCCTGGAGCGCTTGTACGTACACAGCCCTAACTTCATGGGGTTCCCGGGTTCGCACTGGCGCCTGCACGCCCGAGCTGCTGCCGGCCGCCTCGTCGCTATAGACCAGCTGGAGCACTTTGGTGGAGTATTGGGCCAGATGCGGAGGGTTCGCCAAGTGCTGTCGGACATCACGGCAGGCGGGCCGCTGCAGGAGGCGCTGGATCTCCGCTTTGAGGTGGTGGATTTGGAGGAAGTCGAGCAGGTGGAGGAGTTGGAGGACCTGCTGCAGCTGGGGAGTATCTTTGCCAGGGTGCACATAAAGACACTGTACTGGAACCGCACCTCGCCAGATGTCGTCATCCAGCTGGTTGCGCAGCTTGGTCTGCCGGAAAGCATCACCTTTGCTATGGGAAGCGATTTGGGAATTGGTATCCGCACCCAGCATGCAGGAGCCCACGTGCCCGGTGAGGATCAGCAGCTGCAGCAGCAGCAGCGGTCGGGTGAGCAGCAAGTGATGAGTGGCGGGCCGCCGGCGCTGCTGCAGCTGCCGTCTGGAGCGCAGGTGATGTCCAGGGTTGTGCAGCGCATGATGCCTGGGGCGGCATCACCCGCAGCGTCTTCATCAGCACCAGGGGAGTCGGCGCCACAGATTTCTAAGCACCTGCTCCTCTTGTGCAGCACCGAGTCAGAGCTCGGGAATACCATCGAGGTGGTGCGTGATGCGGGAAGGAAGGCGAATGCGGAAGCCGGGTTGGCTTGTTTCCATGCCGGCGACACCATTTATGTTGGTGTGACCTGCCTGGGCGGAAAGGCGTCGGCGCTGGCGGCTGCAGTCGGTGTGCTGTTACAGGAGCGGGGCATGCAGGGTGCCGTGGACGTGCGCCGAGTGGACCGCCGCCTCGACCACAATGACCACGGCATCCCGAACTTTTAAGGCGCTTTCTATTACGAAATCCGGGCGGTGCGTATTTTGGTTATCTGCTGTGCAAGGCTTGGGTAGCAACAAGCATTTGCCAGTATTGCAGTGAAGGGCGCACATGTTGCAATGCCTCCTGGCATGCGAATTGCTTACCATGTTGCGTTGCACACACGCGTTGCAGCGTCCCTCGTTTTGCTGGCGGCACACAAGGCTACATGCAGGAATATCAAGAACAGCGACCCATGGGTCCGCTTGGATTCAGAACCTTCTCGTTTATTTCTCACCTTGTTCACTCATGGCGCCCCTGCATTCAAGGCGCTCAAGTGCAGCTATTCCACTCCACTCCTTCCGGCCCCCGCAGGTCATGCAGGAGGTGTGGGACGGCGCTGGCGGCTCCAGTAACTGGCAGCAGCTGGTGGCGTGGCTGGGGGAGGTGGATTGGGGGGTCTCCTTCGGCGGCATGGGGCCGTGACGTCAGTTACAGACGAGCACAACAGCTGCGGGATTTCCATTGCTCCCATCCAGCGTCAGGCCAAACCCGCACTGGACGCGCCTTGCGCAAATAGCCTCCAAGTGCCGATCACCCGCGAGGCGCGTGGATGAGCACGGGGGTCCGTTGACGTTTACTCTGAACTTCTGTCTGTATAGTGCTGACCAGACAGCGAGGGCGTTCTAGGGGTATTAGGAAAACTAAGCCGCGGAAACGCTGGCCCTGACCGTGGGGTTGTGGACGGAACGCACAGGGTGGTGAGGTATGCGGCGGGTCTGAGGGGCACATGTTGAAAGGCCGTTGGAAATGCCGGTGCATGGCTTGGTTTTACTACCAAGTTGCAGCAGGCGGTGTACCGTATGCCATAAGAAGGGACTCGGCACGCAAGGGGTTGGTGCTTTTACGTCCGTCTCGTGCAGTCTCGCGTTGCTGGCACAGAGATCCATTACCGTAAGCATGGGCCGCCACTTGACCCAGATGTGTGGCCGACTGACGTGCCGGATGAAGCAGATGCCCAGTGCAGCACATGCAGTCTCATTGCTGAACAGCATGTGTTTGCACACGTCCATGGTTGCACAAGGTCAGGGGGCCTGGGCGGTGTGGCGTGGAGCTGTCCACACCACAAAGAATGTACAGATACAGCGCTACAGTGCTACAAGCCGTACCTGCTTCAAGCGTAATAAACCTGCATGTAACGCACTGTCATGAACGAGGAGGAGCGGAGACGCCTCCTGCCGGCAGCTACCCGGTGCCCCCTGCCCTCTCTCACAGCCTTAATGCGGAGCACGTATCCCTCTTCATCCCTTCCTCACACACTCAACACCCTGCACTGCTAGTGAAAGCACACACACACGCACAGCAATCACATTACCGTACGTTCCGACTGGCGGCCAGTTTCTAAACACACAGCATCCTGCATCCTGCACTGCTCGCCACACCTCCCGCTCCGCTCCCACCAGGCCTCCACAGCCTGGCTCACACCACCGCCACACAGCCGCAACCCACCTGTCCCCCCCGCCCCATCAACCCATCACCGAGCCTGCCCCCAACCCCGCCCAGTGCCCCCGCCTCTCCCACCCTGCGTCCCCCCACCACTGCTAGTGAAAAAGCTGGCAGGCCGCTTCCTCGCACCCGCACCCTGCGTGCCGGCAGCAGCAGCTGCTGCAGCTCCGAAACCCCGCCCTTGTGTCGTACTTCCCCCTGCCGTACCGCCGGGTGTCGTACCGGGTGTCGTACCCATACCCAGGGAGCCCGCCACGGCTGCCCCCGCGGCTGCATGCGCGCGGGCGGCGGGTGGCCCCATGGAGGGGGGTGCCACGTCATCCTCCTCGTCGCTGCTGAGGGTGATGACGTCACCACCACCGCCGCCGCCACTGCCGCCACTGCCGCGGCTGCCGGCTGGGGTGCGTGCAGGCTGGCGAGTGGCGGTGGCGGGAGCTGGGGGGGCAGGCAGGGTGGGGGAAGGGACGGGGGTGTTGGTGGGGGCGACAGAAGGGAAGCGGGAGCAGCACGGGATGGCCCGGTGTGCAGGTGAGTGGGGTGAGGTAAGGTAAGAGTCCGCACCTAAGCTCAAAGCGCCCCTTCCCCCTCCCCTCCCCTCCCGCGCGTCCACGCACCTGCGGAGCCCCTGCCCCGGCCCCTGCCGGCCGCCCCCCGGGGTGCTGCTGCCGGTGTGGCCGCCGCCGCCCCCCGGCCCCGACCCCGCCCCGCAGCCGGCCTGGGTGCAGCCGCCTCCTCCTCGTCTTCCAAGTCAATGTCATCCTCCTCCTCCTCGCCGCCGCCGCCACCACCACCTGAAACGACGGGACATACAGGAAGGAGGTAGGTGAGGGGGGGTGTCGCAGGAGGCACATGCATGGCATGGCAGCCCCTATACGGCAGTCCGCCTACCTGCATAGTCGTCATCCCCGATGTCATCCTCCTCCTCCTCCTCCTCCTCATCATCATCGTCCACTCGGTAGCTCTTCTGCTGCTGCGCCGCTGCCCGGGTGCTGCGACCCCGCGCCGCCCCCGCACCGCCACCACCTCCTTTTGCCGCTGCTGTGCCCCTCCGCGCCACCGGCTGCTGCTCCTCCTCCTCCTCGATATCATCTTCAAACTCCTCCGCGGCCCGCCTACGACTAGCGGCAGCAGCGGAGCGAGCGCGGGAGCGGGGTGCGGTGGCGGCGGTGGCGGCAGCCTCCGTCATCTCCACATCGCTGTCCCCCCCCTCGCCATCACCACCGGCCCCAGCACCGGGACTGACGGGGGCGGCGGAGGCGCCACGACCGCGGCCCCTGCCTCGACCCCTGTTGCGGAGTGTGGGGTTGGCAATTGACATGCAGGGGTGGGGGCCGGGCTATGGGATTGGAAGGCCACAGTGATCCAGCATGTCACACAGCCCAACGTCAGGGGAAGTCGCAAGCCCCCATTTTGCCCTTCCCTGCCCCCCCTCCCTGCCCCATGCGCCCCCCCTCCCATTATCCCCCACCTCGCCGCCGCCGCACTCCCCGCGCCCCTCCCCGCCGCCGCCCGCCCCTTGGCTGGCGTGGCCCCTGTAGCTGCTGCGGGCTGCAGGAAGGCATCCAGCGGCCCGCCTCCCGCTGCTGCTGCTGCTGCCCCCGCCGCCCGCCCTCTCCCGCCTCCCGCTGCTGCTGCCCCCGCCCCCGCCCCCGCGCGTGTCAGGCTGTCTGCCAGGCTCTGCTGCCGCCCGCCGCGGCCACGACCCCGACCCCGCCTGCATTGCATGGGGAACGGGAGGAGGTGGGGCGGGGTGGGGTGAAAATTTAAGGAAACTGACGAATTGTACGACGAGGCTTCACCATGGGTGGGGTAGCGTGGGGTGGCGGACAGACACAGTGAGTATGAGCTACAACACACCAAGCACCACCCGTGCATGAGTAGTGCAGAGCAGCAGCAGCAGCCTCCCATCCCACCACCCCGCAGCACACTCCCCACCCTACTCTCTCCCCCCCCACCCTACCCTCCCCCCCAGCCGCCGCCCCTCACCCCCCAGCCGCCGCCCCTCACCCCCCAGCCGCCTGCGACGGCCCCGCTGCTGCTGCGCCCTCCCCGCCGTCCGCCTCCTGTCCGCCCCGGTCGTCCAGGTGGGTGGCGGTCACCCCCGCGGTGAGGGACTCCAGGTCCACACCCTCGGGGTCGCCTGGGGGGGGAAGCGGAGGGGGGGAGGAGTTGGGTGCAGGGAGGTTGCAGCGGGATGGCGGAGGGAGGGTGATGGAGGAGGGTGAGGATGAGCCAGCGGAAGAGCCATTGCCGTACATTCGCGCCAGTCACCCTGACCCCGGCACCACACTGCGCCCAACCCGCCACTCCCCGTCTGTGTTCCTCCACCCCCTACGGTGCAGCCCCACTTAATGCGCTAACACCACCACCACCAACAACAACATCAACTACAACAAGAACAACAAGAACAACTGCTGCCGCTACTGCACAGCTTCCTCCTCCCACCCTCCCGCCTCCTCACCCTGCGAGTCCGCCTGCTGCCGCAGCAGCCGCTGCTGCCGCCTCCGCTGCGCGCCCGCCCGCACCGCCCCCAGCACATCCTCCTCCTCGCCGCCCTTCACCCCCCTGCCCTTCACCACCGCCCGCCCGCCGCCTCCCCCGCCTCCGCTGCCGTACGCGCCCTCCACTCCCTCCATCGCCTCCGCACCCCCCTCTCCCTCCCCCGCCACTGCTGCTGCTGCTGCTGCCGCCTCCGCCGCCTCCTCCGCTGCCAGCTGGGCTGCGAGGGCGGCGTTGCGGGTCTCCTCGAGTGCCGCCTCGATGCACTGCACCAGCGCATTCTGGGGGGGGGAGAGGGGAAGGAGGTAGAGGGAGGGGAAGGGAAGGACGGGGGACTGGATGGGGATGGAGAGTTGCGATGACGGGGAGGACGGCGATACAGGGGACAAACATCCGTAACGGCATGTGGCCAACCTAATCCAAGGCCCAGCAGGGCCACCTCCAACCCACCCACCCACCAGCACCTTGTTTGCACACCCCCCCATGGTGACGGGCCTACATGTCATACAGCTCCTGGTCATATGCAACTCGCTCCTCTTTACCCCCCTTACCCCCCCCTCCACCACCCTACCCCCACCAGTCCCCCCCCTCCCTCCACCACCCTACCCCCACCAGTCCCCCCCCCCACCTTGTCGTCCTTCTCCACGAAGTTGTGCAGCGCCACCGCCAACTCGTCATCCGGCAGCACCTCCAGCGCATTGCTGCCCAGGTGCTGCCGGATGAGGTCCTCGATGCGGCTCTGGTCCAGCGCGTCGGGGCGCAGGAAGCCGCCGCCCTCGCCGTCGCCCGCCTCGCCGTAGGCAGCAGCGGCGGAGGAGGAGTCGCCCTCGCCCTTCAGCCTGGGGAGGGGCAGGGGCAGGGCGGGAGAAGGAGTGATAATGGGGTGGGGGGGAAGGGTTACAGGAGGAGGAACCCCGGGTAGAGCGATCCAGGCTGCCACGCGTTCCCCCCTAGCTGAGCACCCAGGCACTCGGGTGTAAGGAGCCAGCTTGTCATCATCGCTACATGCAGCTTATTGTCATAGCACGCAGCGTGTCAACGCTACATGAGGTAGCCCCCCACCCCCCCCCCCCTGCGCTCACTTCCTGCTCGCCGCCTTGGTCCACAGCAGCATGTCTTGGGGGTTGGCCACCCGCCCCACGAACCGCTGCCCCAGCCGCTGCGAGTTGACGGTGGAGAAGCCCGTGTAGTCCACTCGCAGTCGGATGAGGGGGAGCAGGGAGGCGGGGGAGGCGGAGGCGGAGGGGGAGCCGTCGGAGGGGGCGGGAAGGGGAGGAGGCGGGTTGGCGGCGGCGGCGCGGGAGATCATCTCCTGGATCTGTGGGGGCGAGGGTGGGTGGGTGGTGGAGGAGGAGGAGGAGGGAAAGGGAGGGGAGGGAGGGCGGCGTAAAGCTACTAGAGCCCAGGGTTGAAGCGCGCCGGCTCGCCAGTACCCTACACCCCAGTCTCTCCCGTGCCCTCGACGGTGCGTGGGGGACCACATTCAGCACGCATGAGACCTACCGGTAGCCCCCACCCCCCGCCACTAGACACTCCTCCACTCCTCCTCCTTTGCAATTGGGACTCCCCCGCTTCACTTCTTATGTGTTCCCTCCTCCCCTTCCCCCCTCCCGCTTACCTTGCCCGTCAGGAATCGCGTGACCCCCTCCGTGTCCTCGGGCAGCAGCGGCGGCCGCACCTCCCGCAGCGCCACCCCCCCGAACACAAAGGGCCGCACGGAGCGCAGCCGGAACTTCTGCAGCCGGAACTGCGCCCCGCGCACCTCCAGCAGCAGCGCGTGCTTGGGGCGGGACTCGCCTGGGGGGGGAGGGGGGGGAGGGGAGGGGAGAAGAGGGGAGGAGGCGGGGAGGGGGGGAAGGTCGGAGCGCGCAAGCGATATACGTGTGTGTTTCCCCTCCCCCTCATGCCCATGCCCATCCTGTGCGGGTCGGCGTTTGTCGCCTCCTCCCACTCCCTTCCCCCCCTCCCACTCCCTTCCCCCCCCTCCCTCCCCCCACCCTCCGACAGCGCGGTTGCCACGGTGGAGCCCGGCTGCACCACGTAGCGCGCCTCGCCCTCGCCCTTGAGCGACACCGGGTCGGGCCTGGGGGGCGGGGAAGAGGGAGGGGGAGAGGAGGGAGGGAAGGGGAGAGGGTGAGGTGGGCGTTGGGGTGCGTGGACGAAGCCGGAAAGAACGGAGCCCATCGCCAAGCGTGACAGCTGGGCCACGTACCCCCCCCCTCCTAACCCAGCCATCCAGCCAAAGAACCCTCCCCATCCCACCTCCCACTTCCCCCCCCACAAACACACCTGCACTCGTGCTCGTGCCCCCACACCGCCAGGTCCAGGAAGGCGGGCAGGTGCTCCTCCCGCACGCACGCCTTGCCCAGCGCCGAGTGCGCCACCCGGTTCTGGTGCAGCACCAGCAGGTTCACCCAGCCGTCGGGTGGGTAGCCGGGGGAGGGGGCGGGGCGCTGCCACTGCACGCAGCCGGGCGTCTGGAAGGAGCGGCCCAGGCGCTCGTCGCGGATGTTGCCCAGGCCGTACAGGCAGATGCGGGTGGAGCCCTGGGGAGATGGGGGGGGGGATTGGGGAAGAGGGGGAACAAAACACATTAGAAGTGAAGCAACTGGAGTCTAAATCCAACATCCAGACACATGCAGTGGAGTGGGGAGGGAGAGAGGAGGAGCTGGGCTGGGCTGGGGTCCCAGGGGTGCATGCATGCATGCATGCATGCAGGGGGTGCGGGCGGGGTGCATGCATGCATGCAGGGCACTAGTGCGGGTGGCGGCTGGCAGGGGCAGCAGCCGGGCAGCGGGTGGCAGGCGTGTGGCGGCCCCACCTTCTCCAGCAGTACGGGTGACAGGGTGATGCGGGCGGCGCCGGTGCCGGTGAGCGGCTGGAGGGGCGGGGGGGGGAAGGGTGTAGGGAGGGGGTAGGGAGGAGGACGGCAAGCATAACTCCCTCGCGGCGGCTGCATACATGGAGATACCCAGCCGCTCAGCCACTCGGTCTGCACCCTCGTTTCCTGCCCATGCGCCTCCCGCTTCAGCCTCCCTGCTCATCCATCCCCTGCAGCCGTCCACTGGGCCCCCCTCTCCCAGCTCTCCGCCTCCCCCCCTCCCGCCCCCCGCATGCTGTCCCCCCCTAGCTCCCTAGCTCCCTAGCACCCCCCCTAGCCCCCTCCCACATGCTTCCCGAAGTAGTTGACCAGCCCCGTCTGCGACAGGATGTCCACCGCGGACAGCGAGTCCTGCCCCGCGGGGTCGTCGTGGTTGCCGTGGATGGTGAACACCGGCAGCCCCACGTTGAGGTTGGGGTTCTCGAAGTTGACACGGCTGGCGGGCGGGCGGGATTGGGGGGCCGGGGGGGGGCGGGCGGGGGGGGGGAGAAGGGGGGCGTAGCAGTGGGAATGTGTCGCGTGAGGTGAAAGGTGTCGGAGCAAACGTATCAGGGTGGCTTAGAGCATTAGAGCTAAGAGCTAGCAGGTGGGAGCAGCGCCGCATGCTGCCGGACCCCTTCTTCTCCTTTCCCTCCCCTCCGCATGCTCCCCTGTTCTTCCTCACACACGCACCCCGCCACGAAGTTGACGCTCTGGTCCGACACCACGCGGAACCTCACGGGCCGGTCGTTGAGGCAGTACTTGGCCAGCAGCTGGATGGCCTTGACCAGCGTGGCGCGGGAGGGCTTGTTCTCGTGGAACAAGTCGCCGCCCAGCAGCACCGCGTCCGCGCGTGTTTCCACAGCCAGCTGCAGGACCTCCTCGAAGGCACGGAAGGAGTCATCGCGCCGCGTCTCATCCTTCTCCCACACGCCCTGGGTGCAGGAGATGGGAAAGCAGGTGGAAAGGGAGGGAGGGATGTGGGAGGGATTGATGCGTGGGAATTGGATGGAGTGCTCCGGAACCCGAGCCAGAGGCCCGTATCCTTCGTCAAGGATGTCAAGCTGGTAGGACGCTTTGGTTGGAGAAGGTGACACGGGTTGCGTTGGCTGCACAATCGCGTGCAAGGCGGCCAAGTGACATCCCCGCCATCCGGGATCTTTGTGGACAACACCCGCTTTCCGACGCACCAGGTGGTTATCCGTGGATATGAGGATGCGGAAAAGGTTTGGACTGCGAAGGCGTGTGTAACATCAGAAACGGAGCTTGACGAGTTCACAGGCAAGCTGTTGCCGAGCATGCACTCACTCTCCAGCGTCCGACATCGCTTCCAAAGCAACGATTTACGCCTATGCAAGCCGCTCACAAGGTATAGTATGGGATTTCAGCATAGCGTTGGCATTATCCGCTAAGTTCCCGATGCAAAAGCTAAATACCAAGCGTTAAGCAAATATAAAGTAGTCCAGTAACACCTGCGCAGCTATAGACCACGCCTTAATGTATAACAACACTTATGTGGAGCCTTGCATTCATGGCTTGCTGAGGCGCCCAACACGGAGCACGCGCAGCATATCGTACATTTCATCGCACAACACTCTCCTCGCCGGTTATAGATCCTGTAACATGTCGAGCTTTGACTATAATTGGTAGCAGGAGTCTTCATCGCTCGCAGGCTATTCAGCTCCCGCCGGCAATAGCCTTGCGGCATGACGTTGCCGCATACCACATTTCAATAGTATTAGTCAAGATTTACTACGTTTTGCAGATGTGTTGGCTTCAGCTCCTACTGTATACCCGATCCATCTTATGACGGTGTTGACTTTGCCTCTGGAATGGCTTGACGCGCTTTATCAGAACCCTTGCTGGCTAGAACGATAACAATTGGAAAAGCTACATTAGAGTGCGATTTGTATAGCATAAGCGTGGGCGTGGACGTTCGGGCTGAGCAGGATGCCAGCCTTCTTTTGTCATTCATGCCTGTCCACGAGTCTCACGCTCACCAATGGAGTCTACATCTGCGATGTATGCGGAGTCCAAAGCCAGGTGCGTTTGATCACCAACACGAAATGGGCGCCATGCCATCCGCCTCCGCTTCCAGGCAGCGAGTGCATCTTAGGAATTCCGGGCCTGATCATTACAGAACTCTCGACAACTGCACCTGACTGCAACGGTTCAATAACAAGTTCACATGGGGCGCATCCACCATGATCACCCTGTGAGGCAACGTTTCTCCAACCACAACACCGTCAAGCCCTTCCTCCCCCTCCCTCCTTCATCCCTCCCGCCCCCACCCACCACCCACTCAGCACGTGGAGGAGGAGAGCGAGGCCTTCGAGATGGGCACCCACGCGCGCTGGGCGCACAAGGGCGCCGGCGTCAGCGCCGCCACGCTGGCCGAGCAGCGCCAGGACGCGGAGGAGCAGGCGGCGCGGGTGGCTGCTGCCAAGGCGGCTGGGCGGCTGATGCCGCAGCTGCCCTTCGACCCCGTGCCAGTGCTGGGGCGGCTCAAGGCGCTGGCGGCGCTGTACCTGCGGGCCATGCAGGAGCTGCTGCAGGTGGGGGCGGGGGAGGGGGGAGGGTAAACATAAGGAAACTGGCCAACTTTTGTGACGAGGCGGGGGGGGGGAGGAGACAACTAACTGACTGCTGGGGGGGGAGAGGTAGGAATAAGGGGGAGTACACGTTCGCATGGTGCTAAGAAGAGCGATAGGCTTGCCCTGCGTGATGAGGGGTGTCTCTGACAGTTGGGGCAGGAAGAGAGAAAGGTCAGGTGAGGCTGGGTGAGAGGGGCAGGAGGTGGATTGGGCAATGGGATGGGTAGGCACCTGTCAGATGACGTGGGCGGGGGCTGGGGGGTCAGGGGGCTGGCATGTACGGCACTGGAGCCCTCTGCAGCACCCAATGTGAAGACACCTCTTCTTGGCACCCTTCCCATTACACGCTGGCACGCGGCTCCGTTGATGCAATTATCTATATCTTTTCACCTCCTCTCCGTCCAACTTCCCCCTCTTCCCTTGCCCCCTCCCTCACCTCCTCCCCTCCAGGCCCAGGCTGACGCGCTGGTCAAGGTGCTGGGTGCGCCCCCCGAGGTGCGGGTGCTGCTGCGCAATATGTGGATGGGGCTGCTGCCGTACACCGGCCTGCTGGACCTGGACCCACGGGTCGGGTGAGGCACTGGGGGGCGGGGGGGAGGGGGGGGGGGAAAGAGGAAACAATTAACTGACCGTGTGATAAGGCTTCATCGTGGTTTGCAGCATGTGAGCCAGCCCGACCCGCCCAGCCCGAATAGGCCCGGCCGTACGTTGAATGCACTTGCCGAACAAGTATGTTAACCGAAGCCAGCCAACACGGGGAGGCGGAGGGAAAAGGTATAGGTTAGGGAGGGCCAATGGGGATATGAGGGAGGAGGGAAGAGAAAATGAAATGCGGGTTTCCAGCCGGGGGGAAATGAAGGCGGCATGCAGTGGAGGGTGCCAAGGCACCATGAAGCCTCTCTTAGACAAAGGGACACTCTCCCCTCCCCCTTCCCCCCCCTCCCTCCCCCTCCGCTCCCTCCCCCAGTGGTGTGGTGTTGGAGGCCTCCTTCGACCGCCGCGGAGTGCCCCGGCTAGCCCGCACCACCAACGCGCACAACGACACCTCGGGCACCGAGGTGAACGCGATGGGGGCGCGGGTGTATACGGCCCGCGAGAAGTGGGTCAAGGGGCGCACGCAGCCGCTGGAGGACTTCCACTACAAGTGAGAGGGAGGGGGGGGGAAGGGAGGGTTGGGTTGTGTGAGGAGGAGCTACCGGCCGTGAAGGCGGGAGTAGGAATGGGGTTTGGGCGGAACGGAAGGGGTTGAGGGCAGGACGTAAAGGATGAAGCAGGGAATGGCGTTGGTTTTGGCATGTAGCCGTACTTGGTGTCTGGTATGGGGTGAGGGCAGAGCGCATCGGCCTTCCTGTCTCCTCCCTCCCTGCCCTCCTCACCCTCCCTGCCCTCCCTACCCCACCTCACCCCCCTCCGCTGCCGGCGGGCTGCAGGGCCCAGATGCGGTTCTACTTTGGCTCCAAGCACCAGCAGCTGGTGGCGGAGAACTACGTGCGCAGGGTGAGGAGGGGGGGAGGAGGAGGGGGAGGGGCAGAGAGGAAACAAGTAACTGACTGAGGGATAAGGCGTCAACTTGTGAGGAGGAAGGGCGGGCGGAGGGGTAAATAGGGATGGAGGGGGGGGGGGAGAAGCGGGGACGGGGGGCGCTGGGACAGGGGGTGGTGATGATAGGGGTACAGGGGTAGGGGACGTCGTCTAATTAAGACGGGGATTTGATACGCACATGGGGTCCTGCTCTCACCCCCCTCCCGCTCCCTCCCCCTTCCCTCCCCCTCCCCCCGCCCCCCCCTCCAGCACCTGCCCCCCCGCGCCACCCACGTGCTGGTCTACCTGGCCTGTCTGCTGCTGCGGCTGCCCGTCACCCCCGTGGATGTGGGCCGCTGGGCGCTGGACGGAGTGCTGCCCTTCCTGGACCTGCGGGTGGGTAGCACTGCAAGGAAAACGGAGGACGAACTGGATGACAGAGGAGGAGGAGGAGGAGGAGGAGGCCCTGCCGCCTCCTGTGCCCATTGCTTTACCCTACCTTTTCGTTTCCTAAACCCTATCGTTTTGGTATGGTATTTGTCCCCCCTCTCCACCCCCACCCCACCCCACCCCATGAAATCCCCCCCCCCCCCCCCCCCCAGATCCGCAGCCAGTCGCTGGTGACCGCCTCGGGTCTGCGCCTCACCGCGCGGCTGCTGCGCGCCCGCGGCTGCGTGCCGCCGGTGCGGCTGACCGCTGCGGCGGTGCAGCTGAGCGAGCTGCTGGGGCTGCCGATGCCGCCGCTGAACGTGGAGGGGCTGCTCACCCGATGGGGGGACCAGCTGGGGCTGCCCAGGGTAGGGGCGGGGGAGGGCGGGAAGGGGAGGGGTCAGGGACCAGGTACCGAACCATGGGAAACCTCCCTCAGGTTGGGGCAAAACAGTGGGGATGGGAGGCGGCAGGTTAGCTAGGGGGAGGGCGGGACGTGTGCATGGGTGTGAGGTGGGGTGGCGGAAGCGGGGAAACGAACCCGTGCACCTGATACCCTCCCGCGGTATTAGAAGTTTAGGACACACTCTGGTGCGGAACACCCTGGGGCTTCTTCCCACCCCCCTCCCATGCCTCACCCCTCACCCACTTCCTACCCCTTCTTACCTCCCCCACTGCATGAGTCGGGATTCGGGATTGGGATTGCGTTGTTGCATTTATTTATAATTTTCCCCCCTCCTCCTCCTCCTCCCTTCCTCCACGTCCTCCCCCCACCCCCCGCCCCCCACACACCCCACCCCCCACCTCCAGCAAATCCCGCTTGTCGCCCGGGAGCTGCACCGCCTCTACCTGCAGGGCACGCCGCTGGTGCACCCGTGCGGCATGGGAGCACGCGGCACCTGGCCCTACCTGCCCCTCATGGCGCTGCTCTTCGTGGCGCTGCGGCTGGGCTACGGGCTGGATGACCGGGGGCGGGCGCCGCCGGCGGCTGAGGATGTGGCTGTGTGCGGCGGGCTGGCGCTGGTGGGGAGGGAGCGGGGCTACCGTTCAGTTAGCCAGATGGCGAGGGCGAAGGGGGCGGAGAAGCCGAAGCAGTGGAGGAAGCCGCGGACGGGGAGGCATCTGGGGATCAAGCCGATGAGGAGGAGGAGTAAGGGGAAAACGCAGGGTGCGGAAGAGGAGGAGGAGGAGGGAGAGGCTGTCACGGATGCTGCGGGGGATGGCGGCGGCGGCGGCGGTGGCGGCGGTGGGGAAGGGTCAGCAGCAGCAGCAGGAGGGGGTGGAGGAGGTGGCGGTGAGGTGGGCGCCGGGGAGGAGGATTGCGAGTGGGCCCCGCCGCTGCTGCCGTACCTGGCGCCCATGCGACTGCCGCGGGGCGGGTGGCCGGAGTGGGCGCGGCGGGTGATGGGGCCGCAGCTGCGCCTGCCGGTCACCAGCACCACGCTGGGAGCGTACGAGGTAGGGGGCGCGGGGGCCGCAGGGTGGGCAGGAAGGGGGCGGGGGACGAGGGAGGGAGAGGGGGGGGGAGTTGCGGAGGGATGAGGGGGGTTAGGGACAGGCAGGAGGGTGGGAGGGATTGCATTGTGCGCGCGCGCCACAAGACAGGCCCAGCCGGTTGTCCGCTGCTGCATCCGCTGCTGCTGCTGCTGGACGTTTCACACAGGGCACGCGCAGCATGCCTCCCCTGTCCGCACCTCGCCGCGCCTCGCCCACCGCAGTGCGCCACTGCTCCAGCATCACCGCCCCCCCCCTCCCCCCCCCTCATGCCCACCTCCTGAACATGTCATACTCGCCCTTCCTCCCCCTCACTCGCCCTTCCTCCCCCGCCTCCTTCCCTTCCTCCCCCCTTCCCTCCTCCGCCCCGCCTTCTCCCCCCCCCCCAGGCCTCCCAGCTGAGTCAGACGGAGCTGCGTGCCTTCGTGCAGCTGGCCAGCGTGCAGGAGGCGGCGCACCACCCCCGCAAGAAACGTCGCATGCAATACCGCAACATCGCTCAAGCCATGTCTAAACAGGCGTGGAGAAGCTGGAAGCAGCAGGTACGGGCGGCAGCAGCAGCAGCGGGGCCGGCAGCAGGCGGGCAGGACCCACCTGCTGCTGCTGGGGCGGCTGCTGCTACTGGGGCGGCTGCTGCTGCTGGGGCTGCTGCTGCTACTGGGGCGGCTGCTGCTACTGGGGCGGCTGCTGCTACTGGGGCGGCTGCTGCTGCTGGGGCGGCTGCTGCTGCTGGGGCGGCTGCTGCTACTGGGGCGGGGGCTGCTATTGGGGCGGGGGCTGCTGCTACTGGGGCTGCGGTGCATGGACCCGACCCCTCCTCCACGCATGCGGCGGCATGTGTGCTGCCGCCTGCGGCTGCCGAGGGCACGCCAGCAGGGCACCACCACCACCAACAACAACAACAAGGCGACCACCACCACCACCAGCAGCAGCACCAGCAGCAGCCTGGTACTGCAGCCCCTTCCGCCCCCCCCGTCCTCACCATCAGCGGCCGGGAGGGCTCCTCGGTGAGCCTCGCCTTCGCGGACGCCACCGCAGCCAAGCTGGCGGGACTGGGCCGCATGCTGCCGGCAAGCACCCCCCAAGGCGCAGCAGCAACCCAACCGCAGCAGCAACAACAGCACCCCGGAGGCGCCGCCCACACAGCACCTGCTGGTGCTGCTGCTGCTGCTGCTGCTGCCGACGCTCAGCATCCTTCCCAGCAGCAACCACCCGCATGGCCCGATCCCGCCACGGTGCTGCAGCAGCTGGAGCCCGGAGGGTCCGGTGGCGGCCGTCCCCCTCCTCCGCCTTCTTCCAACGCAGCAGGCACCTCCGCAGGAGCAGCAGCCGCGTCCCTCCCCTGGTCCTTCGCCCCGCTGGACCTGCCTGAGGGGCACATGCATGTTGACACAGCGGCGGTGCTGGCGGCGCTTGCATGGAGCATCAGCGCCACGTTTCCGGAGCTGGCTTCCTGGGTGCGGGAGCTGCTGAGGGGCATGCAGGCTGCTGACGCGGCGGTGTGCAGGGTGGTGATGAGGGAGGATAAGAGGAGGCTGGCGAAGGCGGCGAGGAAGGGGCGGCAGGGCGGGCCGGAGGGGGCGGGGTGGGAGGAGGCATGGGCGGAGGAGCAGGAGGAGGGGGAGAGGGAGAGGGGTGCGGGTGCGGCGGCTGGGGCGATGGAGGAGGAGTGGGAGGAGGAGGAGGGCATGGAAGGGGCGGAGATGGAGGAGGGAGAAGATGAGGAGATGGATGAGGGAGAAGATGAGGAGATGGAGGAGGAGATGGAGGAGGAGATGGAGTTGGAGGAGGACTGGGAGGATGGGAGGAGGAGGGGGCCGATGACGGGGGCGGCTTTGCGGAGATTGAAGCCCTGATAGGTGTGGGCTGTGAAGAGGAGGGCGAGGGGGAGGACGACGACTGGGCCGCAGCAGCGCTGGTGGGGGCTGAGGAGGCGATGCAGCAGGCGGCGCCGTCCAAGCAGTCAACGCCTGGGGGAGGATCGGGGGAAGCAGCGGAAGAAGCCGGTGAGGGCGCGCCTAAACGCAAGCGCGGCCGGCCACGCAAGGACTCCCAAGAAGGAGAAGCCGGCGATGGCGCGCCGAAGCGCAAGGGCGGCCGGCCACACAAGGACTCCAAGCAAGGAGAAGCCGGCGATGGCGCGCCGAAGCGCAAGCGAGGCCGGCCACACAAGGACTCCAAGCAAGGAGAAGCCGGCGATGGCGCGCCGAAGCACAAGCGAGGCCGGCCACGCAAGGACTCCCAAGAAGGAGAAGCCGGCGATGGCGCGCCGAAGCGCAAGGGCGGCCGGCCACACAAGGACTCCAAGCAAGGAGAAGCCGGCGATGGCGCGCCGAAGCGCAAGCGAGGCCGGCCACGCAAGGACTCCCAAGAAGGAGAAGCCGGCGATGGCGCGCCGAAGCGCAAGGGCGGCCGGCCACACAAGGACTCCAAGCAAGGAGAAGCCGGCGATGGCGCGCCGAAGCGCAAGCGAGGCCGGCCACACAAGGACTCCAAGCAAGGAGAAGCCGGCGATGGCGCGCCGAAGCACAAGCGAGGCCGGCCACACAAGGACTCCAAGCAAGGAGAAGCCGGCGAGGGGGCGCCGAAGCACAAGCGAGGCCGGCCACGCAAGGACTCCAAGCAAGGAGAAGGCGGCGAGGGCGCGCCGAAGCGCAAGGGCGGCCGGCCACGCAAGGGGCTTCAGGGGGCCGCAGGCGAGGAGCCTGAGCTTCACATTGGCAGTGACGGTGGTGGTGGTGGCTGCAGTGAGGAGGAGACGGACGGCAGTGGCCAGTGGAGCGAGCACAGCAGCTCGGACCCGGGGTTCTCGGAGGAGCGGTTTGGGCCTGGTGGGGGACATGCAGCCAGCATGGGCGGCGCGGGAGAAGAGGCATCGGGAGGGGCTGCGAGCCGGCGGGTCAGCGGGCGCACCGCTGCGGCGCAGGCGGCTGCGCGGATCAGTGCGGTGGAGGCCTGGGCTGGGAAGTCGGTGGAGGAGTTGGAGAGGGAGATCGAGGCGGCGGCGAGGGAGGAGGAGGCGGCGAAGGAGGCGCGGAAGGCGGCGCGGCGGGAGGCGAGGGAGCTGCGGAGGCAGCAGGAGCAGGAGCGGGCGCGGCTGCTGGGAGAGGGGCAGGCTGGGGTGGGGAGTGGCGCAGCGGCGGAGCAGCAGCAGCAGCAGCAACAGGGGGAGGAGGAGGGCAGGGGTGCGGAAGCCGGAGGCGCGGCAGGGCCGTCGCGCCATGCCAAAAGGGTCAAGAAAGACGGCCAGCGTCGGGGAAAGAAGGAGGGGGATGGGGAGAAGAAGCCGCGCAGGCCGAGACCGCCAATGGCGGCGAAGCAGGTGGAGGGTGCGGAGGCGGCGGAGGCGGTGAAGCAGGAGGAGGAGGAGGAGGGAGGCGGCGGTGTTGGCGCCCAAGCTTCGGTGGGGGCTCCTGGCCCGCAGCAACCCAAGCGCCGTATTGGCAGAAAGCGACAGCAGCAGCAGCAGGGGGAGGGCACCGCCTCTGCTGCAGGCGCCCCTCCGCCCCGCAAGCGAGCTCGCACATCCTCAGCTGCGGCGGTCAGCTGCGGCGGCGGCCCTGCCGCGGCAAGCGCAGGTGGCGAGGAGCTGTCCCACCCCGGTGCTTTCACAGCTGGTGGCGGCGAGGAGGGCAGGAGCAGCGGTCTGGGGTCGGGGAGCCTGCTGGCAGCAGGAAGCGAGGGCGGTGGTGGCGGTGGTGGCGGTGGGAGCTCGGGGCGGCGGGTGAGTGGTCGTGCAGCCGCCGCCAGGGCCGCGGCGCTGATTGCCGCCTCTCTTCAGGAGGGCGAGGAGGAGGTGAAGGCGGCGGAGGCGGGTGCGGTGGTGTCGAGCCGCGCTGCGGCTGCGCCTCCTAGGAGCAGCGGCGGCAGGAAGGAGAAGGGTGCGGGCGGTGCCGGTGGTGGTCAGGAAGGAGCGGCTGCGGCAGCAGCAGGAGGAGGGGGGAGGGAAGGAGGCCGCGAGGATGGGAAGAACGGCAGCAGCAGCAGCAGTGACGACAGCACCTCCAGCAGCAGCAGTGACGACACCAGTAGCAGCAGCAGCAGCTCGGGTGGGAGCAGCAGCAGCGATGATAGCAGCACCAGCAGCAGCGGTACCAGTAGCGGCAGCAGTAGCGACACAAGCAGTGACAGCAGCACAAGCACCAGCAGCAGTAGCTCCTCCGAATCGGAATCCGAGGATGCTGCGGGAGGCGGAGACAAGAAGCGCGCACGGAAGGCATCTGCAGCGCGGGCTGCTGCTGCTGCTGCTGCTGCTGTCGACACCGCTGCCGCTACTGCTGCGGCCATGAAGAAGGCTTCAAGCTCGGGCCGGCCGATGGTGCCGCCCCAATCGCAGCCCCAGCCCCAATCTCACCAAGGGAAAGGGCCCCGGGCCGCGGTCGATGGCTCTGCAGCGAAGAAGGGCCTGGGGGCGCCGGCGGTGACGAAGGTCGAGCAGCCGTTACTGCCCAGCTCGGCTAAGAAGGTGCGCTTCGAGGTGGGCAGACGCAGCGGCAAGGACGGCCGCGCTGCTGCTGCTGTTGCACCCAGCAGTAGCAGTGAGGACACCAGCAGCAGCAGCACCAGCGGCGGCACCACCAGCAGCACCACTAGCAGTGACAGCGAAAGCAGCCGCAGCAGCAGCGGCAGCGAGGACAGCGCCCCGGGATCCGAGGAGGTGGCAGCCATGGTAGCATCCTCCTCCTCCTCCGAGTCCTCCTCCTCCTCCGAGTCCTCCTCATCCTCATCCGACACCTCTTCCGCTACCTCCATCTCGTCCTCCTCCTCATCTTCCGAGTCCGAGGAGAGCGACGAGCAGCCACAGCGGAAGAAGCGAAAGGTCGCGGGCAGCGCGCGAGCAGGAGGAGGTTCCGGCTCACGACCTGGCATCCTGAAGCAGCCGAAGCAGCAGCAGCTGAAAAAGAAAGGAGGCAGGCACCGGACGGAGGAGGTGGCAGCGGCGGTGAGGGGCATCGCGACCCAGAAGCCGGAGAGGCTGCAGTCGCTGGTGAAGGGGAAGGAGGGGAGGGAGAAGCCCAAGGCGGAGGTGCAGGTGAAGGGGGCGAAGGCGGTAAGGCGAGACACCGGGAGGGGTGTTTCGGGGTCGGGTCGCCGCCGCAAAGGCGGGAAGAGCAGCGACGAGAGCAGTAGCAGCGATGAGAGCAGCAGTGATGACAGCAGCAGTGATGATGAGACTAGTAGCAGTAGCACAAGCAGCAGTGGCAGGAGCAGCAGCAGCGAGAAAGGCAGCGATAGCAGTGGCACGAGCAGCAGCAGCGATGACAGCAGCAGTAGCAGCAGTGACGACACCAGCAGCGACAGCAGTAGCAGCAGCGGCGGCGGCAGCAGCGACAGTAGCGACAGTGAGGATGAGGAGGGGCGGGGGGTGCTGCAGGCCATCCGGGCCGCCGCCATGAGGCAGAAGCAGCAGCAGGGCGGGGGGGCTAGCGTGCGGAGAGGACGCTAATAAGCGGCAGCAGGGGGAGGAGGGGGGCTGGCCTGGGCCAGGAGCCATGGGGTGCTTAGGAGGAGGGTGCGGGTGAGGTCTGGGGGGCTTATTGGCCGTGGCGGCGTGGAACTGGTGGGGTGATGTGGGTTGTGAAGGTGGATGGCGGGGAGGAAGGTTGTAGAGATGGGGTTGGGGGCTTGGAGGCAGGAAGCTTCGTGTCGCAGGCACCATGGTGGGTGTGGTTGGGGGATGGTTTGTCGTGGTGCGTTCGTGACCCACGGGTCATGTTGGGGCTTGGAAGAAACGTGTGGATGTGGTAGACGACTAGACGTAGTGGCTTGAGGATGCGTGCGGTTGCGGCCGTGCATGCACGTTCCCTGGTTAGAGGAAAAAAATGAATGATCAGACGGACAAACAAGACATTGCTAACTTTCCTTTGACATGCCGTATGGTTAACCCATGTTCCTTGTTCGCTTGGTCCTTCCAGCTAAGGGTGCTGGACACACTGCAGCCGGGCCATTGAGGCGCTGGTGAGTTCCTGCATGAGGACATGAGGACATGCCTTTCCTCTGGTCCACTTACATCGGGTGCCAGCCAGAGACTAGGAGATGATCAGATGAAGCCCATGACGTGAGGCCGCGCGGCGGGAGAGGGGGGAAGTAAGGACACCGGTGTTTCCGCTGCGGTAGCGCAGTAGCAGCAGGCAGGCGGGTTCACACGGGGTGGGAGGCCCGACAGCTGTGGGGCAGATGTGTGCGCATACCTGCGGCCTGTTGCGCGGCTTGTTGTACCCGTGCCGCATGTGGCGTAAGCAGTCTCATGTCTGTGTCATTCAGTGCGGACGGTGCCCCACCGTGTTGTACGGTACCCTGGGAAAACGGATTACCGGTACATACGCCATGAGCCATGTGTGGAGTAGGTACGTCGTCATGCAGTTGCTCTCACACGACAGCACAGTTCCCGGCGGCTGTTCCCCCGCCCTGCATTGGCGAGTTGGCCGTACGGATTTACATGTTGTACGGCTTCTGATACTGGAGCGTTTGCGTGTGCTCATTTCGTGGGCTGCAACGAAACTTCAATCCTTGCGAGCGAATAGGAGTGGCGGTTGCAGCTAGCTTTTCAATCCAATGCGTGCAACAGGTGAGCAACAACCAATCCTGCAGAGGTTATATCCCTGCGGAAACAACGAACTATTCGATGAAAGCAACCCTCGACGTGACGGTCTTGGCACCCTCCTCCTCTCACACGCGTCGACCTAACAGTCCCCACGGCGGCAGCAGCCAGGAGCAAACCTACCTACCTTTACGGAGTGTCCTTAGATTGGCTACGACAAGACAACAGTGAACAATAACCCAGGAAGGCCCCTACGGCATTATCGTATCTCCCCCACCCCAACTGCCTCCTCACGCAACTCCCCAACCACCTCTCCCCCTGCCACCCTACACTACATGGCTCCAAATTTCAGCGCCGGTCACCCTCCCTCTTCGGCCGCCTTCCCTGCGTTCCAAATGTCCCATTTACTCCTGCGTTTTATCCACCGCATTTCCCCCCTCCTCCTAGCCTCCTTCTCTCTCTTTCCCCTCCTCCTTTCCCCTCCTTCGCCGCCTCCTCCTCCTCCTCCTCCTCCTACACTTACTCCTACTCCCCCCACCCCCCACCCGCCTACTTTCCCCCCAGGTCCTCCAGGTCCCCCACCGCGGGGGCGTGGATGCAGTGGCCGCATGCGTCGAACTGACTGCCGTGGCAGGGGCAGTCGAACGTCCTGGAGGGAAATAGTAAACAAAAGAGAGGGGGGAAAGTTGGGGAGGCAAGGGTGAGCAGGAGACCGCTACAAACCTGGGTATCCGATTCCCAAGAGCACGAACGGACTTGCAATGGGCCGCTAGCATTGGGTTCCAGGAACGGGCAGTGGGTGTCTTCCGGCACCCCACCCTTGCAGGAGCACCTTAGTTACCGGTAATTGCCTCCTGCCATCTTCGCTACCATCCCCTCCCCTCCTGCCTCCTTCCTGCCTCCCCCCTTCCCCCTCCCCAGCTCGTCAGTTGCATCGTCAATGTCTCATTGTTTTCCCCCTCCCCCCTCCTCCTTCCCCGCCCGCCCGCCCCCCTCACTTCTCCAGCGGGTTCCACTCCACGCAGCAGCCCAGGTGGGTGCACAGCGCCGAGTGCACGTGCAGCCGACCCGCCGGGTCGCGGTACAGCGCCTTCTTGAGCAGCCCGTGCTGCACCACCCGCCCCTCCCCCGGCCCCAGCCCCGCCTCCACCCGCCCCGGCAGCAGCAGCCCCGCCACATCGGCCGGGCTGCGGGGGAGCACGTGCTTCAGCAGCGCCCAGCCCACAGTGGTGAAGTAGGTGGCCAGCTCGGAGGTGTACTGGGGCGGGCGGGGGGGGGGGGGAGGGTGAAGAGGAGGGGTGGTGAGGAGGGAGGAAAGGTGGAGCAAGAGGTGGAGGAGGGGAGGTAGATGAAGGTGGAGAAGGAGGGGCTGCTGGGGGGGGGCACCGCCGCGCATTCCATACACACACACCGAGCAGGCAGCAGCATCCCCCCCCACCACCCCCAACTCAACTACACACATACACACCCACCTTCATGGCCGCCCCTGCAATCACCCTGGCGGGTCGGTACGCCTCCCCCCACAGCGGGTTGGCCTGACCCCCCAGGATGGCACCCGCCACCACCTCAC